TTATTTTATACGGAATTGTATCATGTTAAAATACATTGTGTCATATTCGCAGGCTCTGAAAGATACCCAGCCAAAGTTATGAACAGAATAATCCAAAAGGTGTCACATTGTTACACCTATTGTCCGAGGTTGGGTGTGATTACTATGGGGAGATGCTGTCGATCACTCAGGACCTATGTATCTCCTAAATTGAAAAAGAAGAACAACCCATAGATCTTTTTCCCCCCATTAAAAGATCTGTCATACTTTGCGCGGGTGGTGTTCATCCAGAATTGTACCTACAGTTCATGGCTGTCAGAAAACATGGTAAAGCCAATTTCACTTTTGCCATCTGCTGAAACAGACGGTGGGTGGCTGCAGTGGCTCAAACTCGAGTTTTACATAAACAAACTTTTCCTTTTTCTTTTTAGAAAATAATATTTAGCAATGAAGTGATAGTGAATGTGATTTACTACGAATGCATGTGTTAAAAATACAAAATGGATGTATCTTATATAGGCTTTTCCCAGTCAAATCACTTTATATAGACTGATGCATTTTTATTGGATTTGGAACGCTCATAAACAGTGTGTGCATAGCCATATTTAAGTGTTGCAGTGGGAGTTCAGTGGCTGACTTTTATTTTCTTCCTTCAGCGGTTTATTTTTGAGGTTAGATCACAAACTGTGCGAGAAAACCCTCTACATTCATCTTATTTTTGCTGCAAATGAAACGGAGCTGGTCTAATGAAGTGTGGAGGAGACCGGTTGAAGCTTATGAGAGACGTCTTATTGACTTCTCCGCTGTCGCCGCACGTCCATAATGTTCAGTCTCTGCTAATAGTTCCTCAAAATAATATACTGGCTCGATCCAAACACATAGGTTACTTTCAGATTCAAAGGCTTTGTACAAAGGATTCTGGGCATTCTATCACAGACTGAGGTGGCAATCAGACGTGTGTGGCGGTCATGGAAAGAACAGAAGCAGATGTATCAAATGCTAAGCTCCTTAAAACTAAGCAGAAGGCCAAATGTGCTTCACACGTTTAAGCAGAGAGAAAAAAATCTGTTTTCTGGTCACGTCTGGAAACTGCACTAATGATGCAGTTTAGTTTGAAACTTAGAAATGTAACATCTTGCAGCACAACAACTATATTCCTTAACCAAGAAGCACAGTTTATACGCAGGGCAACTCAAAGTGTGTCACAAAACAAGATATAGTTTAGGAAGATTCTTCTTGTTTTCTTAGTAGAATTAAAAGTGTTTGGTTCTTCTATACAAGACAATCACCAACCTACTATTGTCTGGTATAGAAGAAAAATATATAAACAAATGACATTTTAATCATAAATAATTACAGTAATAGTGAAAATACAATACTTCAGTTGTATGCACAGCTAAACAGAACTATTCTCGCCTGTCTCATATTTTCAGACAGACTGTTCCAGATTTTAGCTTCATAAATCTGAAACGCTGCCTCCTCATGTTTAGTCCTGCCTCTGGGCACCAGCCCGAGGCCAGTCCCTGTGCTCCTCAGTGACCATAGATACAGTTTACTTGCTTGCTCAGTGTGTTTTTGTTTCTCATTGTTTGAACACTAAGCAAAACCAATAGTGTTGGCTCCTAAATATATACTCCAGAGGCTGATGTTCATTTCTTGCCTTATTAATAATGATAGGCATAAAGCTTTATTGTAACACTTAAGCGTCAAGAGGGACTTCACTGCACATAATGTAAAATGTGACTACGCTGCGGTAGTAAAACAGAGCTCTGACATATTTTTCCCAGAATATCAATACAGTTCCAACTCTCAAAAGTCAAAAAGTGTCATACTGGTCGTGGACAGTGTTGCTGCTAACTGTATCTTGTAACATGTTTTATTACAAGGTCCAAATGCTGTACTTTATTCTTAATGTGGAATACTAACACATTGACTGGATCTTGACCTGGATGGAATGTGTGCTAATTTAAAGATATACAGATTAAGAGAATATTAATGAATCATGTCTTATATGTCCTTTGAATATTCATTTGAATAAACTTAACAAAGTGGAAAAGTGAATCAGCTTACAAAGTGCAATTGTTTTTTTGTTTTGTTTTTTAAATTGAAAAGCATTATATTTCCTTTTTCTGGTTTGTCGTTTTACTAATGCTAGTAAAGTAAAGTAGGTTGCCCAAATAATTCGCACAGTAACACATTTTTACAGCAACAATATGGATTTGCGTTTACGCGTTAAAAACACAATATTTTGGACAGCACTAATATATATAATATATATTTTTATTACAAATAATGTATCATAATCTGTATGCTTGTCTTAGAATGTGTTTGTATTCACAAGCCACATTACGGTCATCACTATGCATGATAATAATGATATTCTAATCTTTTCTATTGTTGTGTAGTGTAATATATATAATCCAATTTGTTTTTGCACCATTTGTTCCGCTATTATCTTTTCTTTTTTCATGTTTCATCAAATGTTCACACCACATACACTTCTCGAACAGCACTAGCTTATCTGCTGCTGGGAAAAAGCTGAAGTGGGCTAAACAATTCATTCAAACCTCTTGTGGTTAGAATGAATTGTGTGGTTTAGAGCTTCCTGACCTGGTTGCTGTTCCTACCTCTAAGAAATTGCTCTCGCTCCTGCTCTTCGCTCTCATGCAGACATTTGGCTATATATTTGTTTTGCCCTTTGCCGCCGCTGCTGTGCTTCCCTCTCCACCTCCATCTCTATATGTAACCTTTCTTTGAGTACTTTCTCTAATGGTGTTTCTCCTCTGTTGTCTCTCCATCTTCCTCTTGGGGTCTTTTGCCTTTAGCACCATGCACTCTTAGTTACTTCACCATCACAACACCCACTTTCTCCCGATAGCAGAAAACCTCACAAAGAAACAGAAGGGATTTGAGCAGTAGCCATAACAAGGGCACAGTGGTTCAGCTTTGTCCAAGGGCCATCACTTTGCACAGATGCCATTAGGTCATAATCTATTGTGAGATTATGAGGCTTGTCCTGGTGATGCATATGTTGTGGTTTATGTTATAATGCTGCTGGAGCTGGTAGATTAGATTATCTCCTTAAATCTGTCGGATGTGGAGTAAAACCGCATAAATCAAGGATATACTCACGCCCTGTGAACCGCCATGCCTTGAAAGAAAAGCATGATGCCAAACCTACCTCCGATTAGGAACAAACTGAGTATTGAGGACATCATTTAGAACACATATGGGATACATTTTAGAAACTGTGGTACACTGTAAAAAATACAACTCAAAATTGTTCACCTTACTCAGATTTTTGCATTCACTGACAATAAAATTGCCAGTTGGAACTGCAACTGTCTGCTGTGAGCCACTTGAACTCACTTTCTGAAGTTTCTGATGAAAAGTTCATCTTATTTGATATATTAAGTTGATTTGACTTTTAAGTTGTAGTGAACTTCTGAAAGTTCAAGTGGCTCACAAGATAGTTCCAGTTCCAACTGGAAATTTTATTGTCAGTGAATGCAAAAATCTGAGTAAGGTGAACAATTTTGAGTTGTCGTTTTTACAGTTCACCGAGCTATAGTGAGGTCAACTTATCTGCGTTTGCTCATTTAAATATGTGTTATGGCAACCAGCTGCTTTCAACATTTTGAACAAACTAATTTGACCAAAAAAATCACTGTATTTATTTTTACCAACCGTAATCGACAGGGCCAAGCCAAAGTAGCCCTTTATATTCTCTGGGTCAGTCTTAGAAACATTAAGTTTCCCCTCTGGTTCACAGTGTGTGCGGCACGGTGGCTGAGTGGATAGCACTCTCGCTTCTTGACACGAAGGTCATGGGTTCGAATCCCGGTCGGAACAGGGCCTTTCTGTGTGGAATTGGCATGTTCTCTGTGTCTGCATAGGTTTCCTCCGGGTGCTCCGGTTTCCCCTACCCAAGTGACCTTGGTCCATGAAATGCGCTATATAAATAAACATCATGATCTTTTAATGTGGGGGCTAATTTAAACTCAAAATAGTAAGTTATTGTAGGGGACAGTAATCTGAACTTAAAAAAGTAAGTTTTTACAGACTTGAAATTTCCAGTAACTTGAATTTAAACACTTAGTTGGCAGAACTTGGAAAACTTAACTGACACAACTTAATAAGTGTAGTTCTTCAAAACTTGAAGAATTAAGTTAATGCCTTCAACTCAAAAATCCTTCGCAGCTGGTTGCTTTGAAATTTTGAGTTGAACTAACTTTTTCTTTTTTACAGTGTAAACACGGATCATTGCAGCACTCCAAACTAGTGGAGGGGCCATTATCTTGTCAGCAGAAAAAAAGTCGTTGCTCTGAAATGTTCTCTGCACCGTCGTAATTACATTATTGGATCCTTTTTAGTAAAAATGTGCACCTATAATAGTAAATTTAAAGGGACCATATGTAATATTTTCATTGGAATTTACATCAAAATCTTTTATACGTGTCCCCAGATAATCAGTCAAAATGTAGAAATCATATAATTTGACAAAAAATTGAAGTGGAGTTATTTATAATTAAAAATACAATAAACTTGATGTGGGTTAGGGTTCGTCTCACATTTGGGTTGCCAGTTTGTTATAATGTAGCTGTTTTATTTTATTTTTATAACAATATTCACAAACGATTAAATGACACCACAGATCACGTGGTAGTAGTCATGCATACTACATAATTTGTACCGTTTCTATCCAAACCCCAGCAGGTTGAATGCATCAGTAATCAGTGCTTTGGTGTCACATCGTAGGCAGGAAGATTGTTGAACAAAAGTTGGATTATAATTGTAATGACCACTATATTAGACCATTGTGCAATATTACCTATTGTCCCTATAATGCATTACATGAACATGAATTATTGTTTTGCACTAAACACACTTTTTTTCTTTTGAAATAAGTCATGAAATCCTACATATTAGAGAAATCCTACATTATTTACCCATTCAATACAGTTGGTTGATAGTTCAAAGTGATCCTTGATAGGGGACTTAAAGGTCTATAGTTGAGGAGGATGGTAAGCCCTCTGCTCTCTGACACTTAAACATATAGCTTTGTTCTGCACACACACTTCCACCAGTGGGCTGCAAAAGACTCTAGGGAATGTGCTGAATGTGAACAGAAATCTTAAGCAGTTTCTTGTTGATTCCCAACCTTGTGTAAGTTGTGAGCAATCATATAAAATTTTTTGTAACTTGCACTCTCCTTCAGGCTGTTTCTGTGCCAATTGACTGAGGTGTTCTGTAGTAATAGCTGATAATTGGTTTGTCTTGAAAAAGGCTTTAACACGACTGTTTTTTATTTTTTTACAGGGCCGGCCGTATGTGTTTGACAATGTGTTCCCCACAAACACCACCCAGGAGCAGGTCTACAACACCTGTGCCAAGCAGATCGTCAAAGGTGAGTCATTTACTTTTTTGCATATGACAAAGACATTTCATCACTTTGTGTAACCGGGGAATCTGAAACATTAATAGAACAGAGATGGTACATTTTAGGTTGTAAACTACAGCATATATTAATTGATGACAAAACATAACTAAAAACAGGGAAAAAAACGCTACATTTTTTAGGTTACTAATTGAAAAATGTCCAAGCTTAATTTATTTAACACTCTGAGGCCTATTGAACGCATTTAAAATGATTGTGTGTTCTATAGCTTCTCTGTCTGCCGCATCAAAGCAAAGTTTTAAAACAGACATTTGACCTTGTGTGTTGTCCTCTGATTGGCTGGATGTTATGGCAGTGTACAACCCAAGAACAAATATGAAAGTGAAAGAAAACGGGGAGGGTTTGACATTGTACCCTTTGTAAAAGTATATAATAAAAATGAAGATTGGAGCTTCTCCCTACATCCAGCAGACTACTTTCAGGCAATTTCCCCCATTCCTTTTCTCAACACTTTCTCATAGACAATAGTTTTTGTTTGTGGGTCAAGACAAGCTTGATCCTGTGTTTTTGTACATGTCAAGCCCTTCCAGTCTTCTGACAGGCACACAGACACAAGTAGACAGCGAGTGTACAACGGCAGCACTATGAAGAGAAGGAAAAGGTGGTGAAGGAAGACACATTCTGATTAGTTTGAGGTCAGCTGGTCTGCACGGATCAATGATTTTACCACCGACTTTATGAGATGGAGCCAGCAGTGTCTTTCAACAGAACTGTGCTCCTTGATCTTTCATCTTTTTTAGCAGCCTGACTTTGGCTAAGCAGGATGAATGTTTGTTTCATACAACCACAAAGGTCATTCTAAAACTAACCAAGCCTAGATATCGTGTTCACTTGCCGCACATAGGCGTTAAAAGTGCATACAGTGTGTCATTCCAGCTGAAGGTCAGGCTTTTTTGTCTTTGTCTGGGTTGCCTGGACTTAAACATTTGATGGCAGATTATCAGTATTGCAGTACCTCCTCTTGGATTGCCCACTAAGATAAGAGAACCACTTATTTTCAGTGGGGAGATAAAACTGATACAATACTTATAAGACAGGCTGTTCGTGTAAAAGCAACATTTAAAGTGTTGGGGTTTTTGAAACAATGATGTATAGCACTATATTTGCAAAGTTCTTTTTGTCTTTTTTATGCTTAAACTGTTCTTCTAATAAGGAAAGAGTGTAAAGAAGCTAGAGCTTTAAAGTGATAGTCTGGAACTCTAAATTAATTACACATTTTAAGAATTGTATAAAATTGACCTCATGGCCTTAAATGTTGATATAAAATAAGTCATTTTATGAATTAAATAAATAAATAAATAAATAAATAAATAAAAACAATCAATCAATTATAATATTACGGGTAAGTCCCGCCTTCTCTTCCCTTAGCCTTCCCTTCTCTTAGCTATAGCTCAAAATCCAAGATGCCGTTCACTTTAATCATAATAATAATAATCATAATAATGTATATGTATAATGTGTTCTCTCTGTGTTCTATAATGTGATTAACATTTAAATGTGTTGATTGATTGTTACAGAAACGTAGGCGTAGACCAATCAGAAAGGATGGAGGAGGGAGCTTGGGTCGTTTTTTTCAAATCATGTACTTATACCTATCTCTCTTTATTCTGACAAACTCCAGACAATCACTTTAATAAAGCACCGCTTAATGACTTAATATGACTTCCGCCTTTGTCAAAGGTGACACAGGGAGAATGGTCTTATAGCCTCATACATGAAGCTATATAAATCATCTACAGAGATGAGGGGGCCTATACCTTGGCCTCATGGACTCACTTCTCCAGAGACCACCTCAGCGAGAGCGATGGTCAGTCTCATGGATCTGACCGATCCGTCAAACGTGTCACCTCTGACAAACATTTGGTAATGAAGCAGTACTATAATTCTTTACACCTTTTGGCCTTATTGAATTTACACTTTAAGCCTTTTTTAGTCTCATTTTAACTTTGGATTTCACACACAATATTCTGCATCTTGATGATGAAGAATTTCAGTGTGGATCATTTTGATGTCTACTGTAGATTGCCCTGTAGATTGCCTGCTTGTTAGTTGCTCTTTATCCATCAACTCTACTTTCTCCTTGATGTAAGATTCAAGATTCAAGAATAATTTATATGTCCCGTAGGAAATTTGTCTTGGACTCACAGGCTGCTACATTGAATGCTCGAGCTCTAATGCTCGATTAGGGCTGGATATCTTTCAGAACCTCTAGATACAATACTTATCTTGATTCATATCTATTACAGGTACTTTCAACTCAAAACAATATGTTTTTAAACATTTTAATTATGTTTGTATAATACTGTGCAAAACATTCTGCCCAGTTTTAACAGAAATTCAACACTATTGGTCCATTATTATTTCATTTATTAAGATTATTTGTTATTAAAGTTACGAAAGTCTATGAAATACAAATACATTTATATTACTAAATAAAAAAAGAAAATAACACATTATTGCCATTGGTTTGATTCCAGATCCTCCGATAATAGTTAATCTCTGTAATAAAGCCAATGCATGGACACTGTAACCTCTCAGCTCCAGTGTCCTCTGGTTTCACCTTGCTTTATGTCTCTCCTGCTGTAGATGTCCTGGGTGGATATAACGGCACCATCTTCGCTTATGGGCAGACGTCATCTGGAAAGACACACACTATGGAGGTAGACCATATTGTTCGGCACATACATGGACACACCTTCTTTTATGGAGTACAATCGCTCAGGCAGTAAATCTTACTCCATCACTGTCATAAAACTCTATCTCCACTTTGCAGCCATGTGTGGGCGCTAACCTCTTTTACAACTCTCGTGGGGAGACAACCCAGTCTTTTCAAGTGCTCCAACCAGCCCTTTTCTCTTCACTGTTCAGCTGCTTAAATCACCCCAAGGTCTTCATCCATCCTCCTCTCCCCACACTTACTTTCGCTCTGTGTTTCTTGTAGGGGAACCTTCACGACCCACAGGGAATGGGGATCATGCCTCGCATCGCAGATGACATTTTTGAGCACATATTTGCCATGGATGAGAACCTGGAGTTTCACATCAAGGTTGGTGTGTGTTTCCATTTGTTCAATTGAATTGGTTTCAATTCCCTCTCAGTGTGTACCGATATACTATATATGCATGGCTGAATAATGAATAGCACAGGGTATTCACCCCAAGTATTAATTATCACACTTAACCCACATAATATGCCATTTCCTGTCAAATAGATCTCAAAGGACATGTGCTGCTCACATGGTACATGTCAGTTTATTGGTTGTTGTGTCTCTCTCATTGATTATTAAATCAATCAAGGGAGATATTATGCAATCTAGTTAAAGGAACTGGATTCACCCATTGTTTCCTTAATTGCGTCCAAAACTGCTTTTGAAAACCTGCGCCTGTCTGCTCTCAGCTGCTAAGCAAGCAAGGGCCTGGTTAGTACTGTGATGGGAGACAGCTATAGTTGTATTCCTCTTACTACAATCTTCAAGATGTTTTGTTATTGCAGTAAATTTGAAAGAAATGCTCTTCTAATTGACACCTGTTATTGCAAATTAAATATTTACATGTAGAATAACATTTTCTTGCAATGAAGAAAGAAAGACTGTAGTGGAAATGTGAGAAGATATATAAAGAACTGTCTCTATTACCAAGTGTGATGGTAAAATGTACTTTTTGTGTTGTACTATTGAACTATTATTAACAGGCAAAGCTGTTTTGTTTTCAATTTGTTTTTGCTCAAGTTTAATTACACCATCCAATTTATATATACAAATGAACTTGCCACTTCTCGTTTGTTTAACTCAAGAAAGCTACAGTTGTCCGTGCAAGTATGATTGTTAGTTTCTACTCATACATTTTTATGTTGTTTAGTTGTCGACTGCCACTTTGCAACTCCACTGGATCGTTTCCATCTCATCAACTCTCCTCCTTTTCTTAGTCACAGCCACAAACTAAACACCAAACCTAACTAACAGTAATAAGAGAGGTAGCAGAACAACATGCTGCTCATGTGGAGGACTGTCTTCTTAACAATCTTATTAATACACAACATCTGATCCAATTTCATGTGTTCTGCTGCAGGTGTCCTACTTTGAAATCTACATGGACAAAATCCGGGACTTGTTAGATGGTAAAGCACCGCTCACACTTGCTGTTCTATGGCTTTTCCCTCCGCAGCAAACACTCAATTAAAAAGGCAGAAAGCCAGGAATTTAGGTTGCTTACTCTGCATATAAAGCTTATGTATTATTGAAATGACAATACTTTTCCTGGCCCCTGAAAACGATAACATAGTGAGGACGACATAACAAAGAAAAGACTGCACATACTGGATAGTTGCAGGTGATAATTGGTTTTCACCTTTTTTGTAAAACTACATAGCCTTTATAGCGACATAAAACCATGTGAAACGATAGGAGTAAAAACAGCAAACCCGTGAGTAGTAGTGATTACATATTTAATGGAGCTCGACTGCAGTGAGTGAGGCCCCATCACTATGCAGGGGGTTTAAGAGGCATGTGAAAAATATGGAAGCACTCCCCAAGAGCTAAACAGATACAAACAAGTTAACAAAATTCTAGTAGCGGATTGGCAGACTGAGAGAGAGGTCTGTGACGACTAAAGGGCATCTAACCCTAGTCAAATGTAATTAAAGAGAGGGGAATTTGATTGCAGTGTGTATGAAGCAGGTCAAAAGTGGTTTAGAAAGGTTATTACGGTACAGCATGCCACTAAAATGAGAAAATGTTGAAATAAAGGAGCATGATAGGATTTCACAGTGAATTACTAGAGACAGATAAGAAATGGAAGGATCAGAGTCTGGTTATGCAAAACAGAAAACACAGAACATAGATGCAACCTCGGCCTCTGCGTCACTGACCTCCTTATTCTAATCTAGTGACAAAAACCAACCTGTCAGTGCACGAAGACCGATACAGGGTTCCCTATGTAAAGGTGAGGTCCTTGAGTCGTTATTCAATAAACATGTGCTGCTGTGACGTGTCGTCGTGTTTGATTTGGTTTGTGTGGAATCTCAGGGTTGTACGGAGCGTTTCGTCACGAGCCCCGAGGAAGTGATGGATGTGATAGATGAAGGAAAGGCCAACCGCCATGTCGCCGTCACCAGTGAGTCGCACCGCTGTTCGCAGGCATCTCACGTCAGATCTCATTCGCAATTAAGCATAAGAGTATGCACAAGGTCAGGAGAAGCATAGGGCAAAACATGAGGTTTTAGATACATGCACTCTGTTGAGACTTGTTCTGCAATAGAGTCTATCAAATATTTACAGTATTAATATTTAATATCTGAGTAGGACATACAAAAATCAAAGGAGCCATCATGATCTATTTTTTAAGGCTTGTATGTAAACAGGATTCATCTTTGGAGAAAGCAAGGACACCATAGCTTCCCATTGTTCTCTTTTCCGCTGTTTGTGCTAAAAATACTCTAGACCTGGTTTGTAATAAACCGTCAATGATAAACAGCCAATGTTCTGTGCAGCCAAAGAAACAGAAAGGATCATAGGTGAGGAACATACTCTGAGCCGCAAAATTACTTCTTGTCTCAGCTTTGAAGGAGCTTTTTCAATCCTATCCAGGCTTATTCTGTTCCTCTGCTTCCTCTGCAGACATGAATGAGCACAGCTCCCGCAGCCACAGCATCTTCCTGATAAATATCAAACAGGAAAATGTGGAAACCGAGCAGAAGATGAGTGGGAAGCTGTACTTAGTTGACCTAGCAGGGAGTGAAAAGGTAAGAAAAATGGGGTGTGTTTGCACTGTTAGAGAATATGGCAAGGTCAATTTTCTCCTGCACATTTTTCATTCTTGACACAACACAAAAAATCCAGAAATACATTTTGAAATTATTCTGCTTGAGATGCAAAAGTCATGTTTTGTGGGAGTGTCTGCTATGTAGACAAAATGGCCGTACACAGATCCAGAATATGTCCATTGCCCAGGTTGACAAGATTGTAGTAAGAACCAATCCTTTCTCTTCTGTGAATCCTTCTTCTGTTGTCATACACATGGGAAACAATTTATCTTCAGGGCATAGGTCAGAATGTGGAAAGTAAGGGGAAAAAGCAACCACAAACACACACAACCTGTCAAGAGTTAGTGGTTGTAATGGTATTTATGCAAACGATAGTAAGTCGTGTATTAGTAGTGCTGGGAAGAGCCTCAAGTTTCATTAGCTAATAAGTGCTGAGGCTGCATGCCTGAGTTCCCCTGGTCCTCCGCTGGGACAAAATGAAATCTCCCTGGCTGTAAACTGGCTGCACTTTGATACAAAACAGTATTGACTGTACACAAAGTTGAAAGCACACCTACAGAAAGCTTAGATCCAAGTTGTTAGCTAGGAATTAGCCGCTCATTAAGTCCACTGTGACCATGTCCCATGATGCTTCACAGTTTGTGTGACTGTAGTAGAGATTCTGGAGTCTGGGGATTTATTTGCCTCCACAAATGCATCAAAGTCTTCTGTTCCCTATATATTAATTAAGTTTATTTTGCTTGCCTTTTGAGCCACATGCCAACAGCGCTGATCTTTTCTGAAGAACAAAATTATGATGTGGAAATGTCAGCCTCATTCAAATATAGTAGCAGCCATACGCAGGAGGATTCTTGTGTATGGTTGCTGTGGCTTTTTTATTGTATGGTAAACAATATGTCACAAACAATGATTAGATTAGATACCAGTGTCTAAGTACAATTTTGTGTATAATATTTATGAGAAAAAATATGGATATATATTCAAAATACATTACTAGGACTTCTATATTTTGAATATATTCAGTTTTTAATCCATAGAGTGATTCATTAATAGATTTATTTCTTGTCCATTGTATTTTTTTGTTTAAAAACAACAACCCATAGACTACAGTCCCAGTCATCCATCTATTAAAGCACACACATTCACACCCGTAGTAAAAAGATAAAAACATTCATAGAGCTATTGTTTCATAGGGAGCTGGATTACAAATGTCCACAAATGTTAATAAGTAAGGGATAACGTATAGTACGCAGGTCATTATTGGAAAATAAGTAGTACCTTCAGGGCGGAAGCCTTGTCGGTACTTATTTTCCGCTTATTATACGGCTTTGTACCAACAGAACAGACAAATTAAAGTTAGGTCCACTTTTAGGAATGCCGAAAGGTTTATTTAATGACAGAAATAAAATAGTTCCCAAAGGTTTTCCCGTGGCTATGCGAGTAACAGTTAGGCTTGCAACTTCCAAACTAGAACTTTCTGGAACTACATGAAAGCTGAACAAAGAATTCTGAACATCAGCGGTGAGTGACGCAAACATAAACTTAACCTAAATTCACAATTCGATCCTCTGCAAATGTGTCTGAAAATGTCCCGGAATCTACGTCGCGATCGCTTTTTTGTCATGAAAACCTAAACAGATACTTCTGAAAACCTCCGTGCATGTGTATTAAGAATGTATATGTATAATATATTCTCCGATTAACATTTAAATGTGTTGATTAATTGGTATTTGCGTTTTTTGAGCTTAATAATCTGAATTACAAGCAGAGGTTGCGTTGCCATGGCAGCGGTCATTATTGTTTTGAGAGGTCAGTTATCAAGAAATAATGACCGGTAGAACGTTTTGAAATTACATTCAAATCAATGGAGCGTTCTACTGCTGCTCTGAGGAGCCGTGTAATAAATGTCCTTAAATGTCCCGGTTCATCATTATTCTTAGACCCCGGCACAGAACGACACAAAAAAGCAGTGGGAAAAAAGTGAGCAACCATGGAAAAACAGGCTATAGATCCAGGATTCCGGTTGTAGAACGAGGAAGAAGACATCAAAAACATTAGGCTGAGTGTAGATACTACCACTCCTAAGAGCCATCTGCAATATAGGATCAGAAAGCTGCCTGCAGCCCCTTGTATTTTTAGCCCAGTATGCTATTACATATGTATTACCCCTTTTAGAATATACAATATATGGTTTTCCATATAATATTATTCCATTGGTTGTCTTGAAAAAAATCAAATTGTAGTTTTGATAAACTGCCACAGAGACCACACAGGAGGACCACACACCTGCTGTATACATTTTCTGCAGACTGAGCCATGTAAATCATAGTTGCAACTTAAATGTGATCATAGTTTAAGATAAAAGTGACTTATTTTTGTCCCCATATTGAAGGCAGGCTTGCACATTTGTGTCCCCACAATGTGACAAAAATCCACTCTCACACACATAGCACATTATACGAGCCCTGTAACCACCATTTTAATTTTCACTCCAGTTAGTCGCAAATTGCGTATTGATTTTCAGACCCAATTAGCGTCACTGCTGTAAAGTCCGAGGCTGCTCTTTCACCATTATTAGAAAAGAAATAAATGAACCTTGTCCTCTTTGACATCGTGTGTTTAAATGTAGTTTCGGTCTGATTCCTGCATTATCTGTGTCAGGTCAGTAAGACAGGTGCAGAGGGAGCCGTGCTGGATGAAGCCAAAAACATCAACAGGTCTCTGTCCGCTTTGGGGAACGTCATCTCAGCCCTCGCAGAAGGAACGGTAAGAAAACCATGATTCTATTTCCTGCTGGACTTAGCGTTACTATGTGGTTATTGATTTTGTTTTCACATAGAAGCAGTAAACATTTAGGAGACTTTTAAATTCAATTACTAGATTTTATGAAACTTCTGCCAAGTTTTGCTCTACAAACAAAAACAGGTATTTGTAGCTCATGTAACAGAGGAAGCTGTTGCATTATCAACGGATACGGAAAAGTCACTGTTGTTTTCTTCATATTGATCAAAATACAGTTTCAATTTGGTTAGTTTTTGTTTGTTTTTTTTGTCTTGAAAAAATACAAACGTATACTGTGTCGTATAGGGAGTGCTGCATAGATGTAAAAATGTAAGAATGAAGCCAGCCAGTTGCTCCTTAGAGATGGAGCGGGGTAATTCCTTCTTGCAAATACAACTTCTTCTGTTTGAAAGACAAGCAGACAAAAACTCCAATGCCCGAGCCACCTCAACTGGCTCCTCTTGACGTGGAGAAGCAGCGGCTCTACTCTCAGCTCCGCCTATATGACTGACCGGTAAATTGAGTTGAGCACCATCGCTAGATTTGGTTATTTAAATGTTTTTGTATAAAACAGGAATACGTTTATGGAACTTGTTCTGCAATAACATAAAGGCTTCAGGTGCAGATCACTAGAGTCTTTTTTTGGATCAGTACTCCCAGAGATATTAAGATCCATCCATCCATCCATCTTCTTCCCCTTAATACATTTCTGGGTCGGGGGGGTGGCAGTCAGAGCTGCACCCAATTCACTTAACACCAGCCCCTCACTGATCCTCTGCAGGTGGTGAGTCCACAGGAGGACGGCTGCTCTGTGGGCGCGACAGTAGCTCAGTTGGTAGAGCACTGGCCTTTGAGCCTGAAGGTCGTGGGTTCAAGCCCACCACGGGACCTTCTCCACCGACTCCCACTGATGACTGCTGTCGTTGTGTCCTTGGGCAAGACACTTAACCCTGCATTGCCTGAAGCCCCCGCTGAAAAATCAAGGCTGTATTGTCACTGACAGAGATATTAAGATATTGTACAATATTAAGCCTCTAAGAAAATCGCTTTTCTGTGTCCGAAACTTTGGTTATGATGATAAGAGAGGAGACCAGGGAAAAAGCAGACATGAGTTGATCTGAGGCTGGAGGTAGTGAGTGGGAGAGGGGGGAAAGGTTGATAGTTGAGTTCGGAGATGCTTTTTAGATTCTATATATTATCATTAAAGTGAAAAATGACTACACATCAGTGAGATCCCTTGGCAACACCCTGCCTCTCTCCAAGACTAACACTGAACCCTTCCCACATCATTATTGTCAATAATACTTGTCTATGAGTAAGAATTGAAAATGCTTACTAGTTATAGCTTTCATATTGTTTCTCCTCTGTAAATGTCATAGTGTGGATTTATTTTGTACATAAGCATAGTTTTATTATGAAGTGTATTGCCTTGTTTTTACTTCCTGTCCTCATGTGAATTGTGGCGAATCTTGCATGCAATAGCCAGATACTTTATATTTGTATTTAATTATTTGACTGGGACAGTACATGTCAGTGAACATATATGGCTGAGCATATTCATCGACACGTCCGATTGTAGCTTAAAGCAAATTTTCGTCTGTATTCCCAAGGGACGGGGTCACAGGTCACAATAAAAATACAGCAGTTAAAAATATCAACAACAGGAATTCATACAGTGTCCCAGCGTAAGGCGATTCATTGTCAAAAACAGAAACCGTTGCACATATCCGCATCTACAGTATTGCACACAACCCACTATTGCACATATACATCTGTTGCACATGTTCATTGCATTCATACACTTGTGCTCCTTGTCACTGGTCAGCCATGTTGGCAGGTCTGGTTGTCCAGGAGGATGGAGGTTGGTGAAAGAGTTGATTGATGATAGTTCACGTTCTGTGAGGCGCGGTAGGAGAAGACAGCCTGTTCAAAGTCACTTTTTCTCAGCGTAATAATATTCACCCCGAGAACTTGCACTTGTGATTCTGTATATATTTTTCTTAACAAACTCCTGCAGTGGGGCAGGTGCCAGACCATGCAGGACCTTGTATACAAGGATGGAGTCTGCATATTTGATCAAGCTCTCCCAATTTAATATGTTGTGCTTTCTCAAGATTAAACAGTGATGGTGAGTCTTTGGTTTCCTGTCTGAAATTGTAAGTGTTTGTTTATAGGTTGTTTCAATAGGTTTTAATGTGGTCTTACATGCAGCTGCCCAGCTGGTCATGCAGTATGCATATGAGAGACAATCATTGCATTGAAGTATAGTGTGGCGGCCTCCAACGTGAGGTTGTCTCTTATGTCTTAACTTTGAGAGGTTACATTTCTCTCAAACTATTAGGCCTTTGAAGTGAATCAGGGCAGGGCTTGGTTAGTACTAAGAAATAGTTATCTAGTTGTTAAGTACTGAGTGTCCAAGAAATAGATAAAACTGATGCATTATTCCCCTGCATTTTGGGTCCTCTTTTGTTTTCCTTGTAAATCATTTATAACTCTCCAATGTATAGATGGCGGGGGCTTGAACAAATAACATCAGTTGTGCATAGCATGGACATTGTTATGAAGTGGTTTGAATAATCAGTGTAAATTGATCTCTATTGATCCCAAGTGCATGTTGTAGTGTTTCTGTAATTCGCTGATCTTAATTCTCAACATTAAACAGTTGTATCATACTGCTGCTATTCATGCTGTAGATAAAAGATGCTTTTCCCCATTCACCTCATTATAACGCACCACCATCCGCCTGTCTTATTTAAACTCCAGCATTCATTGATTTATGAGCTACACAGAAATACTGAGAAATTGTCAAATGCCTCCTGACTGTTTAATAAACACACGTATTTCCCTATTCACAGCTCAAGGATGTAGCCTGATTGACAGAGTGGAAATGGTTTAACATGAATGCTATGAGCGACAGTGCAGCAAAGAAAACCTTCTTGTGTCTTTCTTCACGGCTGGTGCTCACAACATTTCTCTTTTAGTGATACAGCAAAGTCTGGCATTGCAGCACCGGGAATCCTTTTAATCCACCGCTGCTCTTTTTTTTGGGGCCCTCCCTTTTTGACTTCTCTCTTTGCAGAAATCCCATGTGCCGTACCGAGACAGCAAAATGACACGCATCCTTCAGGACTCGCTGGGCGGAAACTGTCGCACCACAATGTTCATATGCTGCTCCCCTTCCAGCTACAACGACGTGGAGACCAAGTCCACCCTGATGTTTGGCCAACGGTACTTGATATGATAATTATGCATAGACGGTTGCACTCAGTCTTTCACACATCCTTGGTTGTTCGGCTCATGCTGTCCTCAAACACAGGACCTCGGGACAATTGCATTCTAATTTGAATACTGATGTGGGCGAGGTTCTCAAGCGTTTTGAGAAGCAGATGTTTTAGATCTTGTTTACTGTGCGTTTCTCCGAGTCGACCCTGGTGACAAAGTGACCTGTGTTTGATCTGAATATCCTCTAGTTTTATGTAGTAAAATAAAATAAGATAAGAGAAACTCCATTTGTCCCACAGTGGGTAAATGTGTTGTAACATAAAAGCAGGAATAAAAGATAGATAAGCAACACAAGACAAAATAAATTCTGTATCTCTTTATAGTTGGACTTTTTAACCATGTTACAACATTGTTCCCTCATATACACAAACATTAGGAATTTCTGGCACAAATGTGTAAATCCTCCCCAATCTATATCAACACAATGACATCACACTATTGGAGCAGTATGATAGTACTTGTACCACTATGACATCACACTCAGAGCACTACATTACTTTTGGCAGTTTCTTTAGTGAAATGACGTTCTTTACGATCATGTGTCTGTGTGTGCAGACTGTAATTTTCAAATTTGTATAAAAAACAAATCAAATTAATCTCCTCCCTCTGGTAGTTGCATAGGGAGTTACAGGGGGAAAGCATTTATTTTTACCCTTCATACTTGTTTCACCATATATTTTCTACCTACGTTATTTCACACAGATAAAGTCAAAGATGTATCTATTATTACATATTACTAGGGCTGTCAAATGATTAAAATGTTTTAGTTGATTAATTGCAACGTAATGGTGAGTCAACTCACCATTAATCGCATTTTTCACATTCTATTTCAAATCCACTCCAATTGAAGTTAAATGAGATTATCAAATGTAATGACACTTTGTCATTTATACCAAATGTACTTAAATCTGTTTGATTTGCACACATTTTTGCTTTTGGGCACAACCAAAATGAGCTGTTAACGAAAGCGGGAAATTTACATACCCCAGCTTTAATTCAGCGAGTTTAGTTAAGTTTAGTTTCAGGAGGAGACACGGACACTTCTGCGGTGTATTTGCGTACACGGGTTACGCACAGGTTGCAAAGACACAAACACAATATGCAGAGAATAGTTCTGTGGCGTGTACGGTCTTATATGACCATGTTACCGCGGTGCCATTCGCTCACAGCCGCTCACAGCTGTGTTCTTGTTAGCGGCTCACAACCAGAGCGGCCGCGGAGGAGGCGGACTTCAGGAGGAGGCGGTCACGCGCGTATTCTTTTAAAACTTGAATTTGCAGAAGGCCTACCTGCTCTGATGCATCTCACACGCAGCATTCTGAGTGATATTATGGATAAATGGGCGGGTCATTTGGACATGCGTTAATGCGTTACTTTTTTTTGTACGCGTTAATGAAAAAATTTATTAACGTGAGTTAACGCGATCACTTTGACAGCCCTATATATTACTCATTATTTGTAGACATTTTACCATAAGTCGAAGGTGCCAGACAGCGACAGCATGTTGAGGTTTCCTTTGTTTATGTGGGAATGCATAATTAGGAAAGAGTGCGTCAGAGAACTTTAGGGTCTTTAGGGAGACTTAAGAGCTTATAGATTAATTGACTGGTTAAATAAATGCAGAACACAGGCCAACGTGGCGCCACTCAAGTGGAATATTGATTTCAGATTAGTCTAAATATGGGGGTTATAATATGTAAGATAATGTCTCCAATTCACTTATTGATTGTCACAGAAAATTCAAAGCAGAAACCATGCTTTAATGAATGGAAAATAATTGCTGTTATTGCTCTCAGCGATGGCAGCTGGAGCTCATCGCAGCCAATGAATATTTAACAGCAAACTGTAGATCACTTTCCCGCATATTACCTACTTGAAGAAGATTTTGTGCAACACATTTGACAAGTGAATACACACATCGTCAGTGCAATTTGACTTTTGATTTTGACTATTAATTGAATGTGGATAATTCAAAGATTGGTTAAGTGTGCATTCAACCATGTATTAACCTCATATTGATGAAATTCTACCTCTTGACATTTCATTTTGATTTGTTCACAGTGTACTAGATTTGCACCACTTTTGATGAACCATTTTATCTCGTTAACATCAAGCAGAGAATTAACTCGGGACATTCAGTGTTTACTTGCTGGAGTGTGAAATTAGGTGATAACTAGTGATATGATATTCCCAGCCGGATAGCACAGTGAATAGATGCTGTTTGGCGTCTGCTTTTCTTAGTTCCAAACAAATCATTTGAATATTTTCTGTGCTAAAATGCATGTGTTTGATAATGACTCATTTCACCATTATGGTCACATACTTTTCCAACCGCACACACCATCAAGCGCTAATTTGCATACCAATTAGTAAGATGTGAGCCCTTTTTTCTGAGCCCCCAAGGCAGCTACAAGAGTCTATTCTTCTTAGAAAATTCCCACAATGCTATTAGCACTTCCAGTTTTCACTTGCAGGTCTTTATACCTACTGTGTTTTTGTTCTCACGTTTAATTTCCTTTCGTTAGAGCTAAAACCATACGGAACACGGTGTCAGTGAACCTGGAGCTCACGGCCGAACAGTGGAAGAAGAAATATGAAAAGGAAAAGGAGAAGAACAGGTCACTGAAGGAGAACATTCAGCGGCTGGAGGTGGAGCTTAATCGCTGGAGAAATGGTAATGTCTTAATATTTACTGTCTATGGCAGGGGTGTCAAACTTATTTTGATTGAGGGCCGGAAAAAAAATTAATGGGCCGTTCAGGGGCCGAAAGAAGAAGTGGGTTTCATTTTTTATACTTTTTATAATATGAAGGTATCTATATAAATGACTTGTTTCACATTAGTTAGACTGGATATTCTTTTCTGATTAGATTTAGTTCAGTTCCTGTGGACTGGACCAAAACTGGACCAAATATTGATGGTTAATGTGAAGATTTTCTACTTCCGGGTTGATCATCAAGACTATTGGTCCTCCCAGTTGTCAATCATTCTGGTGATTCGTGCTCGTCAAATAAGACCAGAGAGTTTTGTTCAAAAAGTGGAGAGGGCGTTTTTTTACTAACAAATCCTCCTTGAAATGTGGTTGAAGACTCGTAAAAACATAGCATAACAACTAACTTCTAATTACACATTTCTTAAGGAATTAAATTTTATGGTATTCTTGAGAAAATTAGTAATGGATAGCATGCCATTGTCGCCTAATACTGTACCGTCAATGCTGCTATTTAATATAATAATTTAAAATCATCTCAGGGGCCACTGGAAATGGTCTCGCAGGCCGGATCTGGCCCCCGGGCCTTGACTTTGACACCTTTGGTCTATGGTCTTCACACACAGAACAGAGGTCACAAAATGAATATTCAAACTCCATGTGAATGTTGTAACATAAACACATTTTGTCAAAACAGATTGGATTTACCAGAGTGCTTTGGTCGTCATGACTTAACAGTGTAATAGCAGAGCGACACGGTGGCACAGCGGTTAGACCTTGTGTTTCATAGTAAGAATGTCGTGGGTTTGACTCCACCTCCAGGTGTTTCTGTATGGTGTTTGCATTTTATCCCTGTCTATCCTCTGGGTGCTCCGGTTTCCCCTACCACTAAAACAATGTTCAATAGGTCTGAATGTAATGAGTGTGTGAATGGATGGTGTTGATTGCGTCAGTCAGTGTGTTCGGCGTTTCGCTTCTGTCATCACCGTGGGGGGAGAAAGGAAAAATATCTGAACTCTGAACATTGTAAAGCGCTTTGGGTGATCTTGGTCTGTAAAATGCTTACTGTACTTACTAAACCACCTCATCTTTAAATCATTCAAATTAAATGATGTGGCCAGATACAGTAAATCAGCTGTTTGTTAAGTGATTCATTACAACATTAATATCCTGTGGCTTTTAATAAAAATATAAATAATAATGCATCGGTTTTATATAGTGCTCTTTTGGACACTCAATGATGCTTCACAATCTTTAATTCCATACACAGTGGTGATAAACTACTATTGTAGCCACAGCTGCCCTGTGACATACTGACAGAAGCGAGGCAACTAGTACAGTGCCTTGCAAAAGTATTCGGCTCCCTTGAACCTTTCAACATTTTGCCCTATTTCAGGCTTCAAACATAAAGATATAAACATTTAATTTTTTGTCTAGAATCAGCAACAAGTGGGACACAATCGTGAAGTGGAACGACATTTATTGGATAATTTAAACTTTTTTAAGTAGGTAAGTAAGTAAGCTTTATTTATATACCGCCTTTCACAGACCAGAGTCACAAAGCGGTTTACAATTGTTATTTTTTGAGCACTTGTCCTCTCACTTTAACAAATAAAAAACTGAAAAGTGGGGCGTGCAATATTATTCGGCCCCCTTGCGTTAACCCTTTAAGCGCCAGAGGTTTTTTTCCAAAACGCTCAATTTTGACATCTTAATTTCAAAAGGCTATAACTTAAAAGTGATAAGAGATAAAGGCTTTCTGTAAATTAGAAAAATATAAAGGATGGTCCAAAGTTTATGTAGAGAATAAATCCCCCCATCTAATTTGCATATTGTGACGTCATTTGGCGTTAGAAATAGTGGATTTTAGAATTTTCATACAATATTTGTATTTTTCTAACTGACAGACATATATTGATCACTAGAACATGAACACACACAGAGCACACACTGTAACATTGTAAATGTTCATGAAAATAGTAAAAAAATATAAATCATGCTGCTGCTGTGAGCAGTCTGCGCAGACGCGCGCCTCCAGGTGATGCGCGTCACCGCGACCCTGCTGCTGCAGCAGTGTTGCCAACTTAGCGACTTTGTCGCTAGATTTAGCGACTTTTCAGACCCCTATAGCGACTTTTTTTCAAAAAAGCGACTAGCGACAAATCTAGCGACTTTTTCTGGTGTTATTGGCGACTTATCTGGTGTTTTGGCGACTTATCTGGTGTTTTGGAGACTCGTGAAGCACGTATTGTTCTGCTGTCCTCAACGTGAGCCCCTCCCCCGTCCCAAAGCACTTACAGGCGGCCAGTCTCACAGTAGCCTTGCGCAGCAGTCCTAGCTACAGTCTATGGGCGGAGCAGAGAGAGAGAGAGGAGACTCAAAAGCACAGGAAGTTTTCAGGCTGCTGCAGACTGAACTTCAGCTCCACCACCACCACACATCCAAAGCTCCCCGGCCACTCCTACCACCGCCACCCCCCACTACCCCCCACTCCATCCGCGGCAGCTCTGTCCGTGACTCTGTTTTCTCTCAGTAGTGGGTCACATTAAATCATTTGTTATGCCAAACTATGAAAAAAAAAAAAATACAAAAATAAACCTAAGTAACTCTGCCAGAGTGTGTCTTTTGGGTCACTTTGCCGGTCCCAAGCCCGGATAAAGGAGGAGGGTTGGTTGTAGAGCTAGCAATTTCACCCTACATAACAATCTTTTTGATTACATTTGCTGTTATAACATTTAACAATACAGGACAAAACTGATGTGTGTAATGTGGATCTAGACAAAGCATTAAAATCATTAAATGTTGTTAATGTTGAAATTATTTTTGTACATTTGTAGTTCTAAACATATTTAGGGTGTTTTTACTCACTTTTGTCTCTCCCACGACCTTATTCCTCTCTCCTACAGCGTCCGTTACAGTTATTTGCAAATGGCAAATTATGCAAATTAGGCGATGACGTCATTTAGCGACTTCTAGCGACTTTTGGGACAGCCAATAGCTACTTTCCTTACTGAGGAGTTGGCAACACTGCGTCTGACACACACAAGACAAGGCTTCTACAACACATTACTGTCCCGGTGATTACGCGAGGCTTGAAAATAAATATGTGGGAAGCACTTTTAGCGGAGACTTTGGCGGAAACTTCAGCGGAGGCTGGAGGTCGCGGCGCGGCGCCCCGACCCGAGTTCCAGGCTTGTTTTCCGCAAATCTAACCTGTCTCCGAACCTCCCAATGACTTTGCCTTACTCTGAGAAACACTGTTCCCACTGCAGACCCTGTGCAAAGTGTCTAAAGTTAGTGTTTGGTGCGCTATAACACTCGCAGGCTGCCCCGCAGCTGCATTCGCTTCGCTATGATTTCCGCACTGGTTCAACGCGGTCTTGCTCGAATATTTTGTATGGGAGCATGACGTTTTTTGGGGCCAGGGAGGTAGTCTGACATGTCTGCCAACTAGTGGCAGGGAGTATGAATGAATTTTGACACTCAGTTGGTCACACTCGGCCGTTTTTAACAGTACCGCAGCTTGTCGACTTAAGTCGACCGTGGCGCCTAGAGGGTTAATACTTTGTAGCGCCACCTTTTGCTGCAATTACAGCTGGGGTATGTCTCTATCAGTTTTGCACATCGGGAGAGACTTCCAAGAATTCCATTCTTGGAAGAAGTGAGGTTGGATGGAGAGCGTTTGTGAACAGCAGTCTTCAGCTCTTTCCACAGATTCTCAATTGGATTCAGGTCTGGACTTTGACTTGGCCATTCTAACACCTGGATACGTCTATTTGTGAACCATTCCATTGTAGATTTGGCTTTATGTTTTGGATCATTGTCCTGTTGGAAGATAAATCTCTCAGGTCTTTTGCAGACTCCAACAGGTTTTCTTCCAGAATGGTCCTGTATTTGGCTCCATCCATCTTCCCATCAATTTTAGCCATCTTCCCTGTCCCTGCTGAAGAAAAGCAGGCCCAAACCATGATGCTGCCACCACCATGTTTGACAGTGGGGATGGTGTGTTCAGGGTGATGAGCTGTGTTGCTTTTACGCCAAACATATCGTTTTGCATTGTGGCCAAAAAGTTCGATTTTGGTTTCATCTGACCAGAGCACCTTCATCCACATGTTTGGTGTGTCTGCCACTGTGTGTCTGGCTTGTGGCAAACTTTAAACTAGACTTTTTATGGATATCTTTGAGAAATGGCCACTCTTCCATAAAGGCCAGATTTGTGCAGTGCACGACTGATTGTTGTCCTATGGACAGACTCTCCCACCTCAGCTGTAGTTATCTGCAGTTCATACAGAGTGATCATGGGCCTCTTGGCTGCATCTCTGATCAGTTTTCTCCTTGTTTGAGATGAAAGTTTGGAGGGACAGCCGGGTCTTGGTAGATTTGCAGTGGTCTGATACTCCTTCCATTTCAATATAATTGCTTGCACAGTGCTCCTTGAGATGTTTTTGTATCCAAATCCGGCTTTAAACTTCTCCACAACAGTATCTCGGACCTGCCTGGTGTGTTCCTTTGTCTTCATGGTGCTCTCTGCGCTTTAAACAGAACCCTGAGACTGTCAAAGAGCAGGTGCATTTATACGGAGACTTGATTACACACAGGTGCATTCTATCTATCATCATCAGTCATTTAGGACAACATTGGATCATTCAAAGATCCTCACTGAACTTCTGGACTGAGTTTGCTGCACTGAAAGTAAAGGGGCCGAATAATATTGCACGCCCCACTTTTCAGTTTTTTATTTGTTAAAAAAGTTTAAATTATCCAATAAATTTCGTTCCACTTCACTATTGTGTCCCACTTGTTTTTGATTCATGACAAAAAATGTAAATTTTATATTTTTATGTTTGAAGCCTGAAATGTGGCGAAATGTCCCACGGCAATGTAATCTTATCTTTGCATTTAAGTTTAAAAATGCAATGGGAAACAGCCTTACATTTGTTCGGCTTCCAGTAGACGGAGCTGTGTTTATCAATGTGTACATGTTGTCCCCGGAGTTTGTTGAGTCTTAAAACAACACAAAACATACAGCATAAATTAGCAAGAAACATTTATGAACAGTATTTATCACAAATGTTATAGAATATTTAAAAAGCATTCTTCTGAACAATGTTTTTGAAAGAGGTATTTTGACTATGGCTAGAATACTGCAAATATTGGTAAACAGTGGGGCAAAAAAGTCAGCCACCTATTTTGCAAGTTCTCCCTCTTAAAAAGATGAAGGAGGCTTGTAATTTTCATCATAGTTTTACCTCATCTATGAGAGACAGAATGAGAAAAATCCAGATAATTGATTCCGATTTTTAAATAATTTCTTTGCAAATTTAATTGGGTTTAATTGAAATTTATTTCAGTTGGTAGAGCATTGGCCTTTGAGCCTGAAGGTCGTGGATTCGAGCCCACCATGAGACCTTCTCCACCGACTCCCGCTGATGTCTGCTGTCGTTGTGTCCTTGGGCAAGACACTTAACCCCACTTTGCCTGAAGCCCCCGCTGAAAGATCAAGACTCCTATGGACTCAACACCTGCAGGAGGATCAGTGAGGGGCTGGTGCTCTGTGTGAATTGGGTGCAGCTCTGACTGCCACCCCTCCATGAATGGGGCCATATTTCGTTTTTTTGAATGAAAAAATCTTTCAATCAGAAAAAAACATTGAAGATGAAACGTGGCTTGGTCTTTCAGCATGACAGTATCCCAAACACACCTCCCAGGCAGCGAAGGAGTGACCTTGCATTTAAAGGTCCTGGTGTGGCCTAGCCAGTCTCCAGATCTCAACACCATATAAATTCTTTGGAGGGAGTAGAAAGTCTGTGTTGCCCAGCGACAACCCCGAAACATCACTGCTCTAGAGAAGATCTGCATGGAGGAATGGGCCAAAACACCAGCAACAGTGTGTAACCTTGTGAAGACTTACAGAAAACTTTTGAGCTCTGTCATTACCAACAAAGGGTATATAACAAAATATTGAGATTAACTTTTGTTATTGACCAAATACTTATTTGTGTGATTTTCTGTATTTTTTGTCTCATTCTGTCTCTCATATTTTAGGTACACCTATGTTGAAAATTAAAGGCCACCCTCCTTTTTTAAATGGGAGAACTTGCGCAATCGGTGGCTGACTAAATTCTTTTTTGCCCCACTGTAGAGCATTTATAATTGCCAAATATATTTGACTATATATAATCAATGTCCCATACACACTACTATACAGTGAATGCTCCAGTTATGATTAAAGGTACACAGTGTAGTTTTTTCCTCCTATCTACATTGAGATCATATTCTGCAGTTCCTTGGAACTACGAGTGCTGCGAAGGACAATACTACCCAACTTCTGGTCATTCGACCAGGGCGCACGGTAGAGCTAAATGTGCGCAGGTGCTGAAATATAAAAAAGGTCTGCCTTTCTGAAGCTGTACCCGCCTGCTGCATAGAGGCTCTGGTGTTTTACAAACACCAGAGAAGAGGATCAGAGTAGTGAGGATCAGAGGATCAGAGAAGCCAGGACATGGCCTTGGACATGGCCTTGGACATGGGCATACATACACAGTCGCGGCAGAACTGTGGCTTAAAAAATAGCTTTCAGTGTCGCGTCTGCATCACCAGGTGGGAAAACTCATCTGTATTCCGGCGATTGTTTTGACAATGCTGTTATGCAAATATTTGGAGACCTGTGTCATATTTCTTTTTCTAAAAGAGTAACACCTGTGAAATGAAAACGCAATTCTTGCATCCTTTTTGTCCCTCATCCACCAATGTATTTAAAAATGGCGCATTGACATGGAGAGTCCTCAGCTCTCATGGACCTTTATGGGCACGGTCACATTGGTTTTCACAAACAAACTAGGCCAAGCGGCCCGGATCGTCGCCACAGGGGTGTGAAGGGTTTATTTTTCCAACCGTACCAGCCCAAATGTGCTGTAGTACAACGCTCGGCCCAACTGGTGCCGCTTATACTAACTTCAATGACTACCTCGTTGTCAGAGTTCAGTTTCCGTTTCTCTTCCTGTTTACACTCGGCTTCTGTGCGTCAACAGCTCAAGAATGGATCGCGTGAGATGTGTCTTTCTTCAATGTGCAAAGCCTGGATCTAATCGTGATCTGGGCCCAGGCCCTCTTTAACTGGGCTTTAGGTTGTGTTTGTGACCGCAGCTTAAAAGTCAAATCCTATTCACCAATTCAAAAACTTGGTGGAGGTAAATATTCTTAAAAAGGTTGTTAATTGTTAACATGTTTCTAATTTGGAGCAACTGTAAAAATTACACAGAGTACCTTTAGGACATTTTTGGAGGTCATTCCATGATGCTGATGGATGTTGGTGGGAACAATTCATTTTATGGTGCATGGTAGACAATTGTTCTACCATGCAGTAAAGCATTTCACAAACTACTTTATCTGTTCTCTTTATTAAAACATGTACCTGCTGGACTGGGCATAATGGGTGTTCCAGGCGGGCCGCCCCCTCCTGGTGGTCCCTATAATAGCACTAAAATTACGAATCTCCAGGTGAAACTTGGAAAATTAGAATATGTCCATTGACTTCTGTATTTCAACTTATAATGTGAAACTATTATTACCGACAGACTTATTACACAGAAAGTGAGAAACCATGAAAGTCTTCCATCACAGCTGTAAAATCATCAGAAATATAACAAACAAAAGCTGAGCGTATGTCATTTTGCATTTGATGAGTCTGTATCATAACCTGGTTTCACATTTCAAGTTGAAATACAGAAATAAATTCACTTTTTATGATATTCTTATTTTCCACCTGTATACAGAAATGTTGGGGCATAAAACATTGAACATTATTACCACATAACTTCCTGGAGACGCTGACGAGTAAGGTGTCTGCAGAAAACACAACAATTTCCGATTAGTTCATCAAGTAAATGTAAAGCATTATCTGGTAACACTCACAGAATTTGTGTTTGGAGGATTTGGCCATGGTCTCCCCACGCCAGGACCCCTAAACATGAGTCTGACGTTATTCATGAAATACTTAATAAATTACTTAATAAATAAAAAAATACACAAAGCAACCATAAAAAACAAACATTTATTCAAAAAATGTTTCATGTTGTTTCTTTTTGGAGGGAACACGGTGTTCCGTTGTTTCTGATGTTTACTTGAAACAGTTTTATAAACTTGCAACTTTGAAGCTGAGAAAAGAGCACATTTCTCCCATGACTCCAGGGTCACTGTCCAGAAGTCACATCTCAACATGAATGCATTTACCAAAATTTTGTGGTTTTATATCCAATCAAAGGTTAATTTATAATTATATTTTGGATGAAATATAGTTATTTGCTCAATAAATAGAACTGTAACGGTTGATTAATAAATCTAGTGATTGATCTTCTGATCCATTGATCAGTTGTTGAGGAAGTAACTATGAACTCTTTTCAATGTTTACACTTTTCAAAGTTTTTTCCAGGACATATGTTTTATCTATAAAAAACAAAACATTTACAGCTTTCCTCTAGAGTTATTGCTGTGTTGTAAAGTCACATCTGTGAGCAAATACCTGTGTTGAAGTCTGGATTACTGAAATAATTCTTATTATTGAATCTATAATATGACGTTACAGTCTTCTAATAGTTTAAGACATCAAAAACTCACATGTTCATACCAGGCATCCCAGCCCCGATCAGTGCACTGAGTGGTGGCCTCATCCCACTGCCATAGTTCTGAAAAATAAAAGTCTTATTTTCTTTTTCAAACTATAATCATAATCACCCTTCACATATTGTACATACATCCAGCATGAGGTCTTTTACCTGCGGCCCCAGGGGGACCATTCCTCTGGGGGTCGTCATCCTCTGTATGGGGCCGCCCAAACTCGGATGTCCTGATACATGTTTTTATTTATCATTATACCCAAACGTAATTGTCATAATCCAAACTACACACAAAGTCATATGTGTAGGTGTAGTGTGCACCTGGTTGTCTGATTGGGTCCATTCCACTTGGTAACATTGGCTGGGTCCCGGGGACGCCCCCTAGTGCCTAAGCAAAGCACAGCAGGTCAATTTATTACGTTCTCCCACACCTTAAATATTTACACTTGGTATTCATATAGACTGGTTTGTGGCTGATGGACTGAAAATAACACCCTGGAGGTCTAGATTTTGTCAATTATTTCTTTCTTTCTTGTTTGTCAACAACTTCTTTATCAAGGTGATTGCAATAGTATCACATTGGTAGATTCAGATGCACGGAGCATCAAGGTTAGAATAATACAATACAAAAAGTATAAAAAGTGAAAGGTCTGACAAATCATGTGTTACCATTGTTACTGTATCTGTACCAGAAAATATTGTGGACAGTCCACATATTGTTCTAGTGAATGTGGACCACTCTTAGATAAGACGACAGTCTGTCATAGTTTACTTCCTGTTGTGTGATCACCTGCCCCGCCCTCATGTGTATCGCTTGTGTCTTAGTCTTGTGTATTTGTGTATTCCTTCACTCCCTGCTCCGTCATTGTCATTCCATGTCTGTTTTAGTTCTTGTTGTCTGTTTGGTTAATTTTGTGTTGTTTTCTCTGGATTTTGCATAAGATAAATTCCATTATTTTTGCAGTTCTGCCTTTTGGGTTATTTTCATTCCTCATGACACAGTTGGACTGAAACATGACTGACATCTGGAAGCTTGGCTGTGGCTGAGTTTCAATACAGTTTCTATATTCATCGATATCAACACAACTTGTAATTACTGGTGGTCCTGACCTGACTTGGAAGTCTGAGTGGTTGTCTGGGTCCTCCAGAGTAACGTGGAGACATGAAGGGCTAAGAAACAAAAGCATTGGACACTTAGTATTTCCAATGCAGTTGTGTTCATGTACTGCAACATTGCATCACTAGAGGGCAATGGTTCTCCTTCACTTTTGTTGCTTTTTCTGTAGCTTTTACTTTTGCAAGTACAATTACAACTATAAAGATTCTTTGATACTTTAATGTGACACATGTAGGCTAAATGGATTTGTTGGAGAACAATGGTGCAATGCAACAAATATGTTTTCTGTGTCAGTTTTGACAATAAAGAACATTGATCTCTAAAAGAAAATATCTGTTTAGCCTCAGGTTTAGGTGTTCAGACAGCGCTGAAAAAAGTCAATGGAGGCTATTGATCTGGTGTCATATGCTACAGTCTGAGGCGGACTGATAAAGACGTCTAATCAATGTACAGCAGCGTATTTGGGCAGAGAGCGGGCTGGTGTCTGGAGATACGTTTCTCCAGTTAGATTCTATTCTTGATGCCCATTGGTTACAGCAGGCCGAAGGTTAATCTAATCTGTATTCACTTTATGTATGATTATGACAATAAGGCTTGGTTTGTTTTTGTAAAAACACTTTGAATGACTTTGTGTATGAATTGTGCAATACATATAAAAAGGCGAACAAATGTGGAATACATAACTTTGGTGAACAAAGCACAATCACAGTATTACCAGCATGTTGCTAAAGTTATTCACACATTTTGTATGCAATAATACCTGGAAAAATCCTGGAGGCACAGGCCCCACGGGCATCCCCTCTCCGGGTGGCAGATTGCCGATCACGGGGCTAGGGGCAGCAGCAGCGCTCTATATAAACAAAGATCACTTAGGAATACACGAAATATACAACATTTTTCAAACTTTGTCCGCATCTAGTCCATGTACTGCTTCCTGTTGTAGCATTTTTATCGTTATTGTGGTCCCAGTCTGACGACAGGCAGTGGCACCTATCAGCTCCGCCTCTGTCAACTTCCTTTACCATTGTATTGTGGACTCACACATACACACGCACACCCGCACACACATTCTGCTTAGGATAATGCGTGAACAGTGAGACCCTAAAGTTTGAAATCCTGTCTCTCTCCATGTGCCCGTCAATTCTGCCCTATAGAAGATGCTCTGAATCACAGCCTCTGAAGTTTCCCGCCAGCTGAGTTTTTAGGTCAGGCTGGTTTAATCAGAGCTGAGATAAAAGGGGACTGACATAAAGGCTTTCTCTCCTGTTCTATGACACTGCAGCCACACAACACAGAGCAAACATTGCGCACCAGCCAATGTGCTAAAATCAAGTTTTAGCATGATTTTCAGTCTCTATCTAAATAACATGAGCACATTTGTGTCAACATTGTCCCCTCAACTACAGCTTTGACAGTTGACTGGGGAGACAGTCACAGATGGATACTGTGCGAGGAAAGAGGGGGTTTAGTTTGACACATCCACAGAAGCGAGACTTCTCCCTTTTCTTTCGGTCGCAAACTAGAGCTGCAGATTACTGAAATGCCTGGATCCACTGGCAGCCTGAAGGTCTGCTGAGTTTGCCTTTGCGGAGGAGCAGAGTCAGAGGAAGGGGAGAGGACAACGCAGTAAAGCAGTGTGAGTTTGTGAAAAGAAAATGTACCTGACCTGCTGACAAAGTAGCATTTAAATACAGCAGTAAATGAAGTAAATACATGAAAAAAACAAATGCAGCACCAAAAGTGTACCATTCTGACACCCTTGCAATAGGCAATATTGGCTCTCTGGTTAAAACAATACCCCCTCCTCACCCCTCCCATCATCTGAGGAGGGGAGGTTTTCAGTGTTTTTCTTCTAATGAATAGAAGTTTGCATTTTTGTTACAAATGTCATTGCTAAAAGCCATTGCGAGTGACAGAGTACAAATTTGAATATTTTTAAGTAGTACTATGTAGTGTAAAAGTACCATGTTGTGTAAAAGTACTATGTTGTGTAAAAAGTACTACTAAAAGTACCACCAAGTTTATTCCAATGTGATTGCAAACGGCAAATACAATGAATCTGAAGTTTTGTATACTGTCCAAAAGGCCTGTAGAGTGTTTAAGATACCACATTGTGTGAAAGTATCTAGTATCTTGTGACTACAGATGTCATTCTGTCATGTGCAATTCTATACACATTTTCATAGTTATGATGAATGAGAACTCCGGAAAATAAACACTTATTAAAAAGTAAAAAGAATAGAAAGCAAAATAAGAGCAGAGTATTAAGCCTTGCACTACCAAAAAAAATAACACGGTAGAAGTACTAAAATAAACAGGACAATATGGAAGTGTCCACAGTGCAGAAACGTCCCATCCTTGCTGAGGGACGCTTTGTTGCTAAAACTATGCTTAGCTACATCCAATAAGTCACGATGGCGGAAAAGTACAACTCACCGACCAAATAAGGCAGAAGTAGTACAAATGCCAAAATGAATAACAGCAATGAATTTCTGACCAGTATCAATGAAACTTGAAGCTTGGGCACTATCCTCTTAGAGTGATAAACATGTGCTCCTTCCACAAACTCATTTGTCACATCAATTATTCAGAACCACACTCTGCACTTAGGATCCGAGTCCAGAATCCTCTCCTATTTCATTAAGGTGAGATTTTTTTCTTTATTTTTATGTATATTACTTTTCAATTCACAACATAAATAATAATAGGATGACTTTAACTCGGTAGAGGTCGGACAGACTTTCCGTGCCCTTCACTCTCCGGTGGTCCCATCAGGCCACAGCGTCAGTAATGAGAAAACTTACAAACTCCATCATGTCTATGTGTGTTTACTGTTGCGTTCGCCCTAATAAAGTGTGTGCCGTGTACATCTGTGTGTGATTGAATGTGTGGAGTCATTTTCCCTCAATTCTTCAGAGACAGAGGCGCAGAGAGGCGCTGGAGATGCGTGAGTAGAATCTCAAAAGGCTGTGTGTCTGTCCTCACTGTCTCAGCCCACTGCCCTCACTCCTGCAGTTTTTATTGTTCTTTCTTTTCTTTTTAATACTGTGCTATTTACTTTGGAAGGATTAGTCAACTAGGAATGTCAAGAACGTTGTATAAATGAAAAATATAACAGTAATAACAGATCAAGCCATTTCAATTGAGCCAATTTGAAAGTCATTCATTTTTTCATGAATACTACGTTTACGTCCATAATCGAAATAATCTATATCTAGAATCAGTAAATAAATCATGATATTTTACAACCCATTCCGATCATTCTGATGTGTCACACTCCAAGACCCTGCCACACTTCTTTTCCCCTCTGATCTGCCGCACCAGTCACTGCCTGCAGTTACATCCCGGAAAATATGAAGCAGTAAAAATGTATTGTGTGTTTTTGTGTTACAGCCTTATTGTAGTAGACCCAGAACTATTGCGCTGATTGAGAACATGCACAATAAACATAGGGATATAACCAAAGTCTTTTGAAAACAAGGGGTAAGACGAATTTTTGTGCCTAGCTAAAGTACATGTGGTTTGACATTCATTCCATGTCTGATGAAGGGTAGTGACCCGAAACGTCACATTGTGGGGTGAGAATTAAAATCTCTTGGTAGCAAAAGCTGTGCAGACTCATCTCCATTTTCTCATTGATTTATTTTCGAGCTTTAATTTTAACCTTTGATATTAGAATCAGAATCAGAATTAGAGTTATGGCGCCACCTGCATGTCAAAGCCAGATCCTGTCAGACTTCTGAAACTCAGCAGGTCATGGCCTGGTTAGTGCTAAGACGAGAGACCACTGTAATGAGACGGCTGTAAAGTGCCAAACTCTTGTTGTATCCTCAAGGCAAGACACTTCACCCACTTGTTTATTTGGTTTGAATTTTGTTATTTGCCTATTGGTGAATCAGCACATTTCTGAAGTCATTTTAGATGATTGTTTCAATGATAATTTATCATTTTACATGGACCTTTTTATGTGTCTGGATTAAAGATTAAACAATTACTGTATCTGCAGAAAGATAGAAAGATGTAGCTTTTCTTGAGTAAAACTGCCTGTGAGATCTAGAATGATCAAGTTTTTACGAATGAATTAATGAATTTATTGAGTCTGTAATAGTAAATACAATATCACATATGCAATGCATAGTAATAACAAAAATAAGATTGACATAAAATAAATACAGTATCTCAAAAGGGTAATGGAAAGAAGTATACACCTATCAACCCAAACCCCTTTTATTTTTGTCCTCACATACACAATGCATGTACATTACAGAGAGACCACATTTTATCTGAACCCTTTTGAAACCCTTCCCCAATGAATCAGGGCAGTAACAGAACAGATAAGTAGCAGTAACATATAGTTAGTAAATAAAAGTATGAAAGAAAAATGGTTGGTTTTATTCTTTATTGAATGATATAACAAAATGAATGACAGAAAGCCAGCCTTTCCCCAGCCCCCATTGTCCAGGTATTCAGAGTTTGACATTAAAAGGACATAACAGGATTCCATTTCCGCAGATGCCATTGACAAAAGAAATCAGTGGCTTTTCACATGCATGGGTAAATAGCCGCTGATTTCTTTTGCCAATGACATCTGCAGGAATAGCGTATAATACTGTATGTAATTAGAAGCCAGCGCTAAGTGGTACGTATGCTATATGCACACCACATGATTACAATTACAAAAACACTGTTTCAATTGGAAGCCTATTTATAGATGTTCAGTTTTTTCATCTTTGTATTCTCACTCTGTAGGCGGATTAATGATTTATTAATGTATACGTGGGAGTCTATGTGGTGTTTTAGTCACTTTGCAGCATTAATGTCAAGCATATATACTGCAATTTTTTTATTATTGACCTGCTGCACTTGATCCATAAGAAAAATCAGCTATGACTAAGAATGAGATTGGACCACTGTAAAATCACTTCTGTTGAAATAGTTAAGATGCTTCTGTAATATTCCATACTGTCTTTGAATATTGTAACACTGACAACTATGCAGTCTTGTTGATGCTCTAAATGCACATTTGGTGCTCTCTGGGATGATGACAGTAAATTGAATCTTGAATTTCTGTTTTTTGGAGGATTTGTGGAGAAAGGAAAAAATGAAAATTGTAAAAATGCCAGCCAGTCCGTCCAGCTTTTCAGACTCATGACAGAAGGCTGTTCGATGTTCCAGGTTCTGTTCCCATGTGTTAACCTACCGTCCACCCGGCTACTCCCTTTTACATTCATTAAAATAATTAGAGTAAATACCAATGAAAGCTATTTTTTCTCTGGAAAACAGCATTATTTATTTTGCTCTATTCAATGAAACCAAAACTTGATTACAGTACTATAAGCGGCTGTCAAGTTCTTTTAACCCTGCAGCGTACAAAGAGATGCGGCCAATGTATGTATTTCTATTCTGTTAGAGCGCCCCCTGGAGTGCAAGGAGGGGATTTTGACACCGCTCTATCGGTGCTGCGTTATGAGAGCTGATGACGCAGCACACTTTCCTGCGTCAGTCTGTTTATGTGAACAGCAGAGAGACATGAGGAAGTTCAGTGATTAGGGCTGTTTTCAGAGCAGAGTTTATGGCCTTATTATTCTGACTGATAAATACCTACACTAAACTGCCCACTACCCAGGGACTATTAATTGATTTCTATTAAATTGATTCTTGTATAGCCCTAAATCACAACAGTAGTTATCTCGAAGACGGTTAAATTTTCCAACTTAGATTAGAGAATCAAACTGGTCAAACACAAGAAATTAAATGATAAAAAAACATAGTCATTGGTCCATAAATGTTGTTGAATGTTGAGTGTCCTGGCTCATCATCACGGTCCTTTTAGTCAGATAATACTACTAATAATAATACTACAAATTTAGTTGATCCAAAAGGAGTATGTGAATAGGCAAACAACAATGTATTGTGGTTCTTATTCCATGTGCAATATCTATATCTTATGGTACATTACATTGTGATTATCATTTCCTTGGGTGCTTTGAACACAAATTTAAAGTATAAGGCTGCAGGCAAAATTATGCTGTTTTAGCCATTCCGCTCAGATTCTAACTTATTACACCAAACCCTCTGAACACTGTTTATTCAAGACTTTTCCCCTCAAATATTACATTTTCCTCCCTTGTGCAGCTATAGCTTGGAGGGTGTTTGGTATTTTCTCCACGCTACTATTGCAAGGCCTGCCCACCAACACATTGGAAGACAGACATATTTAGAACTACTTTTTAAGTCGTTTGAGATGATTGATGGAGATTCAATTGCATTGACTTTATTAAGCTTCCATTTTTATAGAAGATAACCACATAGGCTGTATTTCTCAAGCAGAAGTTATATGAGTGCTTAATTTTCCTGCGGCTGGCCCTGACTATAGATATCATCACTCAGCTTTTTAAATTAGCTTTCATATTTCATCCCCACTAGGTCATTCCTGTCACATACTTTACACCTGTTGTCTCTGAACCAAAAATTGATGGAAATAGCTTAGTTTACTCTCTTAATCAAAGCTCTCACCTGGACTGTGCTGCCACAACTCATTTAAAACAGGACATTACCTCAAAGTCTGGCCCTTAACAAAGATTTACTTCAGCCTCTTCTCTCCCAAAGGCTTTCGGGCACTTTGAAGTCTCCATCTCCACCACCTTACTGTTATGGTAATCTAGCAGCTTTTTAAATTCAGGGTATTTGCAGAATTATCGTTGAAGCGTTGACCCAAAAAATGGCGCAGTATAGAGTCCATTCATCACTGTCTGTGGACCTCTGTCTACAGAGATGAATCCTGCTCCGCGCTGCTACTCCTCTGTTTTACCAGGAGGCCATCGCTCACTGTCTTCATCATTCAACTTTTTAAACTATGCACTCAAATCTACTGAACGTCATTTTTAAAAACTATTTGAAAAGCTTTCCAAGTGTCGCTTTAATCGATTAAAGATGAGCAGGTGAGTGCATCAGGATAAAAAAAATAAAATAAAATGGAAAAGGGTGCTTCAAGGACTACTAGGCCATGTAACTTTGAAAAATTCAATTCAATCAATGTGTGTAGCCCTAAACCACAACAGCAGCTGCCCTGAAGGACTTCATAAAAACAGATCGAAAGCAATCATAACAAACATGTAAGAGACATTGGTTCATAGGGAGCAGAATGGCCGATGTCCATAAATGTTAATAAATGTGCAAATATGTTCATGAATGTCCTGGATCATCCTTGTATTTAGACCCTCCTGCATTAGCATGGAACAACTCAAAAAGATAGAAAATAAAAAGTTAAACCAAATCCTCAGAAACCTCGAGGAGGAACACACTGAGAGAGGGATGTGCTCCAACAAAAAGACGGGCTTTCGATCCGGGACCCGGGCAATAGAACCAGGAATAAAAAATAATAAAAAGTTAAAAAGGGTGAAATGTCTCGGGCACGTATTACATTGTGAAATAAAAGTTCTTCTTTAGGCCAATGCACATAGAAATAATGATCAAGCACAAATAGGAATGAAAAGAAGTAAAAAAGTAGTGTCTTCTCTCATTCAGGATTCAATTAATATAATGAAAGTCTGTATTTCACAAGGAAACTTCAGACCTCTATTTTGTTGAACTGCTTTTAGATTTACAATTCTTCTTTCATTGTATTTGTCGTTTGTATCATTAATGTTTTCTCTTGCAAAAGTTGGAATCTGAAGTAGAGTGAAGTGGACTGGTAAAACTGTCAAGAGGACGGATGCGTTGGTGGTAAATGACTTAAAAAGACTGTGGTTAAGAACTCAAAAGAAACTGTCTGTACCATTACATTTGAATTTGAGTGGTGTTATGAGTAATAGTTTTTGGCTGTGCGATCATAATTTTGTTTTTTAGTTACCAGTTTACCAGTTTAGTTACCAGTTAATTGACTACATTAAGTGAAACATTTTTTTTTCCTGTTCTGATGGGGAAGTATACAATCATCCAAACATAATGCAGTCTCTTTCACAGATACGTGCCTAGCTATATTGCGTAATTTGTGTATGCTTTGATTTCTTTATACCATGTTGTGAACAATGGTGCATCTAAATACAGAAACCCAGAAAAGAGGCATCTCCTTTTGTATCCAAATATAGCTTGTGTCTCTGCTGCAAAAAAGGGTTTATCAGATACAGAATTATAGATCGTCACTCAATCAGCAGTACGAGTGAGGTCAGGTTTGTAATCAGAATTTCAATTACTTCTGCTGCTGCTGCTGCTGCTGCAATCCTTTGTCTCAAAGTTCCTTGCTGTTCGAAAGAGAGTGGGTCAAGAAAAGGCCCATTTTTCACTCCTACATGCTATTAGCTTGTTCCGATGCCTTGTGCCTATAGCTTCTTGTTTCTCTATTGATTTGTCATTTAGCCACCACTTTCTTTTCCAGCTTGTGTTCTTGGTTGAAAATAAGGTCAAAGGGTTAATACCTTTCTGATTTGAACCACTGCATCTTTTTTCCTGTTTTGACTTGGACTGGGTGATATGCCATAAAATATTAAAATGTACTTGCCAATCAGTTCTTGATTTAAAAAGTGATCACAATTTATGAAAAGATAAGGTAACTAAAGTCAAATCGTTGAGTCTTTTTCCCACTGAGCAAAAACCTGGGCTTATAACGAAAAACTGCAGGTTTCTTCTTCCCCTTCTACACTGAGAGACACAGACTGGTGTGTTCAAACAACCAACCATTTAACCCGCCTCATGTGAACACCAAATACAGCAATAATTTAGACATAGTTAACTAATTGAAACCTTACCGTTTTATAGCCCGATGCTTACCTGTGGGTCAGAAGATTATAAAACACAGCGTAACAGGCTGTGTAACAAGAGTGAAGCAAATTTTTGGCTTTTGCACGACAATTTTATTGAACAAAATAACATGCATGTTTTCAATTTAAATTTATGTTTGTGTAGCCCTAAATCACAACAGCAGTCGTCTTTGAGGACTTTACAAGGTTGTCGATTAACAAAACAACAGATCAGAGAATCAAACAGGAGCCATTGGTTCATATGGAAGACTGATGTCCATAAATACATGTTTTGGGCTGGATGAAACGCTTATTCAACAAAGACATACAGTAGTAACACAATACAGTCTTATGTATGGCACATGTACAAGCCCGAACACTCCCCACTGCTCCCTCTGTACTGAAGGCATCACTCACTACTTCTTTCAAACAGTTTTTTTCTTCAATAAGTTGTCCTTATATAAAATGTGTTTGAAAAAGTTTATACCCCGTGGATGATACGCTTGTCATAGTCCATCATAATCTGATTCCCTGGAGTCCTGGATGTACTGTGCTGCGAGAATGCCTTGTGTTTGATCAGATTTGCATTAAATGGTGAAACAGTCAGTCTTATTTATATAATCTATATTTATATATGCATATAGAATAAGCCTATCTCAGTAATGATCTCCCTCCAATGTTTATAACCCATGTTGAATCTTTCCAAATAATCCCTACAAGACTGGACCACTTTACCATCTCCTATTTGTGCAGTGTGTTGATTTTTCCACATTCCTGTCACCAGACTCGCCTCGTGGCTTTGGAGGCTGAGCTGTCCCGCATCCAGGAAGTGAGCAGTCACCAGAGGAAACGCATCGCTGAGATCCTCAACGGGCTGATGAGGGACTTGAGCGAGTTCAGCACAATAGTTGGAAACCGGGACATCAAGCTGGTGAGAGCAGGGATGCTGAATTTAATTAGCGCCAAAGGAAACAGACTGTGAAAAATATGGCACAGAGAACTGTCAATAATGAGTGTAGCTCAATATGTGTTTATGCTTTGGCTTCCAAAATACTTCCCTCTGCCGTGTTTTGCAGTAGATTTAGTTTTTGGAAACAACCACCAGTTATGTTAAGCAATTACACTAGACTCAACAAGTGCAAATTACAAAAGACACAACATAATCACAAAACTCTACTGGTCTGTGTAAAAAAGTTTTCTTTTGTCCATTGTGCTTAGTCTGGTGTCAAAAAGATTTTTGTATTGCACATTTTAAACAAGGGTAGCTCATGGTGCGTAACACCAGGGGAGACATTAGATCAGACAAATTGAAAAAGTCTACTGAAAGAAAGTTTTGAGTCTTAAGTGTAAAGAGGTGGAGAGGGGCTGAGTGCTACACTGGGTCTGTTAAAAATTTAGAAAAGGAGAGGACAGATTTACATAAAAGTAGTTACCCTTGCTGCACTGTGAAGTAGGCAATAGACCTCAGGCACTCTGACTGGTGTCCAGTAAGATCTCGTATTTTAACGGAAAAATTAACAGTGTGTCGACCAAACTGTGGTCTTGGTCAGGGCATTAAAAGCGCAGGTGTCCTTAAATATATGTGATCACGTGGGTAACTTGAACCTTCTTCCAATATTTCTTTTTATTCCCGGACAAAGACCAGAGTCTGGTCAAAATAGGTTTTGAATCTTAATTTACCAGTTTGTGTGCTTTGGGTTTATTTACACACTTTACATTGTAGCAAGGGTAACTACTTTTGTGTAAAAGTGTCTTTAGTTTACTCATAAATCATCTGAGCGACACACTGGATATTGTTAGACAAGGAGAAAAATGGGAGAAAACTTCTCCTATTCTCAGTATATGAAGATTTAAAAATCTATCCAGGCTTGAATTTGAATCCAATAATGTTATTCCTGTAATATCTTTTTCTTGTCGCACTGTGAGATGCATACATTTAAATATGCTAAATATTTAATATAGAACACATTTATTCAAGAGGCTAAATTGTATGTTTGTGTACTGGTGTAGGAGCACCTATGGTGTACAGGCTCATAGAATGATTCAAGATCAAGATTGAACATCGAAGACTCCTTTAGTTTTCTCCTCCCCATGAGAAGAAATTTAATTTGGTCTGCTGCATCCATTACAGTACAACAATAAAGCAGGTGTAGAACAGAGCAAGAGCTCTACAGAAGTGGAGTGCACTTGATTAAACCCCAGGACACACGTCAGAGAAGAAACACACAAACACATTTAAAGCATGTGTACATAAACATGTATTTCTTGTTTATTTAACCAGGAAAATCCAATTGAGATTCAAACATCTCTATTCCAGGGGTGTCCTGGTCAAGAGACAATCACAATCAATAAAACACATTGAGAGATAGAAAGACATATACTTTATTTATCCCTTAGAGAAATGTAGGTGTCCAGCTGCAGAAACATATCCATCCTTACACATTAATAAATATATAATTCTAAATTTCTAACAACAGTATTAAAGTGTCCATGCTTAACAGTCGTATAGCCAAAATTCCATTTGAAACATTAATACATTGCCAAAATGTTCTATTGGTACAAGACTTTGACGTTTAACAGTTTCATATTTACTTCTGTAATAAATTCCAGTCTCTTGGAGAGCGATACTGAAAGTACATTTTTGATCTTTCTGTCCTGATGCTGGGGACAGTCACAGTGAAGACATCCAGAAGATATCATGAATAATGTATTTTTTTCCAATAGCAAAACTATGATCGCTTTCCTTTGAGAAGTTTACGCAACAAAGTTAACAGAATTGAAAGTCAGCAGCAGGGGTTGAAGACGTCGTTTGCACACATTTGCACCTCCCCCGTCAAACATAGACAGATTGTAAAAGTCTCACTCACTCTTCCTCCTCCTCCTATTTCAAAGCATCTGTTAAACGGCCCCATTACCTGCGCAGCTATGAATATAAACCCCCCCTTCAAAGCCGCCTTTACTTTCCTCTCTGCATAACGTTAAGCAAACTTTACTTTGTTTGGCAAATAGACAAACATACATATAAGAAAGTAAAAAAGAAGGAACATTGAATAAAGAAGAAAGTTAAAAGCAAGAAATGAACAGTTCAAATTCTATCCATGATCATAGAGACATTAGCAATATCTTTGAGCCAAGTGCAACTATAGCTCCAGAGTTTATATTATTATTATTGTTGTTGTTTGATGTGTGCAGAACTCTTATTTCTCCTTCTATTCCTCTGTATTGTGTGAAACTTTGACATTGAAATTTCCAGACTGAAGGACGAATGAAGGTTTTTCTCTGGTCTTATCTTATAACACTAACTGTAGCTCAATCAACTTTTATTTGTAGAGCGCCTTTCATCACATCAAGCATAAATCACAAGCAATAACATCTAAGTAAACATTAATAATTATTAAAAACTTTTTTTTTTCTTTTTTTTAAGGGAATTACAAACTTTAAAACATTTAAATCATAAATAGCCACAGTGCATTAAAAATAGTAAAGATAAAATCCTTCAGTGATAATAAATATAATAATATTCACAATGACACGTTTATACATGCACGCAGACACCAAATACTCACATACACACGGATGCGCACACACACACACACACACACGTACGCGCACGCAAAAAACACACAGAGGCACACGTATACGAAAGCGCTCACACACTCAACTAAAACAAATAAGTAGACCAAATATTGCCAGTCCACCTATGTTTCTCCAAGCACACACACACACGCACACGCACACACATACACACACACACACACGACCCGACCCGCAGATATCATTAGTAAACTTGAATGTATCTCCTCACAGCCGTCGGATATCACCGGCGCCATCGAGGAGGAGTTCACCGTGGCGCGCCTCTACATCAGCAAGATCAAGTCGGAGGTGAAGTCTATGGTGAAGCGATGCCGTTACCTTGACAACCTGCAGATGGAGTGTCAACGCAAGATGGAGGAGACAGGCAAAGAGCTGTCCTCATGTCAACTCCTGGTCTCACAGGTGAAATGTCCCACAATGAGGAGGAGTGATGAAGATTCAAAGTGTGTGGTTCCAAAGCTGTAATTATGGCCGTGGTTAGCAAGGGCGAGCATACAAGCTTCAAGTGTCTGTTGGAGAGATGATGGGGGTGAGAATAATGGCGTAATTAGCAGTTTAGACAAAGAGAAGGCTGATTGGGTTTAAGGGTTTGTGCAAGACATGTTGTTTGGATTTAGTGAAGTGATTGCTGCTAGAGCTAAGTAGTTGATTTGAGATGTGTTTGGATAATCGAACCTTTTAGGCATCAAAGTAGAAAAATTGGTTTATCTGAATCCAGGCCTGGCAACCTAAAATGTTTTAGTAGTTGTCTATCCCTTGTAGTATTTCAGGGCTCCACCTTTTGTCTATTTAACATTTCATTTCTGGAAAACATTGGGTTAAAGGCAAATAAGTGATACAAAAATAGTTGTGGTTTCAACTTTTTTTTTTCTTCATAAATCATACATTTTGTTTAAAAGAGAAAAAGAAGTCTGAGGCACTCTGTTGAAAATGAAAAAATAAAATTCCTTTATTAAAATTTACTGCCTACGGTCATTATGTCACAAAGACCACTTCTTTTTCTCTCTTCGACATCCTAAATCTGCTTAGATTGCCCTGTCTTTGAGGAGCACCTGTTTGTTAAACCTTCTACCACTCGTACCCTCTGCAGCACTCACCTTCCTTGCTTTAAAATAAATTTTGTTTGTTGCAACAGAAAGAGTATTGTAAAAGTAAATGATGAACGAATCAGACCAAGACATGGTGTCTTCCTCTTATTGGAAAACATTTTTTATCTCTTAACACTGTGTTTTGACACTTTGGGAAAGTGAAATAGAGAGGAGGCCCCTCACTCAGCTCAAAGATGTGACAGAGTCCAAAAAATACATGCATGGGAAAATGTATTTGATGTATTTTCTACAGCTTAGTCAATAATTATTGTGTTGCAGTGGGTAAATTGCTTGAAATGAACATGAAGGTTTGCATAATTATCCACAAATGTTTACTCATGATGTGTTCTCACTTGGCTCAATTCCAACAAGTAAACTGTAAACTGCTTAAGATTGCTTAATTGTACCACTTGAATAGGGATTAGATCATTTCCTTTGAGTGTGTCATTTTGAATATTGCCAGTTTTTTGTTTGATTGGAATATTTACAGCGATTTGAATCATAAACCGGAGTAATCTGGTAAAATCGTTGATCTCCAAAGTTAAAACAGCAGTTCATGAATGTTGTGATCTCAAGTGATCGCTACATGTTTTGAAGGACTGAGTTCATGTCCCTTTCGGCTCATAATATCCAGCAGGTCCATGTCTCATCAGTATTCAGTGTTAGTTCATGTTGCTGTTTTGTATCTTGCAGCATGAGGCGAAGATCCGCTCGCTGACTGAGTGCATGCAGAACGTGGAGCAGAAGAAGCGGCAGCTAGAGGACAGCTATGACTCTCTGAAAGAGGAACTGGCCAAACTCCAAGCTCAAGGTGCAGCGCCAAAGCCTTTGTGATAAATCACTGTAATGTCCTCCACATAACAATGTGACAATCGCATAGAGTTGGTCCCAGCCAAAACTCAAGTTCAACAAATGTTTAAAATCATGGAAAACATAATCATTATTTTTCTTAAATACTAATTTAAATCTAGTATAAAAAGAGGAATATTTAAAAACAGGGAATTTTATGATGGAAATATCTGTACATGTTTCAGTATTTAGAGTACAGTATTGGTAAAAATATCAGTGTTTCGCCCTGTGTAAATAGTGTGATGTCACACACAATCAGGAAGACAACAGCGTTTCATGCAAACTTTGGCACATTTACAGCATTAGCTGTTCAAGTAGTCCAACCTTTCACACTTTGAATCCTTTCAATACACTTTTCTTTGTTTTTAGGACAATATAAAATCACGTTGGGCATAAAGCAGATATACTTGTACCAGACTGTAGTTTAAAAGATAGATTCCACCTCGAATCCATTTCAGATTAAGAACACATGTTAAGATTCGCTAATGTCGTTCTAAACACGTTGGATGTTTTAGAATAAACAAAAAAACACAAAAATTCTTCAAGCCATCTCCATATTTTGCAATGTACTGTACGTTACAGCGAGCAAACTGCCACATTTCACCAGGCCCAGGTCACTCTTTTAGGGAGTCCCAATGAAGTGCTTTTAATAACTCTGGCTAAATGAATCCACTCTTTATTCATGCCGCCACATGGTCCTTGAGTCCTCTCTGGAGTAAACACTGCGCAGTGGAGGTAGTCTGATATTTTCATCATTAAAGTGACTTGAGCGGTGACTATGGGACATTACACTCGGTCAAAATGCTGCTGTGCTGTCAAAGGCAGGTCACTGTCACCCGGTTTATCTCCATCTGTGACATCCCCTCTCCTCAGCTCTCTGCTTATCCACATACTGATCTGTTTTCCAATATTCTGCTTGGATGTTTTCAGAGAGTGTGTCTCGGGTGGCCATGCGGGAGAATCACACCACGGTCCAGAAATCAGCCAGGATAAAGGTAGCCATGACTGGGGCCGGTGATGTGTTTTCACCCCGCTGTGACAATAGTGTGTTGGTGAAAGTGCTAACACAGAGGACGATCTTCACATGATTCTTGTGGTGTCCAAGGAAGCACTGAGCACAGACAATACATCATGAGTGATCTCAACAAAAGCCTCATATACAGACATGGCTACAGGCTACAAGGCTTTCTATAACCAAGAAAACGTCAGATTGAAATGAACAAATGAGAAATTCAGTCTTCTGTATTATACTTGAATTAAATATCAGTGGAAATTCTCATTCATTCATGACCGGTTCTGTAGTGTAAAGGTTTTAAAAGGTGGCCTTCTGGATAATGCTTTATATCATTTTCAAAGAATTCTATCATGAATTGAAAAATGACTGACTTTCAAATAGAAAAGCCTTGGTTTAATATAAAGCGTGTCAAGAGGACCACCTCGAAACCCTTTACACAATGCATTAAAGCAAAGCGTTTTATCTGGAATAAGCTCAAACCTGTTGTAGTCTTTTTAGTGGAATTGAATATGTTGGTTTGTCGGGATTCCTGATTTATGCGCAGAATTTATAAGAGCACAATTGTGAGTCAGGAGACTCACAATTATGTAATCAGTCTGCTTCCAGCTGTTGTTCTGCTACAACGTATGCAAATGCATGTGATCACATAGAAATGTATGAAAAGGGGACTAGAAAGGACTATTTAAATCACTTAAACATCATAAAACTGTTTGTATGAGTATTGTTGTGTTTAATTGTATTTTATATTCATAAGTTTACAAGTCACCTGATGAGTGAAGTGCATTTTGGTCCATGTCTTTGTGGCCTTGCCTGATGTTCACTGGAGTGTGTAATACAGTGCTCAGGCATTATTTAGTGTTTCCCTTTTAACACGTGTCTCTGTTGCCCCTCATGGCGCTGCTCCGCAGAGGGCCATGGAGCAGCAGATGGCTTCACACAGAGAGGCTCACAGCAAACAGCTCAGCCTCCTGAGAGATGAACTGAGCGAGAAGGAGAAGACCATCGACCAGCTCACAGAGTCAGTGTTTGGCATTCTTTTACATAGCTACACTTTTTCAATTAATTCCATTATCAAGTCTACGTTCAACGGTGACTGCGACAAGAAGAAGGATAATATTAGTGTCCTGGTGTAAACCCGCTAGCTTGATGAAGCCAATCAGGGAAGTGCTCATGGGAAGTTTTGCTCCTAGTTTTTTTATTCCATTAACTGACATAAAAATATAAATCCTTACGTTCTGACCACTTTTTACTCAGTGGGTTAACAGGGTACATGATCCAGGTGTTTACATTTTGATGATGATAAGAATAATGATACTAATATTAATTGTAATAATCCAGATAGGTCCCTCACACCTAAGTGCCAGGTGTCTTCTGTCCCCAAATTTGACCAGAGAATAGTGCAAGCAGAATCAAACCAGTCAACCAACTCTGATTGGCTCTTTGGTTGCTGTGTAGTCGTCATCCAAGAATTTAGTTCAGCATTTTCTCTGTCCACTCTTTACTACAGTCTATGGTCTAAGGCTTGCATGATTAAATTGGTGAAAATAAGTCTTCTATTAGATCAACCAGGTCAAAAGGATTTCAGTATCTTTAGACCTAATTTGTCAAGTATTACATCTATAGATGCTGATGTCCTCACCCGTCACTTTTTTTATTAATAATTTTGTGAGGAATCAGATTTTTTTATGTTAAAAATGAGCTGACTAATAATAACTTAAAAAGAAAATCAATGTTGTGTCAAGGTTAGGCAGGAAAATGCCTGTTCCATGCAACACCACAGAGTTCTTTGCATCAAAATGTGATGATTTCAACCTCTGCATAAAGGACACTGTCGACTCACCCTATAACTTATTCATAGGCACATGTCTTTTCAGATGACTAACCTGGAGATGGGAGGAAGATATAAAATCTTAATTCTGATCCAACTTTTGTGCTTTGTACTTTAGTTGTAACCAGAAACAACAGTTAGAACTAGATCAACTCCAAGAGGACTTTGAGAGTCTGAAGAGCCAAGAACATCTGAAGAGCCGGCAGCTGGAGGAGCTAACGTGAGTGTGTGCTACTGTGTGCACTGGACAGCGTTCAAACACTCCCCATATGGACGCCTCAGGGCCACCGCTTTCACATCCTCTATTTCTTTCTGTCACTTACCGTCCTTGTGGTGCACTTATTTTGTCGTGAAGACAGACATGCAGTATTCATGTACACTGTGCTTTTATTGTATTCTACCACGGCCATAGAGATGGTCTAAAAGTAGCCACAAAGCATGGCTGAACCTATTGAGCTTCTAGCTCTTGCTAGCTGCACTGCAAAAAGTGATTAAAATGTGCTCAAAATATGGCAAAATGTATCTTGATTCAAGCACATTTTGACTGCCTTGAAAAAAGATTTGCCAATGGGACAACCAAAATTATCTTGTTTTAAAAAGATACAATAAATATCTCCCTTGAACTAAGAAAATAAAGCAGCAGTTCTTGAAAAAAGACTAAATGGCTTTGTCCCAGAATGTACTCAAATTAATATAAAAACCACTCAATTCAAGCCATTATTGCATAGTATTTTATCACTTTTTGCAGTGAAAAGCCTTATAGACCCCATTATAGACTTTTAGCATAAAGAGACAGCTGGGTGGGAATAGGCCTCAGCTCTGACCTCTGCAGGGTGTTGCATCATGTGGCAGACGGTCGACACTGTACGATACATATGCTCTGTATTCATGACTCTCCTTATAAATTCTGAATGTATTGTTAGCATCTCCCTTTCCGTGTCCAGGTTTCTTAATGAGCGCCATGAGCAGTCCAAGCAAGACCTCAAAGGCCTGGAGGATACTGTCGTGAGTTACAATGGTTTTATCGCTCCCTCTCCCTGTCAATGTTTTTGGCCGCTGCAACTTTTCACTTTCTACTGTGTTTGTTGCTAAAGGCGCGTGAGCTCTACAGCCTGCACAACCTTCGTAAACTGTTTGTTCAAGACCTCACCACTCGCGTTAGAAAAGTAAGTCTCCCTGGAACTAAGAACAATGTCATGTACGTATATAGAGAGATCAACCCATTTATCTTTGGGATGGGCTCTCGCTGACATGTACAAATTACCTCTCTATGCAAAAAAAATAATTCAAAGCAAAATAGTTGGTGTTGCTGCTGAAATATTATTAGAAAATATATGGTGAGAGTCAAGTCTGAAGACTCACTGAACATGCTTTCCACTTGAGGGAATTAGTTAAATCTTTCTATTTTTTCCCCAATATAAAACATCACTGCCATGTTATTGTGCACAAACATTTCACTGGAGAAATTACCAAAACCAATTTGTGAGCGATACTTTTGTTTTAAAATCCAGAAAACTGCTCTGAGCGTGATGTCATATAGTGGTGCAATTGTCATGTGGGGAAATGAGAGAAGGAACCCAAAATTAAACTTTAAATACAGTGTAATTTACTGAAATAAAAAGATAGGATAACTATAATACACAAAAATACAATCTAAAAACAAGCAAGGAACAAACATGGGATAAACAATGGATGCACAACAATTGGGGAACAGGGTATAATAAATACACAGGTGAATCACGTCAGGGCGGCGAAAACGATCAATAGGACAGATGAGGTGAGAACAAAATAAATCAAAGTTCAAAATAAAAGTCCACACCATGACGTCACTATTCCAGGACTGAGACAGGAGCGTTTAGACTGATAAGAGTGTACAGTACAATGTTTTGAACAATGTTGTATTTTGAAAGTCAAATTGCCATTTTTTGTCCACTTGAAAATACACAAACAATAAAAATAGCTGATGTATTGTATTTCAGAGTTCAGACCTGCACTTCAGTGACAGCGGAGGATATTTCACTCAGAAACAGAAGATTTCCTTTCTCGAGAACAACCTGCAGCAGCTTTCAAAAGTTCACAAACAGGTAACACCATCGTTATTTGTTTATTTTGCATTGAAGGCAAAAGTTACTGGTGAAACTCAGAATATGATTCAAAAGTTCATAAACCATTGTTCTCCAATCTTTTTTAAGCCGTGGCTCAAACTCTGCAGCCTTTATTAACAATGCAAAGTCTTTCTCATCAAAGGGTTTCATGTAGAAAATCAAAAGTGCAAAATAATCTTTCTAATCTTCTCACAGTTATTTTTATTTTCTCATTGTTTTGACCAATCAGGTGATACTGGATCATTTCCAAAAGCACTAAACAACATCTCAAGGCACAGTCACGATCCACAGCAAACTGGTTGAAAAGCACTGGTATAGACTCATTATGAGCAGAGCAAAATATGCCAAGCCTTTGTGTTATGATTTTGATGATTATGGTCTATTTTTATATTAATATTCTAAGACGTTTAATTTTGGGTTACATGTTTTTGTGTGAACTATAATTATTTACATTATAACAAATAAATACTTGGTTTATCTCACTTTGCGTGTAGGTCTAAGTCTATCATATATTAGTTTCACATTGTACGTAGAATTATAGCAGTAAATAAACTTTTGAACAGTATTCTAATTTCAATTTCAATTCAAAGTTAGTCGCTGAAACACTAGTTCTTGAGTATCTAAATATGAAATTCTCTGCAAAAACTCAAATACTGTGTGAGAGCCGTGTGTATGCTGCTTGTCTGTGCTCTCCCAAGACAATGCACCGGCAATGTGATGCACATCAATACTATTTCTTCCAATTATGACAGTGTTCTTGAAACAGAGCAGTGAGGTGTGCCTTCAGGGACACCCAACTTTTCATATTTGATAAACAATGAGTGAATCCTCAGCGGGTCCTCATAGGATATTGCCTTGGAATGGCTTGAATGGATAACATCAATGGTTGAAGTAAGATGTAAAATGTAGACTCTGGCGTAAAGCGCACTGCAGCAGTTTGTCAGGCAAAAAACCAATGGAACGGGGCTGCTGGGAGAGGCCATCCTATCCACCTCCCGCTGCTACTGAGAGAATGAAAGTCTGAAGCCACACATAAATCTGCTCGGTCTCCGCAGGGACTGGTAAGGAGGGAAATGGTGCCTGTTTGTAAAGATGTGATGTGTGTCTGTCTGCACACCGTCCTCCTACATGTGCAAATTATGCAGCTGGGATCATTCCAGCGACACTGCAGTCACCAGTGAGATTTCATTTTAGTTTCTCTGTATGTTCCGTGTTTCTCTCTTATGGGAAAGTAAGATTAAGATATCCTTTATTTGTCCCACAGTGGGGAAATTTCAGTGTTGCATCACAAGTTACAAAACAGTACGAATGAGGAGCATACAACCCAATGATAATTCTATACTGAAATAAAACAAAATAAATCTCTAACTATAGCATAAAAATAAGCTGTATAACATCTCTCTCTTAAGCATAATAAGGAAAGAAGTCTAAAATAAGGTGCAAGTATAACATGTAAGAATATATACTGCATGCTGTAATTATAAAAATCATTTTGACCAAAACTATGCAAGTTTCTAATTATATTCTGAACAAATCTGCATAATCATGGTGTGACTCTCTCCACTCAAGGTCCTCAATTAGAGAGTTCATGTCACGTCTATATCTGTTCAAAATGCACGACATTATGGCCTCACTATCAGGGATGAAGAGGAGACAATAGCAATGATCTTGTGGATATGAATATTTTACCATAAAGTTTTGTGAATAATGTTTAATTAGGATTCGACTTGAACAGAATAAAACAAACACAATATTTAGATTTTAAATAACATCTACATTTGTGCATATATTGCACAAATGCACTATTATAGTCACATGAGGCTCTCATTTGGGTTGCCAGTTTTGTTAGGTGAAATTAAGTTGTGAATTAAGTTAGGTGAAATTAAGTTGGTTGGCTCCATCTTCATAAACAAAAAATAGCACCAAACTTTTTATAAATTAAAGCCATTAAAAGAATATAATATAATAAACTCCAGCGTGTGGATTATATCAGTAATCAGTTCTTAGGAGCTACATGCGCAACATCTCAGGCAGCAAGAATCTGACAACAATACTTTGATTGTTGTTGTAATTTGTGTAATTTATTAGACCACTAATTGCACATATTAATTTGGTCCTTTTAAATCATTTAAAACAAAAAAATAGATTACAATTTCCTAGTCACCAAACACTTGCTCCTCTGGTGACAAAAAGAAAGAATGTGTTAAAGCTGCGGTGGATGTTGTGTCACAGCTGGTTCGGGACAACGCAGACCTGCGCTGTGAGCTCCCGAAGCTGGAGAAACGCCTTCGTTCCACAGCTGAGCGGGTCAAGGCTCTGGAGGGTGCGCTGAAGGAGGCCAAGGAGGGGGCCATGAAGGACCGCCACCACTATCAACAGGAAGTGGAGCGCATCAAAGACGTGATGATCAGGACGCGCCCCCCTTTCCGCCGCCCACACGCAGCGCAGATCGGTCAGCCACACTCCTCACCTACAGCACTCACATGATCCCCTATGTGTCATCTTTGTAAAAGCCGAGTAAGCGGATCAAATGGAGCAATATAATAACAAAGCGCTATCCAATAATTTGTACCTCGGCACTGATCCTTTGAATCCCATCTGGCAGGATCAGGTCAGCCATAGATTTTTCTGCCATGTCTTTGCTTTATCTTGCAAAGTATTTGATGTGTTGAATCTGCTCTGTAAACATGTTACGGACCCAGTGTCAGGAAATGAAAAGGAAGGAGAATCCACATTTCCACATCCAATTCTACCAAAAAATGAGTTTCATAAACAAGAAATGTGTTTCTTTATCAATGACTTGGCCGCCATTAGAACAAGGATTCGAATTGGGCAATTATATCGAGTATGTATACAGAAAGGAAAAGAAACCTCCAACAGAACAGAAAATGAATTAAAACCCAAATAATTCACAAGAAAAGTGAAATTACAAAATAGAATCCTTATTCAGATCAGATGATTGTTCTGCAGGACAAAAGCGCAAAACAGACTCATTCTGTACAAAAAGCACAGACTGTTTATTGCTTCAAGTTGATTGTTTTTCTATTTATTCTCCTGAGACTCAATTCATATTCTTCTAGTCCTTATGCGCATTTAATCACCTTCCCCTGCAATTTATTCATATAGTCCAGTGTGAAGGAACCGTCTGACATCTAAAAATAACACCTTATAATGATATTGCTTATGCCTGTGATATTGTTTGGTTTGAGAACTTGTCTTTCTAAACTTCTGCTTTAATGAGAGACATATTCTTTTTGACAGTGAGATATTGATTTTGTGCTCCTGCCGTTTTCTGCAAATGTCTTTCCAATGACTATGAATAACAATTGATTGTGGGATTATCCTTCTAGGCATCTTTGCAGCTTCATCTGTGCAATATTTAATTGAAATTTTTAACAGTTTTAGAGAAAGCACTGCAGCAGTAAAGATGTTATTGGTGTATGGATGAATAGTTAAGTCAATAGATCATCTCCTTCCCCACAGCGAAGCCAGTGCGTCCAGGCCATTACCCGCTGTGTCCTCCCTCCAATCCTTTCCTGAGCCACGGCTTCAGTCAGCACCCGTTGGGCCTCAGCGATGTGGTATTCTACAACAAAAACAAACAGGAAGCAGAAGATCCCGCAGAGCCGCTTTCTCCAAACAGTGACCCGGAGTCCACACAGAGCAGCCCCACCAAGAGGCCCCACTCACCAGACAGCCAGGACTGTGATAGTGAACTTCAAAATACAGTGTAGGTGCAGAATCATCTTTTTTTAACCTTTTCTACAATCCTTTAATGTTGTTTTTTCAAATAACACACATGTAAAGTTTTTTTTTTTTCTCTATTAAAAACTTTACAAAGTACAGAGTAAACAAATCCTAACTCTTATTGTTATTCCTTACAAAACTACTCATACCACTCTGGTCTCAAGCGTAGGGCTATAGGGCAGATTTACAGATCAGATAACAATTCAATGTGTTCTTCTATAGCCCTAAGTCACAACAGTAGTTATCTCGGAGGACTTTACACAACCATTGAGTTCGCCAACACAGATCAGTGAATCAAACCGTTCAAACAATCAAACAGAAAACACATAGGTATTGGTCCATAAGGAGCAGGTGATCTGATAAAGTACTGATACATATCCATAAATGTTGTTGAATGTTGAGTGTACTGGATTATCACCACAGTCCTTTCAGTTAGACCTCACAAGACTCTAACAGACCCTCCTACATCTGCAACATTGTTTACTACATGCCCTGAAGTGGCAGAGGAGCATAGACAAATAATCAATATAGCAAGGAATATCAGACTCAATACTTTTTATTGGGTGGGCAGACAAAGTGTAGACAGCATCTCTGTGTAATGCAATCATTGCACATGGTTTAAAGCATTTGTTTGTGTCTTTTAACAGTCTTCTTGTCCAATAGGAATACAGGACATAAACTGCTTTACCAATAGACCCATGTCACCATAAGAAGAAATCTGTAGCCAAACCTTTGCAAATTAACAAGTCTGAATTCTCCAGTGGTCAGGACGTCTAGCTCTTCTTGCCTTCTTGATCTAAGTATGGAGGTTGACATCAAATTGACTGAGTGGCTGATTGATAAAGGAGGCCAGTTGGTGTATACCTCAACAAAGTCATAATAGACATGCTAGGAATGTTTCATGAATGATCTGTTCCATTAAGTAAGAAAAACAGTATGAGTTACGTCTACACATAACAGATGTGTCGCAATGCACCTAGATCAGTGCAACAAAGTAGTTCCCTCTAGAATTACACAATAGCTGTATATGATTTCCTGCTAGGGATAGTTTCTTGGCTTATGCGTCTTAATCTTTGACCTTGCAGTAACACCAGCTCATAAGCTTTGGAATATTCCCTGTAGTAGTTTGCAACACTAATCAATATTTCATATGCTGTTGAGATCCTCTGCATGGTCTCAAGAATATTTTAACAGGAGATAAATAATAGTGTGTCTTAATGTTTTTGTATCTCCTCCCAGTCTTCCAGTGGAACCGGTCACAGCTGCCAACAGCACTACAGAGACTCTCGATACTGAAAATGGTGAGCCCACTTCCGCTAAATAAAACTTGAATAATTCTCTTGTTAATATGTACATTATTGTAAAACGTTTGGACTCTGAGCAGAATATCTTTGTAAGTGGAGCGAGGAGGACCATAAGCACTTTCTGATATATTGCATTATTATTTTGTTTTATCTCGTCAATCACTCAAACTGTCCTTGTTTCTTATCACTCTAAAACCTGTGGATATTCAGGAACAATACTGCACTCCTGGTCCACATGGCAGAATGTAGTTTTGATTGTGTTGGTACTTCATTATTTCGATATATTGTCCCAGGCCTTCTCCAAAGGGGCTGCCCATCTCCCGATTCCAGAAGTAAAAAATCCAATGCTTTTTTTTCTCAAATAATTATACAAATGTGAAAGGTTGTTTGGGCATAATCAGCTATGTGGTGAATAAATGTAGCTGTGTGTACAGTATGTATATGAAAACTGCTGTGGACAGTAGTACCACATGGCTCGTTAGCCTTCTCGTGCCTTCAAACCCCTAATATTTTAAAGGAAATGTAAGCAGGACTTCACAGCTCCATAAATTATTTGTTTTAATCGCTCAGGTTTCATTCGTTTTTTATATACCAATGAAAAACATGTGACATCATCGCCTACTGTAACTTTGGTGCTATTTGCAACTATTACTATCTGAGTTTGTCTTCTTGTTATATTTTAGCATGTATAACAGTGTGGGGTTTGGGTCATTTTGTTTTGAACTTTTGTAAATTTACTTCATATATTTGAATGTGTTGTTATGTTCGGCTTGGCCTTGCGTGAGCTTTTTCACAATTAGGTTTGTCTGAAAACAGAAAACACCTGGACGGGACTTAAAATGCTGCGCAAACACTGACATCGGCAAAGATTTATGAAAGAATGTAGCTGTTTCTCATTCTGCTCGGAGCTACAAAAGCCAGAAAACATCACAGCATTAGAAAAACTGGCTTTGAAATATATTCACTTCATATCCCATAAAATATCATGCCTTTTTATTCAACTTTAATTCAATTCTCCTCTTAGCCTCTTTCCAAGCACTGTTTTGTGCTGAAGCAAGGTCAGCTAATGCTACGTTAGACCAAAAGGTTGTTTGTCCAAGGGATTATTTCCACCTACTGTATCGCCCTCAAGAGAACAGACCACATTTTGCTCAAACACAAGATGGAGACGGGTTTTAGAGGGCAGACTTTTTGGCCCTTTGCCTTTCGCGGATAAAGCTATGGCACAACTTTGACATTAGTCAGCCCTGCCTGGGTTCTATTTAGTTTTACAGACTGCTAATTGCATTTCCTGCTGCTGTACAACCACAATTCTTTGGTTGCCGCCGCTCCTGGGGCACTAATCTACGCGTAATGGCTTTGTAACTTTATTCAGTGTTTGCTTGTTGTCGGGGTAATGTCATAAAGGATCTTAAGCACTCCGTTAATTCCCCCAGCATAGAGGGAAAGAGAAAAGCTGCTTATCTAAAACTTACTATATGCAAACTAACTATATGCAAATATTTTAAAGGGGACCTATTTCCTTTTTTGACTTTTAATCATGTTACATTCTGCCCTTTCCAGAACCAGACCTGATTGTTTTTAGATCCATCGCTAATATCAGGAACTTCTGGCACAAACGTGTTACTCTGCCCCTTCTGTCTAAAAGCTCCCTTCACAGTCCTATATAAGTATTATGTAATAGTACCACTATGACATCACACAAACAAAAGTATTGTCCATAAACTAGTTTTGGCAATTTCTCAAGTGAAATTCTGCTCTTTGCAATCGCATGGCTGTATTTACAAACAGTGATTTTCCAATTTGTAAAAGAAAAAAGATAAAAAATCTCCACCTCCATCTGGTGGTAGCATAGAGATAGGGCAGGCTTTTAGCATTATTTATCCTTGATATGTGTCACAGCATATTTTTTCTACTACAGATAATAATTCCCATTCTAACACATGAACTCACAAAGTAAATAGTCTCATTTTGATTTTTAATAGCCAAAAACAATGCGTATTATTTCTTCTTTAATCCTTTTCCGTGCCCTTACAGCGAGAGCAAAGTGAGACAAAGTGTGAATGTGTGCGTAAGCAGCTATCAGCACAGGACTATTAAAGGCGATAGATTGTGCTTACAGGTCATTACTCAGGCCGACAGATGCCCACCTCAGCCTGTGTCGCGGAGATGACAGCTGTATAGACAACACCCCGCCTCCTGTATTGCTCGACAAACATCAATCATGATAGAAGTCGCTCCACGTCGGTTCCTCATTGCGCTGGGGACAGTCGTTTCCATCACAGCGCAGCGCTCAGTGCGACAAAAGTGACCGGTCTCGTCCAGGGTTTCGCTTCGCTAAAGGGCAGCCGTCTGTGAGGATGCATTACAGAGAAAATGCGCTTTTTTACATAGATTTAGGATTATTTGGAATTGAAATGCCAGCGCGCAATCACTGTTTTGTCGCAGTGGCAGACATCGGTGCATAGTTTATTACATTACCCATAGGCACAGAAGTAGCAGGATTGATCAACTTTTCTCTACTATTCTCCTACATACTGATGAAACTTGAAAAACAGTTTTATACCTGAATTTCAACTTAAATGTGAAACAAATGTATGATACATAGAGTCCAATTTTCTGTTTTTTTTGTAGAAGCTGTGAGCCAATAATCATCCGTATACTGTATAAGAGAAATGCTTGATATCTATGTCGCTTTGTCTGTACTGAGTTTGTCAAACATTTGTTTCATATTTTTTGTTGAATTACAGATGTACATGGACTTTTGAATATCATATATTCAATGTTCGAATTTTCCACCTGTATATTTCTGCTGTTTATTTCTATTATTGTGTTATTTTTGGGTTTTCCTCCATCTCTCATACAGTTTCAGGGCTACATCTTTTGTAATGTATTTGTTTGTTCCTTCAATGAAAATGCTTGTTTATTATAATGTTCACAATGATAAATAATAATGTACAGCTGTAATACATAAGATAAACATTTACATGATTGGAAAGGAGCAGTTAGGAAGAAAACAGTGTCTTTTTATACTGTATACAGAACAACATACTGTATGTATCTTATATATGCGTCTGTGTCACATCTGGCTCCTCAGGGGTTAAATATCAACATTCAACTTGATTTATTTTTATCATATTAATCATCATTCTGCTGTTTCACAAGATTTTATTTCCATACAGTGTTTCTATACATTTGTCATGTTCAGAAACAGATTTGCTTTTATTGCTAATAGTATGATGCACCTGGTTTTAAGTGAATGGTCATTTGTAAATGTTGCAAACAGATATAATGTGAAGGGCCCAGTTTAATCCAGGTGGCAGTGAAAGTAATATGTAAATGATTGAATAAAAATGCAAAGCTTGACATTTATCCTCGAGTCACTCGAGCAGGCTTTTACCAGTGTTCCACAAGAAAGTATGCATATAGTATTACTGAAAAAGCAAGGCCAGAGCAAATACAAAGTTAAAAGCCACATTTACCTATGTTGTAATTGACTACTTTTTTATGTTGCAATTTCTACAGAGAAGATAATCCATTTTGAACCAAATTCAACACAATGTTTAAAAAGCTTATTGGATTATTTTACGAAATGGGGTTTACAAAATATGAGAGAATTTTGAATGAAACCGTGTTCTGTATCCAAAAAGCTGGGATTAAAACAGTTGCACAGCCGGCAGATCCCGTGGACAAAAACGACTCATCCCTCTTGGTTCATGCTGTGAAGAGGTTTTTGCAGCTGCTTGTCTCATGTGCCTCTGAATAACACCGATGTTGTGTAGTTGTATGTGACCCACCCCTGTTTGCCCCCACGTCCCCATCACTGCACCTGCCTGCTCCTCATGCACTGTCTCTGTCCACAGGAAACACCACTGACATCAATGACAACAGGTAAGAGCCACTTTCTATCCACAGCAAGAGAACTCAAGCTTTCTTTTACACGTATTGTAAAGAAACCAATCAAATCCACAATAGCACATTTTATAAAACACTTTTCCATGGTGCTCTACAGATAAAAGTAACACATTAAAATGTATAATATGCCAGCTTTGAAATAGAATTAAAACATTTGAAATAAAATAAAAACAATTATCTATATACATAAATAGGAACACTTTCAACTTCATAGAACAAATATTGGGAGTTGACTAACCCAGTGCTGATGTCACCATATTGTTTGCCGAATGTGGAAGAAGCCGATTTGAACATATGCTAGCTGGAGCTAATTTCCTTATTTGGGCGTTTGTTCCAACGGCATTAGCTTTGTTTCCTGCACAAATGAAGGCATCTGATTGTTCAAGTCCTATGGCTCATATCCGGATGGACAAAGACAATATCACACTATAAACACTAGGATCAGAGAGACTGCTAATCAAACAAATACATATTACATACAGATTTCTAACTCAAAAATACATATTTGTCTTGATAGCTAAAATACTGTATGTGATGTTATGTCAGGATGGGCCGCTTTAGCCCAATTCTTTCTTTGGTTTTAATACTGTCAGTGAATGTAATATCTGTTATTAATCAAATGAACAATCAAATCCAAAAACAATATCGCTTCTCCCCCAATCCTAATCTAGGTCTGTACTATCCTGAAAAGTAGATTCACTGATAGATATATCAGTGGTACATCCTCAGAGCTGTCTTCGTGTAAAATGCTTTCTGTTATTGCGTCTATATTAGAAAAACTGTTCCCACTTATTTGTGAGTAAAGTGGAAGAATTGGACTCATAAGTGAGTTTTGTTATCTCTCAAACTCTTTGTTGGTTCAGGCACTTGTTGTTTGCCTCTATCACCGCTCAGAGCTCATGTTGCGACTGTAGTGACAGGGCTCTCCATTTTGCTTCCATTCTGAATCCACTCTGACAGCATTATACTTCCTCTGCAAGCTTTGATCTCTCTGGTGTTTTGGGCCAATTAACTCCACTCATTTGTATTTTCTGTCTGTGTCCCTGTTGTGGCTGCTCCATTGATGGCTTCCTCTCTTCTGCTGCTGCTGCTGCTGCTGCTGCTACTGCTGCTGTAGCATGTGTCTCAATGTGAATTCTGTCTCCACAAGCGTCATCTGTGACAATCAGGACCAAATCCAGCTCTACACACGGCAGTCAGAGGCCTCAGCCAGCTAATAACATAACTCTGGTAAGCATTCTAATCAAACAACATTGCAGGGAGTCACAGTGCCGTCTTTGAAATAGCTTTTTACAGAGAAAGAAATACAGGCTCTAATTAAAAATGTCTCCATCTCAAATATAATTGCTTGAAAACTAGAATGCAGGTATATGTTTTGACCCCATTGTGTCAGATGTGCGTGAGTTATTATGTAAGTTATGGTGGTTTAAAATCTCTACAATGATAGCAAAGGGGTATCTAACTTATTTTGTTTCATAAATTATCCGTACTGTTTGTCCCAATAGAAATAGTCAAATCAGACAACATCGTGCTGATTATATTAGAAAATATGTTATATTTTACCTTCCTTTAAGAGAGATCCCTATTTTGTTGCTTGCAAGTTTGGTATACCCCAGCTTTAATCATTCAAAACACACCAAATGTTGTGTTACACTATACAAATGCCGTGGCTGGAGAATTATCTCGAGATTTAGACTCTGCAATGAAGACGTCTCAAAATTGTTATTGTCTGAGAATGAATTGCCCCACAGAGATCTCATTTTGAAGTTTGAAGGTTGAGGATATAAACAATATTGCCACTTTATCTCCTGAATGCAGTATATTCTTTAGCACTTGAGTTTATTCAGTCAACCTCACCATATTTGTATTTGATGCACATATTGGTGAACATGGATCATTTACACTGTATTTTTTTCTGTCTCAGACTGTGCAAAAATACATAAAGTCACATGAATCCGCTCATGGTATAAACATAGACTATCAATTGTGCTTTATATTTACAAAATCAAGATCAGCATGCCAAATTTCCAACTCATTTCCCTTCCTGTTCGACTATGTTTTGAGACGAGATCATTATGAGGAGCTGCTTTGTATCATGTCTAAATTTGTCTATAGGACGTGTGCATAAACTCAGCTGTGATTCTCCAGAAATAAAACGCTCGTGCTGTGTCGCCTCCAGCTCTGACTGTGTCTTCTCTCTGCTTTGACTTTCATTCACTTCTATTCTACAGTAATTAACTCTTTTTCTTTCTGTCTGTGTCTTTGTCCTCTGCAGGTCTGAAGCACCTCTGTAAATCTGCATGGTCTGATCACTCTCTGATTTATTTCTCTCTCAGCTCGCACCTTTCCCCCCTCCTCTCCTCTCACCTCCTCTCCTCTCATGTCATGACGCGTGTGGATTTCAGTGGCATTTGTGGCAAGCGCTGTATTGTCATTGATAAAAGTGGCAGCTTCTCAAATCGAGCTGCTCCCTCATTTACTGGTTTACGTCTCCGAGTGTCATAGGAAAAAAAAAATATTACGTCGTACTCGATCTGACCAGATAGGGGCGCTGTTTCCCTGTTTTGACGACTCAACATTGTCTCTGAGTGAACTTCAGTATATCTTTACACCTTTCAAAACAGTCTGGCTCTATCACATTCATGTATTTTTGTCACATCTTTAGATAAGCTTTTTCAGACTGATTTGTGAAAAAGCCCAAAATGTCAAATGGGGCTCTTTCTGACAAATATGCAAATACGATGAAGACAGCATGTCGTGGTCTGATTTGTTCCCAACAGACTCTTTGTGTCTGTGTCAAAAGTTTGGTACCCCAGCTTTAAACTATTTATTTTTTTCTTTTGATTTGAAACCCATGGGTCGAGGGAATAACTACCAGTACTATCAAGTCATTTCTAAACTTCTTTTTCTGAATTTGGCAATTGTAAAAAGATTAGAGTAACCGGCCCCATATCCCTAATGACTGAGTAACGGTGAAGGTATGAAAAAGACACTTGTGAGTTTTTTGCCTGTTTTATAGAAAATAGTATAATATAATGCGGACCAATACAGGACAAATTAGCTTTGACATCAGTACTGCCGTTTTGCAGTCATTTACAATCTCTATTTTCAGACAACAAATTGGTTTTCAGAGGAAACTAATGCGGCATCACTGGGAAATGTCCCCTACATAACCTAATGTTCACAATCATATATAATGTAGAAACAGAGGGAACCACACACATAAAGCAAAAGGATGTTTCAGTATTTTGTGTCCGTCACAGCATGTTTGACTCTTTATATGAACAGAACCACAGTAAAAAGACAAAAGAGCCTAAATGCTTATACATAAATACCATAATACTGTGTGTGGTGAACATTTACCCCAAAAAAGCTTGACGGGGGGATGTGTGTGGGTTGTCGTCAAAGCATGGCACAGTAAAGACAAAAAAAATGTGTAGCAACTATTTTTATACTTATAGTACTATAAAAAGAGAGAGAGATTATTTATTATTAGCTTAAAATAAATGTATTTATTTGCTCTATAATTGAGACTTGCTGAATGTGACGGTAATGCTTTGATGTGTTCATGAGGATGTGATATTAAAAAATATTGTGAAATGATCACAGCGTCGGGGAGTCATGGAATACATGTACCGGGAATATGTTTCAGAATGCTATTTTTTTGTCACTTTTTTCAAAATTCTGTTCAATTCAATTTGTTTTTGTATAGCCCTTATTCACAACAGCACTAGCTTTACAAACATTGTTGATTGGCCAATAACAGATAAGAGAATCCCACAGGAAGCGGATTGAGCAATGTCCAATCGGAGTGTCCGTCTGGAAGGAAGGCATCTGATTGGTCAATCCCTATAGCTCATATCTGGATTTACAAAGACAATATCACAATCCAAACACCAGGATGGTAGAGAGCGAAACCACAGATTTTAAAGCCCACAGTGATGAGTGTGAAACAAACGGTTACTGAGCTAGAGGAGTTTACTTTACAGAGTAAGTCAATAGGAGCCATGCAAAAACTTTGTGCATGAACACTTCTCTTTTGGCTTCATTGATCCATGGGGTTAGCTTGTCTCTCTATTTACAGCCTGTGGCTCAGATATGCCTTGGACTCTCCTTTTATATATTCACATAACAAAATACTTATTCTGGTCTCCCCAACACTGCCTACAGGAGGTAGAACATCATTTGTTGACAAAACACCATGCAGTGTACACTCATCACAATAAACCATTCTGTCCATGACTTACTTCAGGTTACTCCAGGTTATCTGCACTGATAGACTCAACAGTCCCTAGACTCATGACCCCCTGAGTGATAAGAGTTTGAGTCCAGTTCAGTCCCAGGGAAAACTGGGGCCGAACTGGACTTACGGCTTACATTCCATAGTTGCACATTTAAAAAGCAGTAATCCTCAAAAATCATGATAAAATGTGATAATATTAATAATTTGCCTGCGCTCTGCCATCTCTTTGATTTGTGATCAGAGGTTATTTGTGCAAAGCTAAGTAAGTCCTGTCCCTAATCGTTACCAGTGTCCAACATTAAAAAAGCAGCTTTACACTGCAGAAAATAAGTGGAAAATGGCTTAAATACACCATACACACAGTAATACACTGCAACTGTACTTGAAATCAGACTGAGATAAGATATAAACCAGTTGATTAAACCTTTTATTTCCTTATTTTTTACCATATTTTTCAGTGTATACATCTTGAAAATGTGCAACTCTAGGTTTACAAAGTCTACAAACGCAAGATACACTATTTTTGTTCCAAGTTCCTATGTATTGTATGCACATCTATTATTTCTTGTTTTTAAAGAACCTCACATAAATCTGGTAATTTCAAACCATTGTGTCTCTGTCCTGGAACATTATTTAGAATCACGAAAAGACATGAATTTTAATCGTTTGAACTGGAATGAATGTCCAATATGTTGATCACCTCATCGCAGTCTCGTTTGTGGCCGTATTCTGTGATGACTTTGACGTAAATCTATGACAAGAATGAATAAAAATTGTTGTTGTAAAAGTGTGCGTTGATTGGGCTGTGAGGCTGTGGTCGGTGCATGCTTTTAATTTCCTTTAGTTTTGCTCAGAGAAACTGTATTGTTCCCATTCATTTGAATAAAGACGATCTAATGTGTAGAAACCTATGGTGTCTTTATTTGAACAAGGCCTTTAATCCTGAAGAGGCCATTCAATGTTCATGTCTATATTTCAACTCTATGTAAGTGCTCTCCGCCTACAAGAATTACAAGAAATATATGAGATAAGCTTATTCAGGGTTGCCCCAAGGTCTTAGAATCTATAAGAAGCAATTCAATGTGATGGCAACAACTCAAAACTTGTAAAAGTCATGAAAAATAAACTTTCCAGGCCTTGGGAAAGATAAAAATCATCATTGGGAATGAATAAAAAAGACCATGGGATTTTAAAGTAAAACATATACACAAAGACTGTATATTAGGAGCGGTCTGACCAAGGGCTCCCATGTTCATTGCCAAGATGTTGAAGAGGTCGACTAGAGCTAGCTTGAACAGGCTTTTTGAGCAAGAATGTGCTGTTAAATGTATGCAATTTTTTTGAGTAGCAATGGCCGAGTTACCAAGCGCCAATCAGGAGCTTATAGGCGTGTCGTGCTACTTTTTGCTAAAGTTGAATTTGGTGACACAAGGCTCCTGATTGGTCCATATCTGGATGTACAAAGCATGGGTACACAGACAATATCACGCAACATCAGGCTCACAGAGAGCGCTAAACCTTGGCATTTTAATGCCTGAAATGGTGAGTGTGACTCAAACAGTTACTCAGCTGGAGGAGTTTACTTCAATGCAAGTCAACTGGAACTCATGGATTAGCATTGTCCATCTACAGTGCCTTACGAAAGTATTCGGCCCCCTTGAACCTTTCAACATTTTGCCACATTTTAGGCTTCAAACATAAAGATATAAAAAAAAAAATATTTTTTGTCATGAATCAACAACAAGTGGGACACAATCGTGAAGTGGAACGAAATTTATTGGATAATTTAAACTTTTTTAACAAATAAAAAACTGAAAAGTGGGGCGTGCAATATTATTAGGCCCCTTTACTTTCAGTGCAGCAAACTCACTCCAGAAGTTCAGTGAGGATCTTTGAATGATCCAACGTTGTCCTAAATGACTGATGATGATAAATACAATGCACCTGTGTGTAATCAAGTCTCCGTATAAATGACAAAGGAACACACCAGGCAGGTCCGAGATACTGTTGTGGAGAAGTTTAAAGCCGGATTTGGATACAAAAAGATTTCCCAAGCTTTAAACATCTCAAGGAGCACTGTGCAAGCAATTATATTGAAATGGAAGGAGTATCAGACCACTGCAAATCTACCAAGACCCGGCCGTCCCTCCAAACTTTCATCTCAAACAAGAAAAAGACTGATCAGAGATGCAGCCAAGAGGCCCGTGATCACTCTGGATGAACTGCAGATAACTTCAGCTGAGGTGGGAGAGTCTGTCCATAGGACAACAATCAGTCGTGCACTGCACAAATCTGGCCTTTATGGAAGAGTGGCAAGAAGAAAGCCATTTCTCAAAGATATCCATAAAAAGTCTCGTTTAAAGTTTGCCACAAGCCACCTGGGAGACACACCAAACATGTGGAAGAAGGTGCTCTGGTCAGATGAAACCAAAATCGAACTTTTTGGCCACAATGCAAAACGATATGTTTGGTGTAAAAGCAACACAGCTCATCACCCTGAACACACCATCCCCACTGTCAAACATGGTGGTGGCAGCATCATGGTTTGGGCCTGCTTTTCTTCAGCAGGGACAGGGAAGATGGCTAAAATTGATGGGAAGATGGAGCCAAATACAGGACCATTCTGGGACGGAGGTTTATCTTCCAACAGGACAATGATCCAAAACATAAAGCCAAATCTACAATGGAATGGTTCACAAATAGACGTATCCAGGTGTTAGAATGGCCAAGTCAAAGTCCAGACCTGAATCCAATCGAGAATCTGTGGAAAGAGCTGAAGACTGCTGTTCACAAACGCTCTCCATCCAACCTCACTGAGCTCAAGCTGTTTTGCAAGGAAGAATGGGCAAGAATTCCAGTCTCGATGTGCAAAACTGATAGAGACATACCCCAAGCGACTTGCAGCTGTAATTGCAGCAAAAGGTGGCGCTACAAAGTATTAGCGCAGGGGGCCCGAATAATATTGCACGCCCCACTTTTCAGTTTTTTTATTTGTTAAAAAAGTTTAAATTATCCAATAAATTTCGTTCCACTTCACGATTGTGTCCCACTTGTTCTTGATTCTTGACAAAACATTTAATTTTTATATCTTTATGTTTGAAGCCTGAAATGTGGCGACATGTTGAAAGGTTCAAGGGGGCCGAATACTTTCGCAAGGCACTGTACATAAAGCAGACGATAACAAGCAACATACAGTGCATCCGGAAAGTATTCACAGCGCTTCACTTTTTCAACATTTTGTTTTGTTACAGCCTTAGTCCAAAATAGATTCAATTATTTTTCCTTACATTTCTACACACAACACCCCATAATAACAACATGAAAAAAGTTTTTTTGAGATTCTTGCAAATTTAATAAAAATGAAAAAAAAAAACAAAGAAACCACATGTAGATAATTATTCACAGCCTTTGCTTAATACTTTGTTGAAGCACCTTTGGCAGCAATTAGAGCCGAAAGTCTTTTTGAATATGATGCCACAAGCTTTGGGCAGTTTTGCCCATTCCTCTTTGCAGCACCTCTCAAGCTCCATCAAATTGGATGGGGAATGTTGGTGCACAGCCATTTTCAGATCTCTCCAGAGATGTTCAATTGGATTCAAGTCTGGGCTCTGGCTGGGCCACTCATGGACATTCACAGAGTTGTCCTGAAGCCACTACTTTGTTATCTTGGCTGTGTGCTTAGGGTTGTTGTCCTGCTGAAAGATGAAACGTCGCCCCAGTCTGAGGTCAAAAGCGCTCTGGAGCAGGTTTTTATCCAGGATGTCTCTGTACATTGCTGCATTCATCTTTCCCTCTATCTTGACTAGTCTCCCAGTTCCTGCCGCTGAAAAACATCCCCACAGCATGATGCTACCACCACCATACTTCACTGTAGGGATGGTATAGGCTTGGTGATGAGCAGTGCCTGGTTTCCTCCAAACATGACGCCTGGCATTCACGCAAAAGAGTTCAATCTTTGTCTCATCAGACCAGAGAATTTTTTTACTCATGGCCTGAGAGTCCTTCAGGTGCCTTTTGGCAAACTCCAAACTAAGGAGCGGCTTCCGTCTGGCCACTCTACCTCACTGACTAAGGCACTTCTCCCCCGATCGCTCAGTTTAGATAGCCAGCCAGCTCTAGGAAGAGTCCTGGTGGTTCAAAACTTCTTCCATTTACGGAGGATTGAGGCCACTGTGCTCATTGGCACCTTCAAAGTTAACTGACAGATCTCAGAGAGTGAAAATCAATGACTGTTTTTCTGATGTTGTTTCTGTGTGTGTCAGGGATGTATTTTGAGTCCTTTGCTTTTTACTTTGTACACTCACGATTGTGTGTCCTCCTCTGACTCAAACTTGATCATCAAATATACTGATGACACCACCATCATCGGTCTCATCAGTGACAATGATGATTCCTCTTATAGAGCAGAGATACAAAATGTGGTTCAGTGGAGTAAAACTAACAACCTCCAGTTGAACGCATCGAAAACATGTGAACTGGTCTACGACTTCAGTCGCAATAGTTCTCATTTGCCTGTCGTAATCGACAACTCCCAGGTACAGATCGTAGAGGAGTGCAAGTTTCTGGGTTTAAAAACACTGACTGAGTCGTTAAGAAAGCTCGTCAGCGTCTGACTTAGAGAATTTACCACTAACTCTAAGATTGTGCTGAACTTTTATCGCTGCACCATTGAGAGTTTACTTGTTGGTTCTGTGTCTGTGTGGTTTGGAAACATCACAGATAAAGAAAAGAGAGCTTTAAACAAGGTGCTCCGCTCTGCAAAGAGGACCGTGGGCTGTGAGCTTCCTGTTCTGGAGGTTCTTTATAAATCCAGACTTTTAAACAAAGCTCTTAGGATTGTTAATGACTCTTCTGGCCACCCTGGGAAAGCCATGTTCCAGCTTCTTCCCTCTGGCAGAAGATATCGCTCTCTGAGATGCAGGACATCTCGTTACGCTAACAGTTTTTATCCACAAGCTGTTATCAGTGTGAACAGAGCACTTTAATGATTTGCACTTGTTTTGAAACTGTTTTAGTCGATCGATTTCACAGTGACATTTGTTTACTGTTTTATTTGTTTTATTTCTGTCTTTTAATGTTTTTTTATGTCTGTATTTGTCTGTGCACACTGGAGACTTTTTGCTAATGTATTCCAATGTGGTTTTTTACTGCAAATGGCAAATAAACTGAATCTGAATCTGAAAGCAGCAGACATTTTTCTCTACCCTTCCCCAGACTTGTGCCTCGAGGCAATCCTGTTTTGGAGGTCTACAGACAATTCTTGGTTTGCGCTCTGACATGCACTGCCAACTGTGGGACCTTATATATACAGGTGTGTGCCTTTGCAAATCGAGTCCAATCAACTGAATTTACCACAGACTCCAATGAAGCAGTAGAAGCATCTAAAGGATGATTCGTGGAAACAGGATGCACCTGAGCTCAATTTTGAGCTTCACTGCAAAGGCTGTGAATACTTATGTACATGTGATTTATTTGTAAAACATTTGCAAAAATCTCCCAAAAATGTGTTTTCACGTTGTCATTATGGGGTTTTATGTGTAGAATTTTAAGGGAAAAAAATGAATTGAATTCATTTTCGCTGTGAATACTTTCCAGATGCATTGTATGTATGATGTATGTATAATAATAATTTCAATGAAATAAAAAGTGCAAAAACCTGGTTCTGTAAACATTTCCACTTCTCATTGTGACGCATGTTTTGTTGATAAGGAGAGAGCAAAGCAGATCGATGGGAACATACGGGGGGCACAGGGTTTTGAACCGACTATTTCAATGATTTGTCACAGATTTCTGTCCAACATTACTCAAATAAGCAAATTGTCCCCAAACTCAAATAAATAGTAAATAGTACAAACCATTATGTAATGTTAGAAGAGGTCAGGCCGTAGATCCCCATGAAGCAGATGTTGCAACACATTTATTTGTTGTTTTTAGTGGGATTACAAACTGTGATAAAGGTTAGATGCTAATGTTGTATCTGTTTACTTAACCCCGCAAGAACAGTGCACTAAAATAACACTAAGTTCATGTTTACAGGTGAAAGTTAATGTGACGAATGTGTCTAGATTGTTGATTTATTACCTTTTGAATGGATCAATGGTCTGTTCAAACGGCCACATAACAGATTGAAATAGCAATAGTCTCTGATTAGTTTTCCTTCTGAATGTTCTGTTTTGGTTTGTTTAAACGTCCTTTTAGTTTTGGGCCTGTTCACAAATATTGGTAATGTGCCCAAAGTTAAAGGGGTCATGATCATAATGCTTTGAATTTATATAGTGCTTTACATGACCTTTAAAGACGCTTCCCACGGCATTATACATACACTCCAAGATACTTTTGTGGCTACAGCTGCCCTGGGGCTGACTGGCAGAGGTAAGGCAACTAGTTTGTGCCATCGGCTCCTCTGACGCACAAACCCGACTCATAGGCAATGTGTGAAATGCTTTTACCTTTTATGAAATGGTACTGTATAACCTTGTCCAAGAAATGGTGAATTGATTTTTTCCATCTACAGACTTTGTGCAAGAGAGTAAATTTGTGTTCATATATTGTAGTGTAAATGTATAAATGAAATGTGTATTATTATTGCTGGACATACTGCATACTGTACCTACACTATTTGAGCATCAAAGTGTTTGAAATAGTCCCTCAATGTAACATGGAGAAAACAAACCGTAAACAGCTAAAATGGAAGGTCAGATTGTGTCTCCAATAAAAAAAGACTGAAAGCTGTGCCAAAAAATTGAGCATTGTGGCTTGTAATTAACATACCCATTGAAAATACAATAATAATAGTAATCATGGTAAAAGTGTAGACGGCCAGATAAGAGAATCTACGGCGGTTCAAGCGTAAGTGAAGCAGAACAGGCAGCTCAAAACGTCCTCTACAATAATAGTGCTACAGCAGAGTGTGAGGTATGAGCTCTGGTGTCCACTGTGCTCCAGAGTTTGCTTCGATCAGATCTGCTGTGACGCTACAGTCTGTGCTGTGAACGCACGCTGACATCATGATTATATCCTGTCATATATTTTTACAAGGGTCTGATTTGATAATCAGCGTTTTACTGCCATGACTCTGAGTCAGCTTGTTTCAGGTCAGAGTGTTCCTCTCGTCCTGTGACATTTATCTGCACAGATGACACCAGATGTGTTTATCTCCTGAAACAGATGTTTGAGGAGACTTCATGAGCTAAATTACCTGCCAATAAAACAAGGTATTTTTGGTAATATCAGGAAACAAATAGAAGAAGGCCCACGTCGAGAGACAAGTTTCAAGAATTTATTTGCCATTTGCAGTAACAACACATTGGAAAAACTGTGCAAGCCCAGTGAGCACCAGTTTTTTTTTTTTCAAGTCAGGTCTGTGGAGATGAAAGGCGCTTGTTGTATTATTTTGATATCAAATCATTTGCACGGTTGTCTACTGCGTTTTTGAGTGCTTCTACTGTTCTGGCATGTGACCTGCAACACTGACAGTTCCACACATATCCGAGATCTCACCCCATTGAGTCTGTGAGCTCGAGCTGTTCTCATCCTCCGCACCCTTTACACACAAACCGTGGCTGACAAGCATCACGAGAGAAGCCGGTCTTTTTAATATTAGAAACACATGGGACAGTTGAATGAGTAGTTTTACAAGAGAATGTTTAAACTAATAATTGAACCCTATAAATATGCCTTTTGAATTTTCCTGCCAAATGTGAATAAAGACAACAGCTCATTTACCTGATCATGAATCACATGAGACTTTATTTTTAAGTATAGACTATACTAAATATTCACTTATATTGTGCTCTGTGCTCCTCATTCCTTCTATTCTGTATCATGAAATGTTCCCACTGTAGGACAAATAAAGGATCTCCTCATCTTAATCCTAATTGTGAGTCAAACCAGATCCCTGCATAAATCAGAGGTAGATCACGGCTCAATAGTTCCTGTATAAGTAGATTTTGGTTTGATAAAGCACAGATGACCAAACCTTTTTTTACTCACTGGGTCAAAATGTACAGTATACATATGAACAGGGAGCTAAGAGGAAAACATATCCGTGTTTTGTTTAAAAAGTTAGTCAGCATGTATAAGGAAAAGTAACACAACAGAATACATCTGCACAGCTCCGGGATGTTTAATTCACTTATACATATAGTCACAACAGTCACACTTTCATATTAGAAAATATATGTAATTTGTCCAAAGGTCAAAACCGCTCTAATCAATACATGTTTGTAATGCAAGTCATTTCAATACTTACTCAATGCTGTTTTTTGCAGTGAAACGGGCTGAACCCGCCAGAGCCTCGTCCAAGTCCAGAAGTCTGAGGCCAAAGTGCACCGGCAGCTGAGAAAAACCTGAAGCTGCCTCAGAAACTGTGTCACTGTGTCCAGACGAGGCATCGACCACAGAGCACAGGGACCTGGTTCAAAGGACAGAGCACAGGGACCTGGTTCAGAGCACAGAGCACAGGGACCTGGTTCAGAGCACAGAGCACAGGGACCTGGTTCAGAGCACAGACCACAGGGACCTGATTCAGAGGACAGACCACAGGGACCTGATTCAGAGGACAGACCACAGGGACCTGATTCAGAGCACAGACCACAGGGACCTGGTTCAGAGCACAGAGCACAGGGACCTGATTCAGAGAACAGACCACAGGGACCTGATTCAGAGGACAGACCACAGGGACCTGATTCAGAGGACAGACCACAGGGACCTGATTCAGAGCACAGACCACAGGGACCCGGAAACTGTGAGTATCGATGCTGTCGAGAATGCACTTTTGTTGAATTATTGGGATGCATTTTGGGGGTCGACCAACATGTTTTTTTTCTCAGAGCTGATACCGTCACCAATAATTAGTAGTCAAGGAGGCAATTAGGCATGTGTCATTTAACAAAACAAATAGCTAATGGAAAAAGCTCCCACTGGAGGTGATTAGATTGAAGGTGGTTTCAATGTGATTTAAGCCAAATGAAGTTCATTTTGACATAAACAAACCAAACAAAGCGTTTAGGCACATGTACAGTAATTAGGACTGTGCTGTAGTGCGTGTGTGTGTGTGTGTGTGTGTGTGTGTGTGTGTGTGTGTGTGTGTGTGTAGTTGGGATAACAGTGACCCCAAAAACATTTAACAGCAAAACACAAACATGTCTTTTGGTAAAATACAAAACATACTCATTGCAGAGATTAAACAAAAAGGGAAACTAAAACCATTCATTTATATAGAGAATATGTGAACACGTGTGTTGCTGCTGGTGTCGGACTGTACAATGAACACTGATGACAGAACATTCACTGACAGTATAGTAATCATCATCGATATTCCAAATCAATAGTTAAGTACAGCCAAGTTCTTGGGTCAAACTTTTTAAAAATGTGAATAATATTTTAAAGGAGGAGCACACAAAGGATTCAGCTTAACTTGATTTTAGTCTCTAAAATGTGGTCTTAAAATAAGATTTGACAATGGGGCAAGCAATTTCTCACTTTGCCAATCTTCACTTGAAATGAGAAAGAAATCGCTACTGCTCTTGAAATTATTATCTTTTGCTTACCTCATCTTGTCAACATTCACTCACACTGTATCAGTTTTTACAGCACTTTGTTTGCTAGGATCACTCTCCTCAATCTCTTTATGTCTTATCTCTGTTTGTGACCATCCTTTAGGCTTATCTGTTTACATTGATTGATCTGAAGTAGTACTCTTGTTATGGACTGTGCTGCAGGTCACCAGCGTTCAAAGGCCTCACACATACATCCGATAGTAAACTTTGTGGCTTATGTTCCGCAGATATGGCTGTTTTGCGATCACGGCTTTCACATGGGAAGAGAAAGCCGTGATGAGGCAACCTGCCGCAATCGAGCTGTGACCCACTTATTTACGTCATCAATTAAAAGCCCTGTTTAAGTCCATTGTGGTTTAGCGGAAATCTCATTGCGACGCCAGCTGATTCCAGTTTTAAAAGTGGATATTTGACTTACTGCAGTGTCTTTTGAAGCGCCACACTTTCCTATTCCTTTTGACGCACAACAAACGCACAAGTCGTTTTCATGTGAGAGCATTATTCAAAGCACAGAGGCGTAGACTAACCTGCTCTTTTTTTATAATGCGCAGGATCATCGGCAAAGGTATACTGAGCCAAGCGGTGGACCGATCTGGCAGTAACCATGACAACGAGCGAGCCAGCCAATGGGGTGCTGCGCCGAAATATCAGCGGCCGAGGCTCTGACGACATCTCCGGCGCCGGTGCGGTAACATGGTGCATGGTGATGTGTGTCAGGGGACCAGTCCGTTCAGACCTGAAATCATGGGTTAAAGCTGGGGTACTTAACTTCCAGAGCATACACATCCATGCAGCTAGTTCCTGGCTTGGTTCTGACGCTATAGTTTTCACACGCACGTATTTTTGGCCTCACATATTGTAGATTTGCTTTTTTCAGACTGAAAAGTTAAAAAGAGAGGATCACACTCACTCAGACCAAAGTGTCAAATAGTGACTCACAGGGCTTTTTCTTACAAGTATTCAAATCATAACATTTTTATCTTAGAAGATGAAGCCAGCATGTTTTACAACACAGTGGTTCTTTGTTTATTGTGGGGTTTATGATGTAAAAATAACCTGAAGTAAGTAAAATCCGTGAAGTAGCAGCTGCATATTTTAAGGCTGTAACACCTCCCACCACAAACTTTATACACTTTTCTAACCACCTGAAGTCACGACTGCTGCAGTGCCATCGCAGAGATACAGTATGAGACCTGTTTGTTGTAGGCCTGAGCGCTGCTGCAGCTGTCAAAAGCCGTGCATACACTGTAAAATTCAGCTGCAGACAACACCGGGCTGAGGGAACAGACAAAATGTTTTTTTTGAGGTTTTTTTGTTCTCATCCTCTTAAGGCTATAGCTGCAACTGTCAGTATGTAATTTTATTAGTAATTACTTAGTAAGTAATTTTGCCATCCCAAAAATGTTCAATTCTTAATTTATATTGCGCATTTCACAGACTAAAGTCACAAAGCGCTTTACAATTGTGAGCATTTGTCTCCTACTCCACACAGAGAGCGGGGTAGAATAACCAGCATCATTCTGTCTTAAAAATTGGCACAAATACACTTAAATTATTAGTGTCCATGGGTTTCAGCTTCCTGCTTCATAAAAAAATTAGGACCAATCCCCCCAAAAGATGAAAGTATTTTCCGGGACATTCATTCATGAGCTTAATTTCTGTAATCATTGGTTATTCTGTTTGCCTCTTAGTAGGAACTAGAAGGATTTTTATTACATAGATCTATTGTGCTTTGAAAGATAGACACCCCAGCTTTAATTAAGATAAGTTGTCAACAACAGCCCTCAAAACAAACAAGAGGACAGTTGTGTCGCAGAAGTGGTAATTACTTAATAAAAGGAAAAATAAGCTGATAAACTGTCCCTTTGTTCAGAATTGCATCACTTAGACTGATTAACTATGACATCAGCGATTCCGGTGGATGGATGGATGTTTGTTATGACTGATCGGCGTCTTCCCCGCGTTTCTCTTCTTCCTGATTAAGACTTGATAGATTATGTGGTTTTGTATTCTGTAGCCGAAGCCTCAGGGGCTTGACAAAATCCATCAAACACACATTTATCTTATATGAGCAGTAATCATTTATGCCTCTTTTCTTTTGTGGTTGTTGTGTTGGTAATGTGATTCAGTGAATACGTTTTAAGTGTATGGAAATTAAACCTATTCTGCTTTTTTATTCACACAGAGTTGAGAAACGATTCAGACGAGGCTCCGCGACTGTGGAACAAACAACTTCAGGTTAGTTTTGTTCTTTACAACAGAGGAATAAGAACGTGGTGGTTCAACATGACCATTTTTATAATTTTGTGAAAGTAAAAACTCTCATAAAGTGTAAAGTAAATCTTATAGTATTGTAGTGTATACAATAAATAGGAATATCATATTTTGTTAGGTCCTCTGCATTGTCCTTTTAAAACAATTAAAAGTTGCTGACAAATAGATGGCTCAGTTGGTAGAGCATTGGCCTTTGAGCCTGAAGGTCGTGGGTTCAAGCCCACCATGAGACCTACTTCTCGACTCCCCCTGATGTCTGCTGTAGTTGTGTCCTTGGGCAAGACACTTAACCCCACTTTGTCCGAAGCCCCCGCTGAAAGATCTCAGCTCCTATGGACTCACAACCTGCAGGAGGATCAGTGAGGGGCTGGTGCTGTGTGTACTGGGTGCAGCTCTGACTGCCCCCGCCCCCCCCCCCCCTGACCCAGAAATGGATTAAGGGGAAGAAAATGGATGGATGGACTTATGCATTGATAAAGCCCTCTGACTATTGTATCCCTTTATGAAAATTATTTTGGGCTGATTTCTGTTTTAATTCCCACAAACGCTCATTATCATCAAAAGTTGCAAATTGCCTGTTCAGTTCTGGCTATAATTTTTTAATATCAATATTAATATTTTACCTTTTGAATAAAATATTAGAATCCAGAACACATAAAAAATTGCTAACTTTACTCCTTTCCTCTTGGCTGTAGAGTAAACACACACTGTGCACAGTTGTTATCACATACTGAAGCTTATTTGCCTCCAAAATATTTTGATTTTTGGAAACTGCGCAAGGTAAAAGTTTTTAGGAATTTATGGCCTTTTAAAATCATCATTAAAGCCGGCATACCTAACCTCCAAACCACACAAACGTAACTATGTAATCAAATATATCTAGCTCTTAAAACATTTTGGTTTTATCACCGGTTTGTACTTGTACGGTATTTTTGGCCTCATATCTTTAGATCAGCTTTTTCAGACAGAAAAGTATAAAAGAGAGGACCACCCTCAGTGAACCAATCAGCTGTAAGAGGAGTGACTCACAAGGTTCCGTTTGCAGAGAATGATATGTTTTCTAATGAGATGTCGTTGTTTAGAAACTGAAAAGCCAGATTGTGACTGAGCTGCAGGTCCAGCTCAGTGACATCGTGGAGCGAGTGCTGTCCGAGTCTCTTCCAGCTTCCTCCCAAATCCAGCCTCATCAGAACGGGAAGACGGCACCAGTCGCCAGGTAACATGAGCGAGCGCTGACGTCTGTGCCCCCAAACATACACTCAGATTCATCCTGTTTCCTTCTCCCTTTCAGAACAGAGAGAAAAGATGTGGGGAAAGTGTTTATGCACAGAATGTCCCTTTTGGAGTGAGTATGTTGGCTTCGATTGGAGCAAGACTGTTTACAGAAAGTGGGTGTCAAAAGCGCTCACCGTACTATCAATTACTTCACACAAAACACAATAATTTGGGTAAAATTAGGTCAAATATTTCATTAAAACACTGAAAAACAATACAATAGATTTGATGTAATCCAATAATATTTAACACACTTATTGTCATGATGTGAAATTCAATTCAATTATTTTTGTAAAGCCCTAAATCACAGCAGCATTGATATCGGAGGGGTATAATGTCCATAAGTGTTAATAAATGTCCTTAATTGTCCTGGATCATGCCTATCCCCAGATCCTCCTGTATTTGCAAAGACGACTCAAGGGAGAAAAGTGAGAAAGGAACAGAAAATGCAGGACTGAAAATGAAGTGTAATTTAATTAAATAAAAATCAATCCTGGGTAACAATAAAACACAAAAATCAGCAAGTCTGGAACAAACGTGAGACAAAAAAGTAGTTTGATATGAAAGTGGAACAGCTTTGGTTATGAACAGTGACCATTTAAAAGCTAATAATTCTATCTAGGATTAAAGAAGGATTATATTATTAATGCAGTAAATGGTTAATCCCTTAATATTGAATTTCTAACTGAACGAAGAATGTCTCGCTGTCGTCAATATGAATTCAATCAGGAAAAATAATTTACACAAAAAATTAAAAAGGAATAGTCCCGTAAAGAAGGATGAGAACTTTTGGTCATTGGTTTGAATGCTTTGGTGTCTGTTCCATTGCATCACTTTGCAATCTCTTGCAAATTACCGCAACGATTTGTAGATGGTCTTGATTTTCTGCAAGTCTCATAATGTAACCATAAGTAACAATTACATGTGTTGAGAGTCCGGATACTTTTGTAAATGAACTGTTGACATGACCTGTGCTCTGTGTATAAAATAATCTTTTGTTTTTCTGTTTGCCAGTGAATTGTTTGAAATCAGCCACATACGGACGATCTACCACATGTTTCTGGCCATTTTCCTTCTCTTCAGTGCGAGCACTTTGATTGTTGACTACCTCGAGCATGGAAGGTCTGTCTTACTGTCTTTGTGTACCTTTACGTTAGGGCTGCAAGATACAGTATGCAAGTCACAAGCACTGTAAGCAACTGTCTAAAACTTAAACATTATCACATTTTTACATCCAATGTGAAGGCTGTTAAATCTTGCCACTACATATATATACTGATTTGAATACAAAGTTATTATTAATAGCTAGATTAGGGATACGAGTATGTGACAAAGAACAAGTCACTGGTTGATGGCTTTTCTGAAGAGATTTTTTTAAAAATATTTAAGCGGATATTTTTCCCCATTTGAATCATCAAATATATTTGGGGACCAATCACAGAACGAGACGGGACACTATTGGACGGACGGAAGCTTGTCTTTTGTTTATACATAGGTCCAGCCAACGGATATGATTGACATCTGCAGCTCCCCAATAGACAGCTATGGAAAATTGTAAAACACATCCTTTCCTATGAGAACATAAACTCAAGGACAAAAAATTGTGGACGTTATGACGAATCTTTCAACTCTGACTGTTCAATTCCATTTAAAAAAAAAACATAAATATTCCAACTCCTACCACTAGTTAAGGGTGTTTCACTACTCAATATAATTTCCTTATTATTATTATTATTATTATTATTAAGATTTACCAGACATTAAAATACAGTAATAGACAAAAAACTGGAGAGGAACAGACAAGAACAAATACATCAGGCTGTACAGGCTCAAACCACAGTGAGACCACACACAAGAAAAATATTGCTCCGAATTAATATACATGTTTATATTAAAACCGTTCACTTTCTAAGACATGAGTAAATAAAATAAATATCTTCTTTAAAAGTAATGACAAATATTGGATTTTTTTATCATCCAGAATTTTTTTTTTTTTTACAGAATCCAACTATTCAAACATGTCTTTTTAAAAACCAAAAGCGGCTGATCCGTTCCCCGAAACTTTGTGACCCCAAACGTCACCTCCAGCTAACGTCTGTACCCCGCAGTGCTCTGAAACTTCCCTTCTTATCTTTCTATTGGCTTAACTAAACCGTGTTGCTCTTTCCTCTCTCCTCACTCATCTGCAGCATGAAAGATAGAGCAATCGGCCCCAGCGCGGGTTCCTGCTGTTGCTCTGGGCGCCCGCGTAATGATGTGCAGACTGTTTCATACATGTGGGCCTTTTTGTTCTCCCACCTCTAGAGTTTCTCAAGTGCCAGCGGGAAAAAACCTCACTGAGACAAACTGTTCAATGCACTCACCCTCTTTAAAGGACTTTAAAGGACACATATTATGCAAAATGTTCTTTTTTTAAGCTTTTTACCATGATACAATATTCCCCCTCATCCAAAATATACGTGGAATTGTTTTGCGCTCCATCCATGTTATCGGGAAGTAGTTAATATTTATGAAACCCAAAAAACGAATTTGACTTCCTCTCACGAGCACTTCTAGCCGAAACAGCCCAGCGCGATCCTGATTGGCTCTTGCTGGTTGCTGGGGAGGTGCTATATGAGAATTTGGGCCAGATTCCCGCCCATGGAGCATGTTTGAGTTCGCTCTAATTGGCTTCTTCCAGGAAAAGCCAATAGCTATGGGTGACAGATATGTTTTGTGTGTGCGTGTGTGTGTGTGTGTGCGCGTGTGCGTGTGCGTGTGTGCGTGTGCGTGTGTGTGTGTGTGTGTGTGTGTGTGTGTGTGTGTGTGTGCGTGTGATCGAGAAACTGTGTGTTTGTAAGCCTTGTTTTGATTTTTTTTATTCATTTTTTATACACATTTATTTTAGTTCTCCCAGACAGACATATATAGTTCTCTTCTATTGAATTTGACTGAATTTCTCTGGTTTACTTTCAATTACACGACGCCATGTATGATTTACTAAAATAGCGCAATGTAATATCCCACATATACCATTAGATGGGGTTGTTTGAATGGTCAAGCTTTATACGTGTTTTTTCCATTGTGTTTTCTCCTGAATATATATTTTTTTATATTTTTGAAGAGCCAAAATAAATAGAAATATCATGCTGAATATTTGTATGTGATTTTTGCGTTGATCACTGTAGGTTGGTGCTGGAGTTCGACCTGCTGTTCTACGCCTTTGGGCAGCTGAGCACCGTCACCTGGGCCTGGACCCTGATGTTCCTCTACACTTTACTAGTTCCGTATCAGCTGCTGGTGTCATGGGGCTCGTTGTACCACGCGTCCACCTCAAAGCTGCCCCTCTCTCTGGGCTTTGGTCTGGTCCTGTTCGCCCTGCAGAGCTGTGTCCTGGGACTTTTTCCGGTCTACGTGGTCGTGCACAACCAGCTGCCGCCTGCATCTCGCTTCATAGTCATCCTGGAGCAGGTCGGTAAAGTCACAGGAAGCTGTAAGATACATAAGAATAGCATACTTTACAAAAAGCAGCTCATGGAGTGAAGATGTGTGGAGAAAAAGAGGGGAAAAAGGCATGTGACTTGAATATTTATACACTAACAGAGACTTGGCTCGACTTCTCTATGGTACACAGTGTTCAGCAAGTAGCACTGTCACTTAGTAGCTTACACATTTTAGCTTCTCTACTCGCCCGTGGATAAAAATCTTTTCCATTCCTCATTATCGTTTTGATCGTCATAAGGTGTGATAGTTCTGTTGGCACCCCCTCCGTTTACACTGCTGCTTCCCAACAGTCTTCACAAAGGACTTCACAATAACATTGAGTTGTAAATAGTAGAAAATCTAACAGCCATGACAGCCACTGGTCAAGGAAGATGAACAGATTCAACCGATGTTTGCCAAGATATATGCAATGATTTATGCAAAGGCGGAAAAACTTCAAAGGAATACTTAGAAGCACTAATTTCTTCCGCTTTTGATCATGGTATTACTCATGTTTTTTTTGTAATGGCTTTTTCAAACAACAAGATTTGCATTCCCTGCTACAGTGCTGTCCTGTCTGGGGAGGTGTTTTATAGTAAAAAGAAAATATATATATATTTTTTTAAGCATTGATCTGAGATGTTGAAATTAAAGCTCAACATGATCAACCAGAAAGCTCTATAATGAACCCTTGAATTTGAAGTGCAGCATAATGTAGACAGCAGTAAAAGCAAAGTGTTGTTTATAGGACGTTGTTTAAATGTGGGTCACAGCTGAAGAAGGTTATAAAACTACACACAAGTCACATGAAGGACAACACTTTGCATAAGAACATCGTGACAAGCCGCGTAACAAAAGTGAAATTAGTTTCCCATTATAATGCGAGTCCATCTGGATAATATTAGAGCTTAAAAAACTAATGTCAGACCTTTTCTGGACAACACAAAATAGAAGGACAAATGGCTGATTGACAAATGACCGTCTCAACAGCTACACAAACACTAACACTGATATTTTGTACCACAATCAGATACAAATGTCAGTGTATACAAATAAAGTCAACCGCTGAGTTCCAGAGGTCCCGAACTTTACAATGAGAAAATGTGATGCCTTTATGGACTGAGCTGAGGTTGGCTGGATGACACTGTGGATGTTTTTATAATCTCGACTACTATGTGGTCAAGGCAGAGGGGCACAGTTTAGTTTGGACGTGCCTACTTTAGTGGCATTGCAGGATGGGTCACATGCACAGGACTCACTACAGGGACAATAATCTGCACTTAAACCCGGAAAGTATTATAGTAATAATCATAATAATTTTACTTAGAGTTTTTTTCTTTTTGTACTTTTGACTTGATTGCACCGAGAGCCAAAGCAACTTCCTTGTTCTGTGACTTACATGGCTATAAAAAGGATTCTGATTCTAATTGATGATGATTAGTGATTTTAGTTATAAGCAATAATACAGTGAATGATTTATAAAAGAAAGTGTTAAGATTAAGATATTCTTAGTCCCACAGTGCGGAAATGCAATCGACCTTTTTTATATTATTATTATAGTTGTATTTAAACTTCTTTGGCTTTTTTGTTTCTACATCATGTGTGATCAGCCAAAAAAGCTCCATTCCCTTGTGTTTTTGTATTTAGATGTAGTTTTAAGCCAGTCACACCTTGGACTGCGTCTGACTTCATAATAAGTTTGTTTTGGATCAGCAGACGTAGATTTTGATGAAACGAAATCTTCCCAACCTCCATCTGGACAGCGATCAAAGAGTCCTGGATCTAAGGCGGCATTTCAACACCCCTCAGCTAATTTATGCACACATCCCTTTTGTTTCTGCGGCCGTGTCCTGAGACTAACTGTATCCGATCTGCTGGAAGGAGCGTCCCAAAGCTTTGTGCACAATGTCAACATGTTTGTGTTTATACATTCATGGGGGAAACCTCAAACCTCAGCTTCGATTCTGTGTTTTCGAAGGTCAGGTCGGTTTCTTAAAATCAATACTTGTTTTTGCAGAATCCCTGGAGGTAAGTATGTCCTCGAGCATATTTTTTTTTGACTTTTGGCTTGAAAAGAGGTTGCAAATCTAGGCACCCCAGCTTTAAACTGCTTTATCTGTCGTTTTGGGAAAAGACAAGTAATTCAATGTGCCTACAAATTATTACTAACTATTTGTCCCTTTTTCCACAGATTCGATTTCTGATGAAGACTTACTCCTTCATAAGAGAGTCAGTTCCTCTTATCATCAGCAGTCCAGGAAAAGAAGGTACATGGCCTCCTGTTGTGTGGGAATAAGATGCTTCTATCTCGAGCTGGGCTATAATTCAAAATGACACAAGATAAATGAGAGAGACATGGCTCCGCAGGCTGCCCTTTAATGATACACAAAGGAAAATAACATTGGATATATATTACATGGAATCCACTTATAACTAGGCCTTTCCGCCCAATCTCTAGAGCTAGGAAATGTAATAAAGCCTTAATAGTTCCCTAGAGAAGTGCTCAATATGGCTGCAAATGACTGCTTTTATCATCAAAATATGGTTTTGGGCTGGTCATAGTTATAAAGCATCCGTGGTCTTATGGAGAAAGAGATTTAGAGACACCTTTTATCTAAATCTATCGCCACATCAAAGCAAAGCATATAGCAAAATACATTAGCGGTAATTTGCTGTAACGATTTAATGATCCGCTTCTTTCAGTTCCATTTAAGTGGCGCTGTTAGACGAATGCCGCCGTGAAGCACTGCGTTTGCAAATAGAAAATTGGATGTGAAGCTAAAAGCAACTTTATTTACAGTGCTGTTTCCGTTAACTAAAGCCTTTTATCTCATACAGCTGCTGGCTCACAGATATCTCATGCTCATTTATTTACTATTGTCTTTGTTTCTCAGGAGAAAATCCACGGTTTCCAACTTTATCCAGTTACTCTTACTTCCTCTTCTGCCCAACGCTTATCTACAGAGAGTCATACCCCAGGTGCGTACAAACCACCGTCAACGTCACGGCCTCTGCTCTATTACAACTTATCAAATGTGTGTGTTTTGTTCTTTTTAGAAATAACCACATTCGTTGGAATTATGTTGGAGTTACTATTGTCAAGGTAATAAACAAACCCATTCAATGCCTAAGATCAGAATCAGATTGTTTTATGGCCATTGTCAAGGAGCGGGATAATTCACAAACAAGGAATTAGCGTTTTCATTATGGTGCAATCCACTGCTTCCACAAATCCCATATCATTTTACGACTTGGGGGACTCGCTCCCATTGAAGCTGTATAACAGACACGGGTCTGCCTATGGCGAGTTTGAAACCTCAAGAATCTGGTGAACACAGCCATGTTGTCTATCACTATCACAATAGTAATTAAAACAGCTATGGGAATACATATTTTTGAGCATACGACCCACAGTATCCTTTCATTGAAGTATTTTCTATAATTAATTTATTTAAAACAGTCCCTCCCCTTGGAACAAGCATCACCAGTAAAATTTGCTGGAGGAAAATACTTTGACCAATGAAGAGGGGCCTCAGCTGTTTGTCAAATATCTGAATGAATTTCGTCCAATCAGGAAGTTGTGTGGGGCGGGTCTAACAGGCGCTAGTCTCTTTCTTTGAAAAGTTACTGACCTTAAGTTTGTTCCATGTGCAAATTTATTTTCAAATCAACATACAGTAGTATTGTCTGTCTACACCAAGCCCCGGTGATCCAAGATGGCGCCCTATTCAAATGAATGGCTTGTGCTCAGTAGCACATGGGACTTCACGGAGACCGGGAGATTAGCTGAACTCGCCTATATTTGGGCATCGTCTGGTCCTCCCGGTTCTGCGCAGTGGACGAGCTCCCATGATGCGTTGTGCCAAATACGCGTGTGTGGCTCTCATGCACGTGCACAGAGGGGGAGCTGCTGATCAGAGCAGTGGTAGAGCGGAGTCAGAGCGGGAAGGAAAGGAGCAGAGTTTGTGGCAGTAAAGTGAGGATTTAAAGAAAATCGAAGGATTTAAGAAGAAAAAAAGTTCAGGATGACAAGGGACACAAAAATCCCCACAAAATCCATTCTTTATGAAAGCTGTAGGTTCTCTGTCAGCTGAGGTCGAGCTGGTTTAGTTTACTATGGGACTTTTTTCTGGGTAGCCCACGTGAATTTAGTCTGCAGTACCACGGGCGCCCCCTGTGCCCATGGGTGGGACAGCTTTAAGATAGTAATACCCTATCCAGTTATTATTATAGATCCATGGTCTACACTAATGAAACAATAATGGTGTTTTCTAGCTATTCGTCTGCCTTTTCTACGGCTACTACATCCTGGAGCGACTGTGTGTTCCAGTGTTCAAACCTGACACAAACCAGAGTTTCAGCAAACGCTCAATGGTTCTGTGCATCTTTCACTCGATATTTCCAGGTACAGTGACACTTCAGACATCAGACACATTTGTGTAATCTTTTTATGTGACACAACACAGTACGACTGTAGGAAATCTATAGCATTTGAGTTCTGTAGATGTGACCTGCATGAACCTCTGCCTCAGGAACCATGCTGCTGCTGCTCTGCTTCTTTGCCTTCCTCCACTGCTGGCTCAACCTTTTTGCCGAGCTCCTGCGTTTTGCTGACAGAATGTTTTATAAGGTGAGATGTGACTGACGACTATTACAGGCCTCCTCCTGTTTCAGAGTGAGAAAAAATTGGTTAAATACATAAGGCCCTGTTTATAATGTGTTTATAATGTCCTGCAGATATTATGAGCACAGAAAAGAGTGAGGGGGCTTTGGACAGAGTCGGATTGTTTCCATTCACATGATCCGTTCAAACAAACTCAACTTTTATCAATATTTCTGAGACTGAGTGGAGAATTCTGATGTTCTCTCTGTCTCGTATAGAAACTCTGAAGTCTTGACAGTGATGAACTCTGTGTTATTGTTGTGGTTTATTGCAGTAAATCCAGAGAGAGTTCCACTGCAGTAATCACTCAAAACTTTACTGAGTTTGTCCTGAAGTGACACAGCGGCTCCAGAGCGGAGGAGTTTCTTTTATGAAACTCTTTGCTGTAATTACAGCAGATGACATTAAGTGGATTTAGTATAAGATTGTGTGTGTTGTTGCTAAGCAACCAGCTGTTATGCACAAATGATATTTTTGAGCCATATATATATATTTTGTATATTTAACACACTGTACTGGAGGTAATGCAGTGTGTGAGTGGACGTCAGGGTCCTCAGCTGACCCCTCTGACCTCCTTCTGATCAGCTGACCCCTCTGACCTCCTACTGATCAGCTGACCCCTCTGACCTCCTGCTGATCAGCTGACCCCTCTGACCTCCTACTGATCAGCTGACCCCTCTGACCTCCTGCTGATCAGCTGACCCCTCTGACCTCCTGCTGACTGTGACACAGATTTCCGAGATGAAGTCCAAATGTTTCTGCTGTTGCTGTAGAACATGTTGCAGTTGCTTACTTCAGGTTCTCACGTGTTCATGACCATGAATCCATATCGTTTCTTCTTCCAGGACTGGTGGAACTCTTATTCTTTTGCAAACTATTATCGAACCTGGAACGTGGTGGTCCACGACTTTCTATATTACTATGGATACAGGGATTTCCTGTGGGTGAGTGCGCTGAACCTCTTCTCAGAGCAGTATGTTGTAGATGTGTGTTGACCTGTGGCCCCTGCAGCTGTCCAGGAGGAAGTTCAGGACAGCTGCCATGCTGTCGGTCTTCATGGTGTCCGCCTTTGTTCACGAATACGCTCTGGGAATGGGCTTCGGCTTCTTCTACCCCGTCATGTTTTTCCTCTTCGCCATCTTTGGAGGTAAATGTACAGTACAATAACAGTAACACTGATGGATATTTTGAAAAATTACAGCAATCCAGCTTTTTTCCGTTCTTCTCAGATAGCAACAGGTAAATGAAACACAAGATAGATAACGCTTTACAGAGTAGTACTATAGAATTATGTGTTTGTTTCACCAATCAAAGAGTGGACTGGTGCCATTCTGTTCTCATTATCTCAAGTTATTATGCAATGTTCATCTCTAGAAAAACACATTATTTATTTTGGACTTTGTGTCATTAGTTCTTAGACATTTACACAGTACCCACTAAGGCAATACTTAGCCTCCCAAATATCACAAATTAACCAGGTCTAAAACAGGGCCTTTCTAAAACAAATCAGTTTACCACAGATAATGATTGTATGACATGACAACTCTCCAGCAAATGTGTGTCTATGTGTGTGTGTGTTTGTTTGTGTTTGCGTGTGTGTGTGTGTGTGTGTGTGTGTGTGTGTGTGTGTGTGTGTGTGTGTGTGTGTGTGTGTGTGTGTGTGTGTGTGTGTGTGTGCATGTAAGTGGGGTGTGGTTTGTGTCTCTGTCCCATGTTTATTTAATGATTGTTTGTGGAACACTGTGTCCTTCATAAATGTCTAGGCTGCGTCGCTTGTAACTTATGGTAATATGTCCTTGTGACCCGGCTTCTTGATCTATATTCAGCCATAAATTTGAATACAAAATCACACTTTGAGTCCAAGAGAAATGTCAAATGCTCTTGTGTTCTTCTAGTGCTGTTTAACTTCGCCATGAACGACAAGCGCCAGAGTCCAGTGTGCAACGTGCTGATGTGGACGTCTCTGTTCCTGGGGCAGGGGGTCCAGGTCTGCCTCTACTGCCAGGAGTGGTACGCACAGATCAACTGCCCGCCCAAGGGGGTAAGGACTACACACTACTAACATCATCACAGGCAGAACCACAGTCTCTCTCTCGTCTTTGGTACTAATGCAAAACGTACTTAAGAAAAAGTATGAACATTAAAACAGTTTAATTCATTTTTATTGAATAATTGATGGACAATATATTTATTTAAGACGTTTTAAGATTATGCAAGATTAGCCTTTATGAACAACATTGTTCCCTCATCAAAAACAGACCTAGAGTTGTTTTTAGACCCATCCAGTTGAATATCATAGACTTCTGGTATAAGCATATAACTCTGTCTCAGTCCTGTAATATAATGAAGTACCATTGTACCAGTGAGACATCACACCTCAGAGCCAGTTGCTGCCTTTCAAAACAAGCATAAGAAAGATAAGAAAACATTTATTATTTCACTTTCTCAAACATTAAAACTAAATAAATAAATACTGTGGAAAATGAAGCACACATACTGTAGATCTAGTAAGTAAGTAAGCTTTATTTATATACCGCCTTTCACAGACCAGAGTCACAAAGCGGTTTACAATTGTTATTTTTTGGGCACTTGTCCTCTCACTCCACACAGAGATGGGAGCGGGGTCGCCGAACAGGAGGCGCATGCCAGACCTATCGTACATATTTTTAGTGGAAGGGGAAACCGGAGTACCCGTAGGAAACCTACGCAGGCACGGGGAGAACATGCAAACTCCACTCAGAAAGGCCCTGGTCTGGCCGGGATTCGAACCCAGGACCTTCTTGCTGAGAGGCGAGAGTGCTATCCACTCAGCCACCGTGCCGCATGCTGACACATGCTGACACAGAATATTACAATTAAATTACATTTTGAAGCCAAATTGGTTATGCCACAATTAATCAACTCACTTAGAAGCATGGCTAACCACTTCAACCCTGTTTTTGCATTGTGTTGTCATCTGCAAGTAATTTGTTAATTTAAAATACAAGGAAAATGAAAGAACAGATTTTTGAGTTTATGGTTGAGTTATAAGTTGTAGAGAAAAAGCTCTTTAAAGGTCACAAACAAGGTATTGAGAGGCTAACCCAACACTGACACATTGGAGGGCAAAAGTCAGTTTACCCGGGCAGAAGTCGGTCAGTAGAGCACCATGACAGTGAGATAAATAACATTACAGCCACACGACACAGAATCAATAACTCTAGACAGAAAAGCAATTCTTCACATTATTTTTGACAGGGCGCCATAATGGAGACATACATTCAGCGTACGGGCAATTCACAGGTCATGGCTTTTGATTTACCCTCATAAACAACAGACAGGTCCATCATGTTACTCCAGGAAGGCTTTCTGTGTTACCGTTTCTATGTGTGGTATTCACTCATTTTGTGGTCTAATCGGCGCTAAGACAAACTGTTTTGAGAGCGAGGAACTAGATGGCTTCAATTACATATTTTATAGGAAGAAAGTTATGGTTCAATTCAAATTATTTTTTGTATAGTCCTAAATCACAACAGTAGTCGTCATGAGACATAGACAGACTTTATTGATCCATAAGGGAAATGGCGTTGTCACAATAGCTCGCATAATATTTCAAAATAAAAACAAAAATCTAAAAATAATAATAATAATACGATAATAATAGTTTATTTATTTATTTATTTAGACATGTATTTAAAGAGGAATAACCCCATGAGATGCATCATCTCGTTTTCGTGGGGGTCCTCTATATACAGGTTACAGCGTAGTCATTTGATGCACAACAACATCCAAAGAAACAAAATGACAAAAATAAAATAAAACGGAGTACAAACACAAATGCACACACACACATCACACCGCTCTCATTTACCCCCCTCCACTAACAAGACATTACAGATACCATTGCAATCTTTTGAAAGCATGTTCAAGAAGTACATTTACAAACATACATTTAGAGTTATATCACACGTGAGTAAAAGGTAAACATTTCTCCTGCACACAAACCAATAATTAAACCATTATATTCAGGCAAATATAGAAAAGCATTAGATAAGTTGAAAACTATCCAACGAGAAAAAAAGAAAAAAAATAATAATAATAAAAAAGAAAAAAAATGAATAATAAATAAGAAAAGCCACAAAGATTTTACCGAGGTCCTTCGATTGAAGTTGTCCCACTCATTACAAACTGTAGCTACAAACACAAACAAATATTTTGCAAGTGTGCGAAAGTGGCTCTTCTGAAGGTAAATAATGAAGTTATAGAGCGAATAGAAGCCGGAAGTCGGTTCCAGTCTCGAGGCGCTTTAATAAAGAAAGCGTGTTTCCCTACGTCTCTGATGGCTCTGGGAACAGTAAAGAAAAGGGTGTCATTGTGACGGAGACTATAAGATGAACTGAAAGGAACTAAGTATTGCTTTAGGTAAGATGGGAAATTAAAGTGGATGCATTTGAAAATGAATTGAAGCCAATGGTGTTGACGTCTGCCTGTAAGAGAGAGCCAAGACAGTTGTTCATACATGAGGCAGTGATGTGTCCTGTAGGGGCAGCGAAGAATGAATCTGCAGAGACTGTTATAGACAACATTTAGAGAGTGTAGACCGGTGGCGGAAGTGTTCTGATATACGAGGTCAGCATAATCCAAAATCGGTAGGAGCAATTGAGTAACTATTTTTTTCCTAATCAGATTAGTTAATGGATTGATAGAGAGTTTTCAGCTGAAAATTCAGTTTGTTAGTTAAGTGTTTAATATGAGTCTTGAAGGAAAGATCAGCATCCAGCCAAAAACCTAAGTATTTAAAAGTTGAAACTGATTCCAGAGAATGTGAATCTAAAAAACACAAATTTAAGTTACCAGCTGCACACATACTTTTTCTCTGGAACAGCATTGAAAAGGATTTGGATTTATTTAGGAGCAGTTTATTGCATGATAGCCAGTGCTGGACATTATTGAAGTCATGTTGAAGAGAGTTGTTAATGTCTGTAATGTTGGGTTTGGAACAGTAAAGAATCGTGTCATCTGCATAAAGGTGAATCTCACAGTCTGAACAACAACCATCTTTATTATTCATTAATAAAGATGGAAAATAATAAAGGTCCAAGAGAGGACCCTTGTGGAATGCCTTTGCTAATGGTTTTAAAATCAGACTGACTGCCTCTAAAGGACACACACTGCCGGCGGTGATGAAGAAACGAACTGAACCATAGAAGGGAAGATCGGGAGAGGCCAATTGAATTTAATTTGTCCAGAAGCAAGTAGTGATCAACTAAGTCGAAGGCTTTGGTGAGATCTAAAAATATAGCACCAGTACATTTGTTATTATCAAAACCAGAAAAAATATCGTTTGTAAATTTCAAAAGGGCAGAGGTGGTTGAGAAGTATTTCCTGAAAACTGATTGGCATTGAGAGAGTAAATTATAACTGGAAAGGAAATCAGATAATTGAATGAATATGATTTTCTCAAATGCTTTTACAACACTATTGATTATGGATATGGGTCTATAATTATTCAAAATTTGACTGTCCCCTCCTTTATGCAAAGGAATGACTTTAGTACATTTCCATGCTAGAGGTACTTCACAGGTGCTAAATGACATATTAAAAAGCTTTGCCAATGGCGAAGAAAGAACATGTGAAGCTAGTTTCAAAAACCTTCCCTCAATGCCATCAGGACCAGGACCACTGCTTGAGGACAGACTGTTTATGGCCTGCAAGACATCAGTTGAGCTAACAATTGAAAAAGTGAAAGAGCTAGAACAGGGATGAGAGTTTGCAGTCGGATCTAGATGGATAAGTGGAGGAGGTACGTACCTGTGGTGACTGGGAGAAATGTAAACTAAAAGCATTAGCAATCACATGTGGATCACTAGTAATTTCATTATTGATTGTCATATTGCTTGTTGCATTGTCAGATTTACCAATTAAAGTGTTTATTTTCCTCCAGAATTGTTTAGGGTTATTGATATTGTTTGACAAGCTACTTCTGTAATAATTGGCTTTAGCATTTCTCGTTTGAGTTGTGCATATATTTCTTAGCCGTTTATATTCCTCCCAGTCACTAGGACAAGATGAAAATCTGTACTTGCTCCAGGCCCTATCTCTTTTTTTAAACTGTTACAGTGTAAAATACAGAGATAGGACTTTACAAGGTTTTCGATTCCTCAACAACAGATCATAGAACCGAACGGCTCAAACTCATGAAATGCAATAATAACAAACCCATAGGAGTTATTGGAAGATATGTCCAAAAAACTGCATAAATGTCCTTGAATGTCCCGGGTACCGCAACTTTAACTCAGTAAAACACAAAACACTGCCTATCATTTGTATTTATCTCAACAAGGACAAAACTGACATTAAACTCTTGAAAAGCCCGATGACTCGGACTAGATGCCAGATGTGGAGGAGGATTTGTGACAGATGGAGGCGTTGTACTTACCACACTTTCTCTACTCCGGGCCTCTCCTAATGCCACTGTCGTCACTGCATCTCTCTGGCTTAGCTCTGATCACAGATGGCAAAATGTAAACTGAAATTAGCCAGCGATCATAAATGCTTAATTAAACATGTTAATGCATAGACAGATAATGTTATTAGGCTCAAAAGAATGTTCTTCTCTACAGGACAGTTTTATGGAGCTGGTGACGCCGCGCTCCTGGTCCTGCACTTACTACAAGTGAACACTGTGTGGCAGCAAAGAAATGAGCTGGATTTCAGGTTTCTTAAATGCCTTTCAATGCAACGTTTGTATATAGCAGCAATGTCTGTAGCAGTATTTTCTTCAATTGTGTTTCTATGACAAATGTGTTCTCCGAGATCATGTGAAAATGTTTGGAGATAGAACAGACTGTATTGTTGTTTTTTTTAATGACTTGGTTTGATGAAGTATGTATGTACTACCACTAGGGTGTATTATGTATGTGCTCTTGTCCAAAAAATGAGAAATAAAAAAATATAACACGGTTTCTCTGTCATAGCCATAACAAGGAGGAACTTGCAAGTGGTTATCTAAACCAGTGTCATTTGTGTTTGGACAGTAAAGCTGAAACTTCCCTATAGATTTAATTTAATTCCTTTTATTGAGCGCTTGGGTGTCACATATATACTAAGACTGTACAGATTAGAAGAGAGAAAATAAACCATGCCATTGGTTTTTATATGCTATGTATTTAGGCAACACTAGAAACGGCACTAGTACTCCCTACTGAGGTCTTCTTGTGAATATAACAGATGACTATTTATAGATTGTTTTATTATGTCAGAAAAAAATTAGTTAGTCCCAGAGTTCACTTTCATTGGACCAATTCTGGTTCACAAAATGCATCCGTTTGAGACGTGCTACCACCCAACACGTCCTGATGCTCTAGTCTAGTCACATAAACAAGTCCACTTCTTTTGGAGCAGTTCAGTGACGTTTTGACTGTTGCATTTATGAACCGAGTCCACTTGACCTCTAGTGTTAAACGCCCCCTTATGGACTCTTGTATTGCAGCTGTTGTATTAGCAGTATCATGGTGAGGCCCATGTGTCTCTCAGACTTACACAAAGCCTCAGTCAGTGCCTCGCTGCAGGAGCACAGGAAGAAGAGGATTACAGTGTTTGTATTATGATGTAATACTTCATAAACTGATAGCGGGTCACGTGGAGGCCTCTCACACCTGAACGCTCTCAGCAGAACAGACAGAGATAAGAGGCGTAGGCAAACGTTTGATAAATATTTGTTCAGAAGTCTGCATATTCTCTTAAAAAATACTTATTCATGAACCTTTTCACATTTATTCATGTTACGACCACAAATATGAAACGTGAAGTGAAAGTAAAATGACACATGATGATTTTATATGGGAAAACAAATAACTTTAATACAATGGGGCTTGCAGAAGTTCCATTAAATTTTCTTTTGCTTTATCTGTTGCCGGGTCATAGGGGCAGCAGTCCAAGTAGAAATACTAAAAAAAAAAGAAAAAATACGGTGGGACATACCTGAAGCACCTCTGGCATCCAAAATAGATGCCCGGGCCACCACAACTGGCTCCCCTCGACGTGGAGAAGCAGCGGCTCTAGTCCGAATTACTCCAATGTGACTGAATCCCATGAGCTCTTGTCCTTTCTGTCATTACCCAAAGGTTGTGACCATAGGTGAGGGAGGGAACGAAGATTGACCGGTTAATCAAGAGCTTTTGCCGCATCACTGCACACACTCCATCCTTCCCTCTCTTGAACTTGATATCTTTATTTTGCCATAAAACTTTTGGGGCATAACTACAAGCTTTGCACATAGAGAGATCATGTTGTATTAGTTCTCCATCCATCCATCCATTTTCTTCCCCTTAATCCATTTCTGGGTCGGGGGGGTTGCAGTCAGAGCTGCACCCAGGACACAGAGCACCAGCCCCTCACTGATCCTCCTACAGGTGGTGAGTCCACAGGAGCGGAGATCTTTCAGTGGGGGCTTTAGGCAAAGTGGGGTTAAGTGTCTTGCCCAAGGACACAACGACAGTAGTCATCAGTGGGAGTTGTGAAGTTGGTCTTACGGTGGGCTTGAACCCACAACCTTCAGGCCCAAAGGCCAATGCTCTACCAACTGAGCTACTGTCGCCCCATTATTATGTATTAGTTCTATTGCAAGCCATTGTTGGTCTCAAGAGAAATATGTGAGAAATTAACATAGACTAAATCTGCTTCTTACTTCTTCAACGTTTTTGTCAATTCTAATTACAGCATCCATTTAAGGACAAATTAGAACGTCGATTTAGATTAATCGTTATTTGGAACGCGACACAAGCCGCCGCCGCAAGCAATGTGATGACTCGCAGACGAAAAGACGGAAAATATTCTCTGACAATTTATCCTTTCCACACAAAGTACCACAAAATCCCAAAAGTCAAAGTCATGCTCCTGGCTTCCTTCATTGCTTCTTCTCAACTTCTGTTTACAACACATGGAATTGTAAAAAAAAAAAAAAAGAACATTGTGGCCTGAGAATCCAAATTTGTTTATTGGTTTATCAGGTGACAGGTTCAGCAGAGCACCATGAGAAGATGAAGAAACTCAGATGTCAAAAAATCTCCACAACACTGGAGGAGTCATTCATAAACGCTGTGGATACATATACAGAAACAAATTGTGTCTTGTATTACGCAGCTTAACTTTCAGCTGACAGTAATTCCCCTGGGCACAAACTGAATTGAATTGAGCCAGAGGAGTGGAGAGGGGGGAGGGCCGGGCGCAGGATTAGAGATGGCCCGCACTGGACACATATTCCGATCTGAAATATGAGCCAGCAGCGGCGTGCACGTGTGAGCGAGGCCTCCTGTGTGTAATCCTGTTGCGGTGAGTATGTCGAAGCAGCAAATCAGCTTTGAGTGGTGGATCTGGAACAAAGTGGTTCAGGAAACAAGTGGTGTGTTCACTCGCTCGTAATGGTATGAAGCATTTGTTATCAGAAAGCACAGGCTCAGGTAGGATCCATGTTCAAGAGCATCCACGGTAGAGAAGGATGGTTTAGGGCTGCACGATTCATCGCAGTCAAAATCACTGATACGCAAAGACTGTAATTACTTAGATATTTGCAATAATTGGACTGAAGATACCTAAAAAAATCACTTGGATTTGGGGAAACATCTTGATTGTAGTTGACTTTAATATAGAATTGTCAATGGAAAAAGCAAGTATCGTAATTCCCAGACTATAAGTTCTTTCAATTCTGCGGCCCATCTCGTGATGTATGTATCGAATGTATGTATTTGTATTCTGATCGAGTTTTTTTTTTTGACACGGCACCATCAGCTGTGATATATGTTTATGTGAACAGCAGAGAGAGCTTTAGGACGTGCACGAAATAGAAGACACTTGTTTATGTGATTAGGGCTGTTGTCAGAGCAGAGTTTATAGACTTATTATTTTGACTCCATCCAGGTTTAGTAGCTATAGGATGTATCAAAGTTAATGTTTGCAGACTTCACTGTGATGTATATCCTAGTCAACAGTGCGTTAAAAACCTCGTCTTTAAATCAAGTTGTGATCAGTTACAACTTTTTGTTTTGCTCATCAGCTGTTGAATACATGATATATTCATGTATTCATATCTTCAAATGTAATTCTTTTCTGATTTAGCTGGTGCAGTGTATCATAAAAAGCCAAAACAGTCAGAATTTTGTGGGAAAAGATAATATCTACTTAAAGGTATATAGGACGATTTTCTACTTCAGTGTGGATCATCAAGACTATTGGTCCTCCCAATTAAGCGTTTATAAAAAGAAAATCTGCAATGTGTGGGAATTGAGTATTGGGCCATTTCCTCATTTGTCCTTTTTTCCAAATCTATTATCTATTGCAGCTGTTATTTTCAAGCGTACAGAATATCAAAAACCGCACTGCCACCGCAATGTTGGTCAAATTTAATGCAAAGAGATTTTTTGTTCAAATTGTGCAGCCCTGGTTAACAGAAACAACCATTTGAGGTAACACAAGCATAACACAAGTGAGTGCAAATTTGAAAAGAACAATCAAAACAGCAACAAAACAAAAAAAACCTCAGCCTTCAGCACAGTTCATCAGTCGTAATGCAGCCTGAACAAAAGAATGTGGCGAGCAGATTTCACTTCAGCGCCAAACACAGACTGACTGTGTCCGGTGAACATCCCAGGGAAAGCTACGGTGGCTCTAGTGATTCATTTTTAACCTTGTGAGCAACGGTGACGACAGAAGACCTTCGTCTTGTCACATGACTACACTGCACAAGGAGAGTCATTTTTCCACAGTTCAGTTTTGACTTCAGCGAGGGAAGAGTCCCGGCAGGAGCCACATGTAACTCAAGTAAAAGAAAAAGCCAAGAGGCCCACGTTTGTCCAAGTGCTCCGCGTGGGACAGCTGCAGAATGTTAAAATCCAACACACTGCCACAGCATAGTCAAACAAACAGTGAACACGTTGAAAGTGACAAAAATGCATGTCTGCTCAGTGCATAAAAGATCATTCCCCTTCGTCTGCCTACATAACAAAGTACAAGTAGAAAAAATATATATATTACATAGTGAAGGTACACAAAGAACGTCTGTGTGTGTGTATGCGTGTGTGTGTAATGTGGAAGTCAGCAAGAGTTGGCATGAGGAAGTCCTGGGACGGTGCCTTCCTCACTAAGTCACAGAACACTGTTTACCTGGCTGAACACCTGCACATATATGATGGACTGTGGAATGTGAAACTAGCCGTGGTTAAACTACATGTACTTGTCTAACTGAAGGAAAAAATATAAGAATAATAATAATAATAATAATAATAAGTAAGGAGCTGTAAACAAATTGACAGTTCGGTCCGTTTAGGGCAGGTGTGTCAAACTGGTTCCAGAAAGGGCTGGTGTGGCTGCAGGTTTCCATTCCAACAAAGCAGGAGCCCCCCCAGACTCCACCCATTTCCTTGAGTCTCCAGGTTAAGACTGGACTCACTTGAAGAAATGGATAGAGTATGGTGCGCTCCTGCATAGTTGGAATGAAAACCTACAGCCTCACCAGGCCTTTGAGAACCAGTTTGACAGCTCTGGTTTTAGGGGTTTTCAACTCCAAAAAGGCAGTGTTATAAACAACAGGGATGTACACAGTCAATTTAAAACTAAAAAAATAAACTTTTTAGAGTCAACTACAACAATCCATTCAAAAGTATTGTAAACCCAATGTTTGGCATTGATAAACAAACATGTGTTAGCTTAGACTCTGGGTCATTCGAAAACCTCCCTTTCAGGACGTCCACAGTGTGAGCAGAAACAGCATGTGTGTTTTATTTCTGCGGTCTCTGTCGGGCCAAACGCCTCATGAAGCAGCAGGTCACCGTGGAGATGATGAGGATCCCAACAAACAACGCAGAAACCACGCCCACAACCAGCGGGATGAGGAGCAGGTCTTCAGCTGAAACAGAATACATGTGAAATTAGTCACTGTGTGTTTTAGGGGTGTGAAACCGGTCCTTAAAAGGGCCGGTGTGGCTGCAGGTTTTCATTTCAACCCACCAGACTCCACCCATTTCTTAGTTCAGTTTTAACCTTCAGAGCTGAGGAAATGGGTGGGGTCTGGTGTGCTCCTGCTTGGTTGGAATTCAAATCTGTAACCATACTAGCCCTTTCTCCAACCAGGTCTTCAAACAATCTACAGTGAGTATTAGACATGGTGCAGTTAGAAATACAAAACTGTTCTTCACTTTGTTATTAAGAAATATCATTAAATCCCATCACATGTCATGACTGAAGGATACATACCTCGAGAATAGAGATAAACAGTCACAGTGCTGGACTCGGCTTTGGCCCCCGTGTCGTACCAGCCTCCGTGGGGGTCCTGTCCCCAGGCCTCTGCGCGGCAGGTGTACAGGCCCTGGTCTTCAGAGCGCGCCGTGTGCACCCTCAGCCTGAAGCTCCGCACAGACACGCAGTCCACGCTCACCTCGCTGCTGTTCATCCAGATCTCAGACACGCCGTCGTGCCGCAGCGTGGCCACCGGCTCCGGAGTCACTTCAGCTCCTGTAGGGGCCTCCACAGGGGCGCCTCTCTTCAGGACTAGAGGGGGGAGGGGAGACCGCACCCACTGGACCTGAGCCTGGACAGGGCCTGGGGACAGGACCGTCACGTTGCAGATGATCGTTATGGTGTTGCCTCTTTTCAACAGAGGTCCACGAGGGAGCTGCGCCACAGCAGTCACACGCACGTCTGGGGGAAGACGTCGCACAATTAGGTACACACAATAGCTTTAAATGTGACAGAAATGTAAATAGTGTGTGTACTATAAAGGGAGTAACTGTCTTATGGGCTGCATGAGTACCCTTTAGTGCCAGAAAGAAAAGAAAATTATGCAAATAATTCAAGAAGAAATAAAATGTATCATTTTTTTTCATTTATTCATTTATTTTAGGCAATGGAACAGATAAGAAAAAAAAAAAGAACATGCATTCTTTTTGGCTAAAAGATTTACTTTGTTATACCATGTTTTAGAATGTAAAAAACTATCCTAAGAAGGAGATATATGATGAAGGGAAAAACATGCTTCATATACACTCCATATGCTACCACCCGAGGGACAATTGGAATTTGTTTTCTTATTTTCAAAATAAACAAATTAACATCAGTAAACAAAGCCATGCCATTGTAAAGACAAAACTAAGTTATGGGTACTAGTTTGGCTCTGTGTGTGATGTCATAGAGGTACAGACTTCGTACTAGACTGAGACAGGAGCTGTTAGACAGAAGAGCTGGAGTTTTTTGCTAGACATTCCTGATTTCAGCATAGATGGATCTCATAGATGGATGGAAGTGTGTAAAATGAAAGTTAAAAGAAGTTGATGTTGCATGTTATGTCATCGTTAAGTGTGTATTGGTAAAGTATGTATTAAAAGTATGTATTGGTCCTGAAGTTGCAAAGATAATGTGAGATCACCTTTCATGCGGAGGTTGACTGTGACCGGCTCTGAGCGCTGGGTGTAGATGGGAGCAGCTGATGGGCCGAGGCTTTTGTCCGGAGCATAAAAACTGGCCGCGCATCGATACTGGCCGGAGTCTGCGGGCTGCGAGGAGAACAGCTTCAGAGAGTAACGGCCGTCGGACACTTTCTCCAGCGAGCCCCTGCCCTGACTCAGCTCGTCCCCCCAGCTCACCACTCCACTGGGGGTCATCCGCGCCAACTCCACCTGCCACAGACGGCATTCAACACAGCATTAAAGTTTCAATATAACTTGTATGTTAAATTTAAATGTCCTCAATTTCAATTGCCAATTTTCACATATTTTTGTGATATGTTTATATTTTTTGCCTCAGTGAATTGAAAAGACAATCAGCCAATCAGCTCTTAGCCCAAACAATCAAATAGTGCTCTTTCATTCATAACAAAGGATATGATCTTTATGAAATTGAAAATAACATTTTACACTGTCAATCCAATAGAAATGTATCATATATTTAGCTGCAACTGTATATTAAAGGTGCAGTATGTAAAAATAAAAAATAAAGTGGCCAAAAGTGGTACTGCAACCTATCCCACTCTCCCTGACTCAGGTTGCCAGATATGCATGACACTATGGCCGCTCAGAGGAGTAATTATAGCAAAAAGCTTATATCACTGCACTGCCATACAGAACGTTTCAAGACATCCTTCGGCTGTCAGACTGTACAACAGACCTGGATGAGTCTTCTGCTGCTGGACACCTGAATTTCTCCTACGGGGATCAAATAAGTATCTATCTATCTATATTTTTCACAAAGGCCCCGATAGAAATCCTCTTCTCATCCTCGATTTGTCATGAATGATTTGAGAATCATAACAAGACCTTTAGTACTGCGGCCAAATGTTACTTTACCAGTGAGATTAGCTCAAAATGAAAACAACATTTCTCAGTTCTGGGCTGAGGCAAAAATAAGTTATTCTTCCTCCCACTCCTTTTGGAGTTTAATTACCAACAGTATTTTGGATGTACATGTACATAGTATTGTTTTTTAAAGTATTGTAAAAACTACAACTGACACTATATGTAATGTACATTAAATGTACATTAAATGTACATTACATATAGTGTCAACTTGAAATATACAATCAATCAGTCAATTTGACCAAAACATGTATTTTACCTCTTTGCTTTGGGTGCCATCACTGACCAACCACTGAACCAGAGCTCCATAGTTGATCTGCGGCGGTAGTCCCTGGACCTCACATGTGAGGAGCAGGGGGGCACCGATCTGCAGCGTCACCTCCTCTCGGGGCGAGGGGACCACTTTTAGAATATCACCTATAAATACAAACAAATACAGTATCTATACAAGTTTTGAGACAAATGGGATGTATGAACTATAACACCGTTGCTAACTCCAGGGTAATAGAGCTTACTCCTGTTAATATAATAGATCCATGGCTTACTATAATAGATCCATGGCGTTTGTTATGCCACCAGGAGAGTGGTTTGTCTGAAAACATCAATAACTAAATAAAAACTGAGCTTTGCTTTGCTTTAGTGCTTGTTTACCACCGCAGACATAAATCTGCACTACAATAGACTCATTATCTGCAGACAAAGTGGGACGTGAGAGGCCATTGTTTCACAGAGTGCAGAGAGAACACACGGCGGCCTAGATCTCAGGTGATGATTAATGAACAGTGCTAAAAGTGAATTCACATAACCTGCATATACACTCTATAAACACTCTCCTATCTGTATCTACAACCCACATGTGCCCAAACAAGATGCTATTGTTTCCATTTTATGTGAGACTGACTGATAGGACTGGCAGATTTTTATATTTTTTTAAAGGCCACAACTAAACAGGAGTCGGTGCTAAAGCTAATGTTCTAATTAGCAATTCTTACATTATTTAAACGTTATTAAATCATTCCTCTATGAATAGTGATGGGAATAGTTGAATGTGAACACTCTTTAGCATCATTGTGTATTTATTTTTACATTTGTATTTCAACAAATTATTGTTTTCTTTATGGGATTGAATATTTTGTTATACAATTATAACAAAATTAATACTTATATACTTAGTTCTGCAGCCTGAGGGTCTCAGGGCATTTATGGACATTTATGGACATTGGTCATTCTGCTTCCTATGAACCAATGACTCCTATGTGTTTGTAATTTATGCATTTCTTGTGTTCGTACTGTTTGATTCTCTGATTTGATGTTGGCAAACTTTGTAAAGTCCTTCTAGGCAACTGCTGTTATGATTTAGGGCTGTACAAAAATAATTTCATTGAAGTGAATTGAATAATTTTTGTGAAGTTATTACTAATTGCGTTTTAGGCTCATTGTTGAGTGAGGTAAATTACATGGTTGCTCTCCAGGAACACACTGAAAAAAAGTTTTCCCAGTAGGTACAAAAAGATTACGGTTAGGGATAAGGGAGGGGTTAGCTTGCAGCGGAACAAAATACCTAGATTTTAGGGAGTCCATTGCTCTGCTTGGAAAATTATCTTCAAAATGAGCTATGACATGCAACGGTAGCTTATCGGTTACCAAGTTAGGCCCGATATTTCAAAAAAGTATTGGCCCGATAAATTGGACAATATAAAATTTTAAGAGGAATCTGAAATTCTGAAATAAGTGGGTGATATTTTGTGTATGCAGTTCAGAGCACCAATCTATGGAGGACCACTCTGACACACTGACCCAGTTGAGTGACAGTCAAATTGCCAATGTCCAGTTTTCTCTGTGCAATCCTCTGCCAGGATCGATCAGGGTCCAGGATCCATTGGGCGGCCTCGCAGTAGTACGATCCTCTGTCCTCTGGCCGCACGCCTTTCATCTTCATCACATAGAGGTCCTGTCCGCCTTCCACGTTCCTCTTCTCCAGCGTGATATCCCCATCGTCGTAGCGCCTCTGGTATGGCCGCCCAGGGACCACCCCCAGCATCTTGTCAATGGATATAATGTCTGTATCGTCGCCGGTTTCGCCGCGCTTCCCAAACGTGACGGATAGATGCGTAAGCTGCTCTGATTGGATACTGGAGGAGCAGGTCAGGGTTAGTTCAGCCCCCTCCGGAAGCGGCTGTCCCGAGAGAGAGCGAGAGTAGCTGATCTGCAGCGTGTCGGGAATGACTGTGGGGAAAACAGAGAGACTATTACATTATGTTGAGCCACTGCAGACAGACGGATGGAGGTGTGCGTCAGTGCCTTGGCTGTGCCTGTGCTATGGGGTTGTCAAAAGTATCAGAAGTATTATAAAGACACATGGTCTTAAAAGGAATATTGTGGAAAAGGCACATTTTGTCAATTCAGAAAGTGAGGAAATTATAATAAAAAAGCTTTCACTACGTATGTGGTGTAAAATTTAAAATCAAATGAACAGATGATACACGGATTCGGTCATTATAGGTTTACTGCATTTTCGTTTTAATTGAATCCACAGAAAACAATCAAAAACATCCCTCGTCATTGGTTTTTTAAATGTTGGTTTTATTTAGAAAATCAAATAATACACAGATTCATTTACCTTTACTGTTTTTCACTTTCCCTTCTTTAGAAATAGTCTCAAAGCATATACTCTCAAGTTGCTCTTCTGTTAGGTCATTCATAGCTCAGTCAATGATAAAATTCCTCTGTGTATTGTTCACATGACATTTTTGTGGCATGTGTGTTTTTGAGAAGGTGTTCTGATAGAGCAATGAGTGAGACAAAGCACACATTTATACGTGGCCTTATGAAATGAGCAACACAGTCAGAGTGAAACTAACAGAAATGAACGAAGCTGAGTCCTTTTGAGCCAATACTTGTTTCATTCAGTTTGTAGGACATAATATTTTGTTTTTTTAACACATTTTTAACAAAACATTCACCACACACAATAGGCTAAAGAATTGACTAAAGATACGGCCGTTCAGTTGATCAACAAAAAAGGGTGGGACAGACGCTCTCAAAACAACATGTATCTGACCTAAACTGAGAGACTCGACTGATAAGATACAGAATAAATTGTTATAAAATTTTTGAAACATGAAAATTGAGTTTAAAAAAAAGATGTAGGGATGAATTTCCTTGATGTCCTGATTTCAATGGTTCCTCTCCACGGGGGGCCACCAGTGTGACATGTGGGGGACATCACGGCTGATATATCTATGTGGGGGTGTCTCTCACTGCAGTGGGGACTCTCTGGGTTCAGACCCTTTTTCCGACAACACCATGTGGCAGAAAGCCTCTCTCTTCACCATGTGTCCTTGTGCTTATGTCTGGTTTATTTTCTGTCGTCTCTGTATGTATCTCGTAATTTGTCATTTGTCTGTTTAATATCAGTAAATGTCCTCTTTTATTTCTATCTAGTTTTTGCCTAATATATTAAAGGTATATAGGGGGATTTTCTACATCCGGGTGGATCATCAAGACTATTGGTCCTCCCATTTCTCAATCATTCTGGTGATACGTGCTCGTCAAATAAGACCAGAGAGTTTTGTTCAAAAAGTGGAGAGGGAAGTTCTTTCCTAAAATTTGAGAACATTCTCCAATATATTAGTACCTTTAGTAATTAGGTAAGTAATCTTTTATTATCATTATTATTATTATTATTTTATTATATAGCGCCTTTCTAAGACCAGAGTCACAAAGCGCTTTAAATTTTTTATTTTGGGCATTTGTCTCTCACTCCACACAGAGATGGGAGCAAGGTCGCCAAACAGGAGGCGCATGCCAGACCTGTTGTACATGTTTTTAGTGATAGGGGAAACCGTAGTATTCTGAGGAAATCTACACAGACAGGGGGAGAACATGCAAACTCCACTCAGAAAGGACCTGTGTTTTGCTGTTTTCTTATGAATATCCTTACATTTTAATATAAATATTTATAACACTAACTATGAAACCCTCAATCATTCAAACTAAAGACTAAAAACCAAAAGCCCTAACACACATTTCAAAGCATAAAACTGATCCAAAAGTTGAAATAAAGTCAATTGTACCTTTGACAGTGACAGAGCCGCTGTAGTTGCCCTGGTAGGTGGAGTCTGTGCTGGGCGTGTAGCACTCGTACTTTCCCTGGTCTTCAGTGCGCAGTCTGTGGATCACCAGGCGGACTCTTTCATCAGAATCCCTCTCGACCCTCACCTCTCCGTTCCTCACCCGCGACTGGAAGGGAGCGTAGGGGAACCCTGGGTCCCGTGTGGAGATGACGCCCATCTGCCTCCCGCCTGCGTCGTCTCTGTACAAGAACCACTCGAAGTCCTGCTTGCGCGGCCCCTCGTACCCGGTCACCACACAGCGCAGGGACACGGGGAAGCCCGCCACACGGTACAGAGGGCCCACGGGAAGGGTCACGTCACGACAGAACACAGACTGGAACACTGGGGAAGAGAAGCACTGTCAGACAAACTCCTGATTGACCAATATATCACATCATCAACGATTATTTTTAAAGCAAAATTGGTGCTTCACAAGTGCTTCACAAGAGCAATTAATAACACAGATCAAAAGGCAGTACAAATATAAAAATGTACAATATGCAACAAGTTCATATCAAAACATTGCAGCAAAGAAGTACTGAGCCTAAAACTCGCAAAAAGGGAGGTTCTCATTATGTGCTTGATGCCAAAAAGAAATATATACACAACATGTACATTTATATTTTGACATAAATAACAATATTCAATAAATGAAAGGCATCAGCAGTGTTTTGTTCTAAGGAATAAAAAGCATTTCTTTGTTACTGATATATTGTATCAAATCGTATAGAATTAAAGTCCCCTGTATCGATATCAGCAGGCTCTATACCCAGCCCTATACCTTATGGTATATATAGTATTCTCTGCCACATAATTTATTATACTCTTAATAATTAAGCCATAACAATTCATTAAAAAGGAAATCTGTAAATAAATTTGCAGTACCTTTTTCTGGTTCAAACCAAAACTAAACATATTTTGATCAGAAAAACCTAGCAAAACAGAGTATCCATACCCATATTCAATAAAAATATAATTTAGTCAAAATATACTTATATTATACTTATATACTTTATACTTATATAAAGTAAATACACTAAAAGAAGTAGAGATGTAAAACTCGAGCTATAAACAAACCTCGCAAATCTCATCATCATTATGTAATTATGTCCTGATTGCCAACTAGCGCATTAGCATTAGCACCAAGCCTGTTTATTGGCAGCCTTTCAAAAAAAAATTTTTTTAAAGATTGGCTTTTAGTCAGTCAAACTTTGAAAACATTTGCATCGGTCTCAGAAAACTCTTGTTGGATGATCCCTGACAGAACAGCAGTCGTGTGGGTTACAGCACTTACAGCACAGCCCTCAATCAATGAGCTAATGAATGGCTCCCGGAGAATCAATACTTTAAATGGCAAACAAAATGTTATCACTACTCACAATAAAACATATCAAACAGGATTAGGTATTGAATATGTAACAGTGTGTATTGTATTACATAGTACTGAACTAAACCAGGGGATGCAGCCAAGTTAGAAGCTAAGTACTGCATCTAGGATGTCCCAATTCTAAATATCTAACTGAGTGAATGTGTAATGCTGCTACTGTATATTTGTAATAAACTAAACTGAACCACCAGCATTTTCCTAAACAAAGGCTTCTTGGGCTCAGGAGAGTGGAGGCTCTCCTGTGACTGTTTTAATTATGGCTGCAAGAGAACAGTACAGTGTGTATTTGTATTTGGTTAGAACGGCCATGGGGTGTAAGAGGGGATTCGTACACAACTCAATCAGCTGCTCTCCAGAGCTGATGACAGAGAACACATTCCTGCTTCAGTGTGTTTATGTGAACAGCAGATAGAGTTGAGCAAATGAAGGAAAACCCACAGTTCTTGTTTTTATGTGATTAGAGTGTGTCAGAGCAAGGTTTAGATGGAAGGTTGTCAAAACAGACTGGCTTTTCCAGAGTGCTTTGATCATCACGTGTCAACAGTGCGTGGTTTTTGCATCGGTTTTTGGTTAAGTACTACATTACAACATGAAAATAGCAGCTCATAGTCAGGTGCGGAAATTAAGAATTTGCAATGATAATTAATTATACAATATTTCTTGTTAGCTAGCCTGGTTTCATGAAATCTAAAACAGGTTTGAAAATACAATAAAAATTAAAATAAAAAAAGCGTAAAGTAAAATAACAAGTAGAAGTGAATCAAATTGGTTAAGGCATATTCAGTCTTGTTTTGTCAGTTATTTTCAACAGAGAAACAAAAACTGCAAATTGAACCGTAATTGCCATCATTATCTTAAAAAAACGTCCAGCCCTAGTTTTAATCACAATATGTGGGTTTATGGAACATCATACTGGGAGCATATTGTTTCAAAAAAGAGACACAGAACGTTGGAGGAAGTGTGTGGGGACAGGGAAGTCTAGGCGTCTCTGCTTAGACTGCTGCGACCCGGCAACGGCTGAAGAGGAAGAAAATGGATGGATGGAGACAGAACGCAGTGTCAGTGCCAAACCCATGCTGCATAACCTTTCATAATGTTCCAACTTCTAACACGTTTAACTTTGAGTAGAACTTTAAATGTCAGCAATATTCCGAATCTGAACCAGGGCAAAAGTGAGGGCAAAAGTGTGGCGTGTCCATGTCTCTGTCAAAGTTCTAATCTCTGGACACGACCACATACAACCATCAGAGACCCACAGGCGCCGAAGAGCACCGATCTTTCCTTCTGTTCGAGGGAAATTATTCAGCTTTTCTCTCTGACCACAAGTAAGATTGATGAGGTGATGTATTTCAGGTTTTTGCTGTGCTCTCTGCAAAATATGTTGGAAATAAGGGTTGATTATCGAAAGCTTGTGTGGACGGATGTAATCTGGGAGGCCACTGGACACCGGACACTGGTGACACTTAGCACATTAGTAGATTTAATGATTTTGGTCATATCTCAGCTGCCACTGTAACGTGTTTTATTTTCATGAAAGAAAGAAAGGCGGGTTTTTTACAAGACAAAATATCTCACTATTTAGTAAGGCTGCAATTAATTGGATAATCAAATAGTTGACATATTGTTATTTTGATTAATTGATTAGTTATTTGGATCCTGAAAGTTCAATAAATATGAGATTTTGTATTAATTTGACCAAGACAAAGCTCAAGTGATGCCCCTGGAGAATATCTTAGATGACTTGTAAAACATTTGGTTGTTTGATTTTTTTTAAATAAACTAAATTAAATATGGTTTGTATATAAATCACAAAAAACAGTCAGCTCTGACGACTTCACAAATATGTCAATTCAACAACAACAGAACAGAGAATCAAGCAGTCTGTACACAGGAAAAGCAATAATAGCAAACACATAGGAGCCATTGGTCCAAAGGGGGCGGGATGACCGATGTCCATAAACGTTAATAAAGGGATTAAATGTCCTCAAATATCCCGGATTGTCACTGTCCTTAGACCCTCTTGCATTTCAGAAGTCATAAAACCTATTCTCAGTATTTAAGTCTAAATAAGGTTAAAAAATTACTCACTAATTACTTACTTACTTACTATGATTATTACTTACTTTTGAATAATCGATTAGTTGCAATAAATCAATTCACTTTTACAGCCTTATATTTTTGATTGACCAATTAGTCCTTCTCATACGGTGTTGTTCAACCATCAGAGTCATTCAAAAAATTGCTTAGTCAATGTCATTTTGCAGCAGATACGACACAATTTCATTCATATCATTGTCAATTGGGAATTATGCGCGATCACCCCAAACTAATGACAACCCTTAAGGCAAACAGAGCCAGTGACACGCCCTTAAACTGCCAAATGTGATAAATAGTGCTTGAACAACAGGTAATACCAGCTCGCTTACGGCTCCCAGCACTTACAGTACTGGAAGTGTGACGTAGAAAAAATAACTGGAGCTGTGTCATGACCTGAACCCAGAAACGACACGCCCCATAAGACGGGTGAGGCTTAAGCGGATCACGTCCTAATTAACGATGGGGCTGATATGGGACGGGGGCGAGACAATGCTCACTGTGGATTAAACACGAGACAGAAATGAGGCTCCATTAGACACTACTACTGTTCATGGAAAAAGAAGGGAGACAATGGAGTCTTTGATTGTAGGGATGTATGTTAAATCAATAATTCAATGACATTGTAGCAGTTTAGGAGCATATTTTCCTAAGAATATATTCCATGTTTTCTTAATTACAATAATTTATCTTTAATCTGGGAAGTCTATAAAGTTGTTCACAGACTAGATGCAGCAGGGCAGGTATCATTATGAAATTATGAAATATGGGGGTTTTAACTGTTAATAATGTGTCAATAACTGTAAATCATTTGTACAGATTTTGTAAATATATACCACGATTCATGTTTGAAATCATGATATTGGATATGAGCTAGTTTATGATTCTATGGCTGAGCTAAGGGCAAGTTCAGTCTGGTTCACTTTAATTGGACCAGAAAGTGGTTCAGAAAAATGCTTTATTTGTGGATGTAAAACCCTAAAGAAGCGACCAGTAAACCATACTCTTGGTCCAGTTAAAGTGAACCAGATCAACAAATTCAATTCAATCCAGTCCAATTTCAAACACACAGACACACAAGATAATAATAAAGTAACAATCAAACAGTTATGACCAGAAGTGTAACCATGCCCTAAATAATGGTGAGAACGTGTGCTTATCATGAACCATTTGTAAATATTAAAATCAAAAGGTAAACACTTTGACACTTATGCAACAGCAGAAGTGACAGTAGAAGTTTTTGTCCAAGCCCAAGTTACTTTAATTTAGAGACTAGACTTTAGTCAAAAGTCAAATAAGATCACCCAATGTATGAAGCAATAGTTTCACTCATAGTCTGAGCATGAGCCAATCCAAGGTGATGTCAACACAGCGAGACAGATAAATAAAATGTCAGGGCTGTAGAAACTAAGAGTTTAGGCATTACATGGACTCCACTGATAACATCATGACGGTTTTGGAGTAGACAAAAGGTACCTGTCACTGCCTATGCTTCAAATCAGTGCTGGATAAATAGACCCATTGGGAATTAACTTTTAACAGCTTAAGGTAATGAACCCTTTGTAAAAACATAATTCCAAATGCACCCGTTTCTTCTATAATAATGCAGGGTGTGTTTTGACAGATGGGAGACGGTTGAAAGCTTCCACTCAGCAAAAGTAACCAGCATCCACAGCGCGTAAACTCACCGCCATGTAGTAACACGATGATTACTGCGGACGCCTTTATCTCTGCCGTAGCCATAGTGGTCCTCATCTGGGATAAATCTCCGTGGAACAATTATGTGCACTGGGATGTGTCTCTGTCTGCCCTCATCGTTCAACAGCCGCGCACTGGTAAAACAGAAAAAACCCGCAAAATGCATGAGCAGAATTGAGTTTGCATTGACATTTCCAAACATAGCAATGAATCAAAGCCGTGCGCTGTCTGTAAATGAATTATAAGTACACGCATGATACAGGAACTATACCTTTCTCGTGCAGTCGCATTTGTTTCAGCAGGCCTCCATTGTAGCCTGCTTTAGGTGTAGATTATGCCGCTTGATCAGACATGCCGTGTGGAGGCAGTGTTGGCTGGAGACATCACGGGGGGTGGGGGGTGGGTTAAGGGGGGTGGCGGGCTGGGGAGAAGGGAGAGACCGTGGAGGGAGGTGGGAGGGCCGTGCGTAAAAAGGAGACACTGCGACCCTATTGGTTTAAAGCGTGTTGTGGTTTCGTGAGCCTATGGAGAGCAGACAGAGTAGTGACGTCACAGATGTTGGGGCATGAGGAGGTTTGAGCCACAAGGGGGAGCCAAAAGTCTAATTATTGGATTGTTCCCATGAATCTATTGTAAAATATCGAACATTGATGGCTATGAACATTGATGACTCGGTACATGTGGTACAGGCCTAATCCCGTATTTCACGTCAATTATAATGTAAAATATTGTATCATATTGTGTCCTCTAGTCACAACCCGCTATTTATCCATAAGGTGCATTATATTCATAGCTATTTTGATGCAAAACAGTTTATCATCTTTTACAAGCAGAATATTATAATTAGCGTTTACAGATAAGCATAACTTGAAATTAAATTTGCAGTCATTAATCTTATGTAGACTATTTATACAATTATACTCTCATATGACATTTGTTTAATATTATGTCTATTATTATAGGCTACAGTGCGAAGGATGCAGTGGTGAGACCAGAGTTAATACTTCTTCTATAATTGAGGAAAAAGTATCCACAAGGTGGCAAAACACTTAAGTTCGACAAACTCACGCCCTGATGCGGGCTCATAATAATGTGAAAGTATACAAATAATTACACTGAATACAAAGCATTAAGTGTGGGGCTGTGGGCTTATATAAAACAGCTACACAAACCCAGCAGCGTTATTTCTCCATCCAAACCAACAGTGAGGCTTTTGACATCATAATGCTGATGAACTGAGAATGATGTAAAGCAGCAAGAAACTCAGTCAACATATCTGTGGCTTCAAAATGGCACTGCCGAGTTTACAGTCATAGTTTTTCCTCTTTTCCTAATTTGTCCTTTTCCAAAACAGTTTGTGAGTAACATAAGGAGGAGTATTGCCTTGTCTTTGACTCATAAAATCTAAAGACTCATTAATAAGGAGTGAGACATATAGGCTATTCTTCATCCTCATCTACTTTTTAAGGCTACATGGAAACAGGGGGTGCAGAGAGGCGCAAAGAGAAAGAGATTAAGGCGGCAGTGGGACTTCAACAGCAGCCTACATCCTCATGTCACACTGGACAGCGTATAGTCCAAAGATCTTCTCTCAGATTAATTATATCAACCAATATTCAAAGACAAAAGAACTTCATTTTAATCAAATTCCACCAAATATTTCCCCCACTGGTGATTCCTCTCACCTTGTGCCTTCACTCCCACTCTGTCTCCAAGCAGGCTGGGACAGACTAAACTGACCCAGTAAAGACTGTCTCTAATTACCTCCACTGCAGTCACCAAAGCAGAGCTGTCGTCACTGGACCCATCACCGTGTGTGGCATCAGTGGAAATGCATTGTACCCTTATGTCTGTATAGGCTACTGTATCTAACTTCTCAAACTTTATTTTGACATTACACTGTCAACATACAGTGTATATTTTTTGTGGTGAGTTTTCTTCTTTAAACTCTCAAGCCATTGAATTCTATATGTGTAGACACTGACAGATGATGTATCCATAGGTCTTCTTTCCTAACATACTGCATAGTTTTATCACCGTGTCTTTCTGCCCCAGGACACCTCACTTACAGCCAGCAGTGACTGTGGTGAACGCACCACTGCTAGACCAAACACCAGGTACAGCTAATTTACTGCCGACAGGATATTAATAACTTTTGCATGAAAGGGCCTCTGTCTTTATTACACAATGTAACAACAATGTTTAGCTTAGCATTTGACCACACAGTTTGATTTAGTTTGGTTATGCCTGAGACGGTATGGTGTGAGCTTGATCAGTCCGTTTTTCTTGGAATCGGCATATTGGGTTAAAATACCACCGCAAAAACAAAGGGTAACGATTTCAGTAATGCCGTAAGAGGAAAAGCAGATGACTGTGTTATTGAATGATTTTACAGTTCCCCATCATGTTCAGCTTGACATAAAAGAAATCACACTATTTAAGGCATATTGCACTGGCTTGAATTTGATTTGTGAAACATTTCCTCAATGACAGTGTGCGTATAGGACCATGAAGCAAAGTACTGTTAAAAATGGCTTAGCACTTGAACCTATGTTGTTGGAAAACTGTTTCAAAATATGTTTATAAATAAAATTTGAGCAATGATTATTTGAATCCTGTATTTGGATCTTTCTAATTCAGCTGACATCATAATAGGAGTTTTATGAATGATAATTTGAAACTGTCTGTAATCTGTGTTGAAAGTAATACGAATGAATTGATGGTACAGTTCTGCAGAGCATTAGGAGTGGGCTTGGTCCAATTGGTTTGGAATGTGGATTTCAGCCGGCTGCCACAGAAAACTACCCAACAGATTCACAAATACAACTTCTAATGGGCAATTTGGTGGACATGGGGAGAGACAGCATGCAGAGGGGCAGGAGACGAGAGGTCCGTCCAAAGAATAGGAAACACATGCAGCGGTCTGTCCCTCCTCTCAAGCACAAAACCACACAACACAGACAGGGCACGGGCCAGAGCTGGTGTGAGGCTGAGGTGATGATAAATGTGCTGAAGTTTAAGAGCAAAATGGATATGTTATGGAGAAAATGTGGGCACTAATTTAAAACAGGCAAAGTTATTGTTCGTCTAAGCACTGTTTCCTCTGTGTTGAATCGCTTCTCATCTGATGAAAATGAATGGTGAATAAATGCAAATAGAGCTGAATAGAGTTAATACATTTGATCTGGTGCTTATAGAAGACGATCATATATTTTTCTAGCACACTGCAACTTGATAAATGCACATTTACAGAGCTGAAAAAGCCCCGGCCAGGTTTGATAGCTCAAAAATATCATGACCAAATTATGAGAGACTCAAGGTTGACACAAACAGTTACTGAGCTATAGCAGTTTAATTTTTAATGAAAGTCAATGAGAGACATAGTGAGCAGGAGAAAAACTTCATCCACAAGCTCTTTCCCTTAAAGCACTTTGAGTTGCCTTGTGTATGAATTCGGGCGTTCTGCTCTCCCAAAATTCCATCCGATGGGCGGGGGAGCGACTGAATTTTGCGTTGCATTATGGGTAACACTTGCCTTCGCAACTTCCGGTTCTCTCTGCCCGGCGCATTTTCTCTAAATGGTTGAGTGTTTTCGTCATTTTCTGTATGCAAATACATTCCCGTCTCTAACTAGTGGCATATCGCGCAAATCATCCGTCCAATTCACATTCTTCCCTCTTAGCTGAACTTCATTCTCATTGTTACCATCTGTCACTCGCACACACAGCCGTTTTCGTTCACTCTGCTCGCTGTCATCTTCTTCTAAATCTTCATAAACACAATCCGCTCGTTGAACTAGCAACAACAATTCCTCCTTTCGTTTTCCCACACTGCAAATACCCTTTCGCTTCAACCTTTCACGCAATTCAGGCACTGTCAATCGCTTGTTGTTTTCGTGAGCCATATTCGCCATTGTATGAAATCAACCGGAAGTGAACTGGGCAACAAACGGTGTCATTTTTTGATCACAGCGCCGCTCAGTGGATGAAATTTTGGGAGAGCAGAACGCCCGAATTGTGATTTACAAATAAACTTGCATTGCCTTAAAGCTTCATTGAGCTAGCTTGATAGCATTGACCATCTACAGTCTTGCTCAGCCAATCAGCTATCAGCCCAAAGCAGCCAGCACATTGGGATCTTATTTGTTTTTTACGCCGTTTTGCTTTAACAAGGATCTTCATGTGAGGATACAACAAGAATCAGTTATGAATCAAAAAAGTTAGGTATCCCAGCTTTAAATCTGAGTTTGTCTCACTGCGCTGCTGGTTGAGGTGGTGCTTAAGGCAGAGGACCAAAGGGGGTCCGACACAGACAGACGCCAGCGCTGGTTTGGAGCACTGCCCGAGGACTGTGGCTGGAGCTGGAGGAACTGAGAGGGGGAATAAAGAACGGATGATCAATGACTGCACAACACAAGAGCTACTCCATCCCATAACATATCATGACTTTTGAAAATAATGACACATTCACATCTAAGAGCCTCATTTATCACGTGTTTGCTCACGTGCAAGAGTGGTTAGTAGAATTGGGGCAAACTGACTTGTTGTGCACAAGTCCTATAGAGCTAAACCAGCAAAATTGTACACGCATTTTTCATTGCACCCACAGTTTTGCACTAAGAGCCTTCTAAGAGCATCATAAACAATATAAAATGTTCACATAATAGCTTTGCCCCCATCACACACTATCAGGGACAATAACGTATGCCATAAAAAAAACAATCATAAAACTATCCTTTCTACGTTTTGTCCATGTAGTTGAGAAGAAAAAAATGTGTGAAATGTTAGCTCTTTGTTTTAAAAAGACATCACTACTACATTTCTCATACATTTTATGGTAGCAAAATAATAGTAGAGAGATTTATGGTAGCAACTGAATGTGCACGACTGAGGCTGGTTACAGTGAAGGTTGAACTGTGCTCTTGGCTCTGAAAGTTGTGAAAACTATATTTCACATCTGTGTGAGGAATAAACTTTGACTTGGTTTTACACATTTAAAATCAGCCTCATAAAGTGATTGCTTTGGGGCTTACCTTAAAGCCATAATGTGAATAAATA